CAGTACAGTTCATAATATTTCAGCATACCATCTTTCCGATACAGAAGTCAGCGTACTGAATAAAGGATTTAACTATGCAATTGCTCCAAAAAGAGTACCCGAGATCGTTTCCAACGTCGAAGCAAGTCTTTCCACCATAGACGAACAAGATGCGGAGTTAATTAGACAAGATGTCGCCAGAGTCTTAAGACAGTCAAAACCACCGCAACCAAACTTAAGCAGAGAGGAAATGCAAGCCTTAAGGAATCTAAACAAAAACGAAAACATTCTAATAATGCCAGCAGACAAAGGAAATGCCACTGTCGTCATGAATACGTCGGATTATAATGCAAAATTGGAGGATATTTTGAACGACCCAATATACAAACTAGTCACCAGAGATCTCACGACATATTTGGAAAAAACAACTAAGTCCAAAATTCTCGATTCATCAATAAACGAGGATACAAAGAAGAAACTTATTCCGAGGGAAAAATCGAGTCGTTGCCCAAAATTCTACGGGCTCCCAAAGATCCATAAGGACGGGGTTCCCCTGCGTCCAATCGTAAGCGCCTTTAACTCACCATTATGCAAGCTGGAAAAACATCTGGCCAGTGCACTTCAGCCTATAGTGGAAAAGGCAGATTCCTACGTTAAAAACTCAGAACATTTCATTCAGATTTTAGGTTCTCTCAGGATGGACAAGGACGACATTATGGCAAGTTTCGATGTCAAATCCCTCTACCCGAGTATTCCAGTAGAAGAGGCACTCTTGTTTATAGAAAAAAACGAAGATCTTCCGCCATACATAATGGATCTGTCAAGACATTGCCTGAAAAACGCTTACTTTATGTACAACGGGAAAATTTACCGACAAATAGATGGAGCAGCAATGGGATCATCTCTCTCACCTGTGATTGCCAACCTCTTCATGATTTACTTCGAAAAGAAAGCAATAGAAAAGGCAAATCTGAAACCAAAACTATGGACAAGATACGTTGATGACGTATTTGTTGTATGGCCTTTTGGCAAGGAAGAGCTTTTAAAATTTCTAGATCATCTGAATTCCATTCACCCAAGGATTCAATTTACAACAGAACTTGAAGAGGATAACAGTCTGCCCTTTTTAGATGTGCACATCACAAGGACCGAAGACGGACACTTGGAACACACTGCCTATAGAAAACCAACACACACTAATAGATATCTGAACGCTAAATCTCATCACCACCCATCACAGATACAGGCAGTGGCAAATACCTTAATTGCTCAGTCCTTCAGGCTCACAAACGAGAGGAACAGAGATAAAGAACTGAAGAAAATTAGTACCTGTCTTCGACAAAACGGATACCAAAGGCGCACCGTCAGCAAGGCAATCAGTAAACAACAACAGCCGCGGCAGAGAGTGCAGGACGAGACCCAACGAAGATCGATCGCTGTCCTGCCATACATCAAGGGGGTTACTGACAAAATCGGCCGAATATTACGGAAACGCGACATATCAACGGCATACAAACCTGACCACACCATCGGGGCAATATTAAGAAACCCAAAACAAAAAATTACTCTGGAAAACCAAGGAGTATACAGTGTAGCATGCGGATCGTGCAGCCTGACGTATGTGGGACAGACCAACAGCCAGGCTCGAGGAACATCGTTTAGCCATAAGAAACAAACAAACAACATCTGCTTTGTTTCAGCACCAACATCAGACAGGCCATAAAATTGATTTCGGCACTTGCAAACAAATAGCTAATATTCCTGATTTTAGGACTAGGATTATACGAGAGGCCATCGAAATAGAAAAGTCCGGACACCTCAATTCGAGAGACGACGCTCTGCATTTATCCAACACGTGGAGAACGATAATCAAACAGCAGAGCGATGCGCAGCAGCCAACGGGGACATCGCAACTACGATCGGGTGAAATTAACAACGCGACAATTCAGGGGGCGGACACACCTCCCCCCACGCACAAGCGGCACCGTTACCATCTCCGGCGCAGAGTATAAATACCGCACGCACCGCCGATAACCTCCCAGTGTTCGAAGTGTTTTCGGAGCGCGAGCATTGAAGATGCCAAGTGAGATTTTGGCGAAACGTCTGCAGAATTCCAGTCGGATGCAGGATTTGCAGGATTCCAGTCGGAGTTCAACGAGCGAACGGATGATATCCCGGAATATAGTGTCATCACATTTTTCCATCCGTGAATCAATACGTGAGAATATATATATATATATATATATATATATATATATATATATATATATATATATATATATATATATATAAAATATCAAAAAATTCATTAATAACAATTAATTAATAATTAAATTAATAAAAACTATGCAAAAATAATTACATTCTTGAGCTACAATAAAGTGGTACCTACTTACATTTTAATTTGACCATTACCGTAGCTATGAGTAATAATTTTAAGTTTAAGAAAAAAGGGGTAGCCCACTACTTTTTCAAAATTTGAGATTGCTCTTAAAATTATATAGATATTGCAAGACATTTATTGAAAATTAAAAATTAAAAGAAAATACTTATGAATACTTGTCGTCTTATTTGTGATATATGTTCTTAATTTTTTGAATAATATATTTAAGGCTCTGTATTTAGAAAACAAGATATCTGTTGCTAAATGTTGATAAGCATTTTATTGTGGCATTTTCAAGCAACAAACTTTTGGAAAAGTATACCGGTAATTAAAAGAAGGTGCTACAATTTCCAATATTTATATTTATATACATATATATATATATATATATATATATATATATATATATATATATATATATATATATATATATATATATATATATATATATATATATATATATATATATATATATATATTATATATATATATATATATATATATATATATATATATGTATATAAATATAAATATTGGAAATTGTAGCACCTAAAAACTAACCAAATGCCACAATAAAATGCTTATCAACATTTAGCAACAGATATCTTGTTTTCTAAATACAGAGTCTTAAATATATTATTCAAAAAATGAAGAACATATATCACAAATAAGACGACAAGTATTCATAAGTATTTTCTTTTAATTTTTAATTTTCAATAAATGTCTTGCAATATCTATATAATTTTAAGAGCAATCTCAAATTTTGAAAAAGTAGTGGGCTACCCTTTTTTTTAAACTTAAAATTATTACTCATAGCTACGGTAATGGTCAAATTAAAATGTAAGTAGGTACCACTTTATTGTAGCTCAAGAATGTAATTATTTTTGCATAGTTTTTATTAATTTAATTATTAATTAATTGTTATTAATGAATTTTATAAAATTAATCTTTTAATTTAAGTTTTGTTCTTTGTTCCGCACTTTTGAGTCAGAAATACCCAAGTTTGCCGATAATTTTGATATTTTACATAATGAACCAAAAAGTAAAAAACTAAATTTTTTGGAAGCTATGGAGATTCATAAAATAAGATATTCGAATCTATTACTTAATGAACAATTGGATTTAAATGTCTCTCCGTTGCTAAATTTAAACTAACCCTACACCGGTCATTAAGAATCTATTATTACCTGATTTTATATATAGATGTGGAAATATTGTCTATTTTGTATTTCATAAAGGCACGGTGTTGTCGAAACAGCTGTCATAAAGGGATAAATTAACTGTTTATCTTCATTCGTTGCTGCAAAAGCTGGTGAAGGATGTAATATGATTGTGTAAAGCGACTACTGGATCACCTCCTTGTGGATAACAATTTCCACCTGCCATTACATCTATCTATATAATTTTGGCGAGCGTTTTCGCAAACAAAACTAAAACGAACAGTAGGTAATGTTATCACGACACCAAAGAAATTATTTACGGTAAAATTAGTTGGGGTAGGCATGGATGGAAAGGTCATTGTCCAATGTAATATTTACGTCAACTCGACTAGTTGTGGATGCATCTGTTAGATTTAGGTAGGTATTGAAAAGTACCACTTTGTGCACTTGTTTTAAAAAATATGTAATGAAAACTTAGTTCTGAGGGGCTGCAGAATTTAAATTAATATTTTTTAACAAATTCGAGTGTGACCATTTGACTTGGAAGCACACTCATGCATTTCAACCATTGCTAAATGAAATTTTCATTTATAATTCACGTTATGTTGCTTTGCCCGTGTAAAAATGGTTTATTAGTTATCGTTATGAAAAGGCCACTTCTTTTTTGTCACAAGATTATTACATACAAAACAAATGATGTTTTAAGAGCCTAAACGTACTGCTTGCAGGTTTGTTGATTTGAATGATAAATAAGCGATTTAATTCCGTATATTTTCAAAAGAATGAGGGACAATATTTTGTCTCCTAGATCGGTCCAAACCTTGACAATCTGTTTCCAACCTCAATAAAACAAGAAATTAAAGTAGTATATTATGCAATAAGTGTGGTAAACGGCATTTGTTGCATAATACACTAATAATGATTTCTTTAATTAAAACAAAAAATCCATTTTTTCTTTAATAAAAACAAAAAATTCGTACCTTACCGTACCAAACCTTTTGTATGTTGTTTGTTTGGTTGCGACAATTCATTGAAAACCTAATTACTTGTGATGCATAACATTTTGTCCATAAACGCATCCAAATATTCTGATATTTGTTCATTTTTATACATATGGATATTGTTGATTTTGTTACTATTATTTTTACAATGGAGTAAAGCCATATGCCTTTTGAAGAAAGGAAAAAAAAACATGGAATATCTTAAAAATTCTATTATGAAAATTTGTGACGCAGTTTACTCTTTGATGCGTAATATAACAAAGATCGCATGAAAAATATGTAGTTTACTGGAATGCTTCCAATCCAAATGGTTATATAAATCTTATCTATGTTTATTCAACTATTTCATAACCCTCTAAAGCTTTTTTAAATGTTATTACAATGGACTGACTATATAGCAGATAAATTAAAAAAATATTACTTTATGAATAACCCATGCATGAATATTGTCGCTATGATTTTCATTAGTAAACTTACTTGCGTCCCGCTCTTTCCATCCTGTGGGCAGTTTATCAGCGTAAGAGGAAAATGACAATGATGAGCAAAACATGAACAAACGCTAAGCGCGCAGTTTCGCAGTGTATAGTTTTTTGTTTCAAATGAAAAGCGCCTTTTATAAAAAATATGGGTCCTTGAGCCATTGCGGCCATCAAAATGTATCCAAAGACACGACATCATTCAAGCACACCTTTAATTTTTCGAAATAAATATTTTTATGTTTGCATTATTGTGACTAGATTGCTGTTTGCTGAATAAACGTGTTTAATTATAACAATTCAGATTCAGATTAGTCCACACCGCGATGATTGTGTTTTCAAATTAATTTTTCGCGATACGCATGAATAGGATATTTTGCATATTCACGTCGAGCTTATAATTTGAAAGAAGTCAAGGCTGCTGTTAACAAGATCCAGAGCCTTTGCTTAAATTTATTATACCAATTTTTAAATTAGAATAGAATTTTTGCCAAAGATCGCCAAACTATCACAGAACGAACTAAACTTGATAGATGTAACGAAATACATGAACCCTTTTATTTACAAAATTAACTAAAATTTTTATTTCTACAAACCATTAAATAGCAAAGAAGGATTATTCGATGTATTTTGTGAGTTACTTTTTTGAGTTAAAATGACAATTTTTAGTAAATTAAAAATATCTCTATATCTATTTAAAGAAACAATTAAGCAAATTATTTGAATAAATTTAGTTTTTGGTCACTCTGTTCAAGCCAGCAAGTTTATGTTATAAGAGATGTAAATTTGAAATATTAATATTACTTTGGTTTTGCTAAGTTTAGAAAAACACAAATTATTTAAAGAAATTCGTAGGTGGCGTCATAGTAGGGCCATGCAATATCTCCCTTATTTATCACTATCGAAAGACAAACATTTACCAAAATATTCTCAATTATACATATAGTGTGTTTCAGAAACGTGTGGCCAATCATTTTTTTTAATGGAACAACAACCTATACATTTTTGTATATTCCGAAAAAAAATTGCAGGCCATCGGGATTGTTTTGGAATTTTAATGATGTGTTAATTTAATGAAGAAGATCAATTAATTAATAAAATTAAAATAGAAAATATATTTTTTACAAAATTAAGGTAACTTACCGCTTAGTGAAAATAATTTGGCAAGCTCAAAAACTAGTAATTGATATCAACAAATGAGAACATAAGTGAGTACCACAAAAATCACTACCTGCTGGGCTGCTTGAAAAGTTAAACTCAGAAGGGAACATAAAGGGAACTTTTGAAGCGCGTTGTGTAAAATTCTTTTATATTGACTTACCGATTTTACTGTTATTAGTGTGCGGCCGTTGATTGTAATAGTTCTGGGCAGACTCGAAAACTTGCTTTCGGAATTCTTCATTGGTCTCGCAGGAAGGATACGTTTCTTCTTGATAGGCATCTGCTTTCTTCTTGAAAACAAGCTGCAAATAAGAAGTGGGCTCATATTATCACCATGTCCACGGTAGAGTATCCCAGTTGTTTAGCATTATCTTTAGGAATAAGGCAAATAGGTGGCGCTAGTGCTTACCGCTTGAAGCCCAGACAGTACAATCTATTTCCACAATCACGTTGTAAATTTTAAAGGGCACTGACTCAGTTCGTTGTTTTTTGTTTTCCAATAAAGTTGCTTTGTGATTTCTGCAGAACCAATTTTTATACCATCCTTTTCGAAGAACCTCGTACACCCAAATTTCATCGAGTAATACAAAGTAGTAGTGTTGTGTCAATCGTTCATTTTACGAGAACCGAATCAATCAGTGGATTTCGAAGAGGACCGAATCTTTTCATTCAATCGTTCATTTCGATACTTTTTTTTACCAATTGCAAGCTATAAACCATAAGCGACAATAGTTACTGAATCCCGAACAATCCGAACGACCAATTCAGATTCATTTGAATTATTGTTGTTTCTATATTTTCTGTTTTAGTTAGATTCATAGATTCATAGCTGTCTTCTGCTTTTTATTGCATCACGATTTTAACAACGAAGGTGCTACGTATTTGGTTATACGAGTGATACATTAATTTGTTTAAATTAAATGCCTGCGTGGAAATACATATTTCATTCAATATTCAATTTAACACATAAGCAAATATATCAATTGATATGGCAACTCAGTACCATAGAATTATTATAACAATACTCCCATTCCTTTTCCGTGGTTTGTTTCTGTCATGCATTTCAATCTTAAACCATTTACAAATGATCGGTCGATCGGTTGTCCTGTAATCGGTCACCGTGTCACTTCAGACCAATTAGGGCAGCAGCGAGAGCAAAAAACGTGATCGAATCGTTGCCAACAAGCGGGATTCGGTTGTTCGATCCTATCAAGTGATTGAATCAAAGTTATCGAATCAATCGCGATTGACACAACTTGAAGTGCTCTCGGACCTCCGAGAGAGTGTGTCGTGGGTTCTACGGCGGTAAATAAGGCACAGGATTTGGAAACTACCAAACTTTTACTGAAAGTAACACTATAATTTCTCCAGGAAACAATATTAATCGCGAGACTTTCTTTATTCCCAGGAACACCGTCCTGTTGAAGGTCTTCCGCCCATCTACCCCACTCACGATCCCACCTTTTAAGCAGACATCGCCAATATTTACTGTTGCCGCACTTCACATTTAATCACGCACCACAACCTCTACAAAGTAGTATGTATGGGCCTTCCCAACTGAGATTTTTACTTCTTTAGGAACGCTTATAAACATGATAATATCTTAAAATAGGATCTTTTCAACATATCAGTTTACTAGAGAATTTACCCACATTTTTTTTAACAACCTGTATACATCCAAGTAATTAAGACGATTAAATGATATCTTACCTTCATAATTGTGTAGGTGAAAAATATTATAAAGCCAATTGTATAAATGGGCATGAGTAGACCCATAACTCCGTTGTTTTGTTGCTTCGATGGAACTACGTGACCAGCGCCTCCAATAGTTGGCCGCATTCCAGGAATTGGACCAGGCTAAAAGAATTATACATGAACTAATCGATCGACTTCTTTGTTAGTGGTCGAATAAGATTGCTGTCGTGTAATAAAAGGTAATATTTAGAATAGTATGTGTCTGTGTGCTGCCTTGTATGTTTACGTTATAATGTCTAGTTTAGACAAAAATAATATAAAATTTAGAAATTTTAGTACTGAAGTCCCAGTAGGAACCCAAATACAGGTCCCTTCGTGGGAGCTTCATCCTCTTTCACTTAAAAAACCACCCACAAATGTGACCTCAACGCTTTCCGGCGTTTTGCTCATAAACCGTAACTTCGACCAGAAAATGTTATACATAACATTTTATATTCTCCATTAAATTCTACATGCAATTGTTATGTAATATCTTTGCATATCTCCCTCAACGCTCACAGTTCTCTTGCTGCTATTATCTTAAGAGTTAGAGTGCGCAAAAAATTTACAGAATTGAAATCAAAGAGCAGTTCTGTCTCTACGACACCCACATAAAATAAAATAATTTTTTATACTTGTGATTCTGTAATTTGAGCTCGTTGCCACACCATCACTTGAGGTAAGTTCGACTTCTCGGTCTTTTTTTGGTTGGTTGGTTTCCCATATATGGCTATTCCACTAATTTTCAGATTCTACTTAAAACGACAGAGACGGCAAATTTCGTTATAATAAATAAATAAATAGAAACGCATCTATATTTTAGCCGCTCAAAGCGGATGAATAAATCAGGTCAAAAAAATTTCAAACAAGGATATTAAATTATGTTTCTGCGCCCGCAGTGGTACCAAATTCTTATTGATATTTTTATATCTTCCTAATTTACTTTGACAACGCTTGCAAACTTGGTCCGTTACTACTACTACTACTACTACCGAGGATGTTAACAAATCGTTTATAGGTAGACAGTAAAATCAGATAAGCTATGGATGACTTTAGAGTACCTTTTTCCAAAAGTTTCTTATACTTTTTGTACTATATATGTTGATAATCAAGCGCTTTTAAGGACAACACCAATAATTTTCTAGAAGAAACATTCAGTATGAGCCTGTGCGAATCATTGCAAGGCTTACAATCAAGAAGACCCTGCGGTGTTCAACTACCAAGATGGCCGCTGACAATTCATCAATTCTGCAGCTTTCTTATTACGGCAGTATTTTCTCATAATATTCCCAGATATCATTAAATATTCAAGGAAAAATGAGTGAGAGTAGGTTAGTTTATAAAACTTAGGGACATGTGCGAACGGTCATTGTACGAAAATGTTCGTAGGCACCAGTACAGTAGGAACACTGTACATTGTCAGTGTTTTGTGTGGCTTTCGAAACAAAAAAATTAAATTCGTTTATTATCACTTCCGCGTTTTACTGTTCCAGAAAATTTCTGATTAGGCAAGTGCTGGTTTTCAAGAAAAGAATATTATTACAAGCTAAAAAAAATCCAAAGTCATCATAGAAAGCCAAAACCGCTGCAGAATAGCAATAAAAACAAGAGTCATACTCGTCCTTCAACAATCCGCGGAGAAGGGTTCGTCCTCCAATTGGCTCCTGCTTCCGACTGTGGAATTGCTCTACCTCTTTCTCTAAATGCCGGGTGTATCATTTCTGGTCTTAAATGTTGTGGCCGTTCTTGACGTATACCTTTAACAAAAAAATTTGGCATTTCTGTTAACAGCCAAGCGAATCAATGGGCTAGTTCAGCCGTGCACAACTGTTTAGTAATGCCTCGGGAATACCATTGAGCATCCATCGCAGCGAAGAAATATTATGATGGTTCTATCCAGCACAAATATATCATGCCCTGGACTCAGCACTGGTAAGTGTAGTAAAATTAAATGATAGTGTATGTTATTTTGCAAAAAATTTCAGATGCCTCATTTTCTTGCACACAATATAAGAAATGCATTAAACAATTTCGAAATCCAAAACTAAAAAAGAAAAATGTTTCGGATAAAATTTCAAAAGAAATGAAACTTAGAGGATATAATGTGGAAGGTGAACTACTTGATAGGAAAATAAGAAATATGGAACACACATACAAAAATATTATTGAGAATAACAAAAAAAAACAACTACTGGGAGAGGTCAAATTGATTGGGAATATTTTAATATATTAAAAGATATAGAATAATAAATCCAACAAACTGTATGTCTTCAATTAAAGAAAAACAATTAAAGAAAATGAAATTGCTCTACTTATTGAAGAACCAGAAAATGAATCTACCCAAATGGAAACTTTTTTGGATATTTTTTTGTCATATAGACATTTTTGATTGTAGGTGGTGTAAAGTTGGAGAAATAGGCTACTTGCAATAATTGTACTTAGTTTTTTTACTTTGGTAAAGAAATGAAATGCACTATCGAAATAATTTTAGCTTTAATGTGAAATATTTTAACTTTAACAATAATTAACTCATAGTACATTTGCTAAGTAGTCTCTTTTCATATGTCCTTGAATTTGATATAATTATTTTCGTTTTCATTAAAATTCTTATTCAGTTCTTCATTGTCTATATACATTCCATTTCTGCAAGGGGACAGTTTTCATAAGTTATATCAGATTATGCAGCACACATGCTGCAGTTAAAACTGACGGAATTTTGTCATCCGTGCTTATATCTAAATATTTCGAGCTTTCAAATTATTCTTTTAATAATCCAAAGCTTTGTTCAATTAAAACACGCATAGAATTAAGCTATGTATTAAATCGTACTTTTTGATGTGTCTGATGTCCATTATCTCCATATGGTTTTAAGAGAAATGAAAGTGGATAAGCATTAACACCTATTAAATGCTGATTTTGATTTGTTATAGGATGTTCATTATTCAGGTATACAGAGGGCTAATTCTAAAAACCCTTGCGTCATGTACTCTGCCAGGGGTACCAACAAAGAAGTCATATAAAACACCTCAAATGTATGTCTAGTCATTCTAAAATGACTATGGAAGTCATCCAAGGTATACTGAGGGATGTTTATCTCATAAAAATTCCCATTCTTAGTTGGTGTTAGCCTTTCCAGTGGAATAGTATGTGCTACTGCAACCAAATTGTCAACTGCAGCTACCTGTAGAAACACAAAGTCTGCTTTATAAAGGGTAGATCAACAGATGTCCTCATATATTTATATAAATAGATAGATAGACTAAAGATACAACTATACTTATTACAAGGGTGAAACCCATGTCATCTTCCAATAGTTCATCAATTAAAATTTCATTGATTTTTAATAAAATTTGAAACTGAAAAATAGTTCTTAAAAACGCCACTTTCGATAGACACCAAACTTTTTTTTAAGGTTTTATTTGATACCCCGGAAAACCCAAAATCCAGCCTCGGTGCCAAAAATATGTTTTTTTATTTAGGTTATTTAGTTTTTCAAAATATCTTAGAAATAGTGCGGCATACTAGTGGCTAAAATGAAAGATGCATCCGATATCAAATTTATCAAAATTCTCTCAGTTTTTTATATGTCGTATCTATGTACAGTGTGACCAATTTTTGATAGCTTTACTGCGTAATTATTAATAAAACTTTTTCATAAAACGAAAAGTGGCACAAACAGAAATGCTGGATTTTTAAGTACAACGTGATTTTAGAAATGTTGCATTTTAGAAACCCTTTGTTATGCGTAAACTTATGGAAAAGATCAAGGCTGCTCTGGATGGGGTTTTTTACGTAGAATCCAGTGGAGTTCTCACTTTTCTTCTGAAACATACACATTTTGCTATATAAGCTAAATTTGTGTTCTTTTTTAGTTGGTACACCCTGTATGTGTTTAAATAATTTTTGCTATGAGCTTTTAACAAATATAACTAACAGTAGGCCATGGAAATACAGACTTTTCTACATAAATTGCATAATTTATTATAAAAAGTTACACACCCATATCATTCCATTCTATCCGTTCCATTCATTCATTTCTCATAATTGCCATAATTTGGTTAGCCATGGCGGATAACGTATTGTAGCATAGTCGTTTAAAGTAGTTTTAAGTTTTCGAGTAGCGCGCGAGTGTTTAGTTTGGAGAGCGAGCGGCTGGAACAAAGAGATGGCCGATGCGATAGGAGGGAAAGAGACAGACGGCAGTTGCGAGAGCCAAGAGTGACCGCTGTAAGGCGGAACGGGGAGTAACTAGAGGACAGCTGGTGGCTGTTCGAACGACGTAAGTTGGAAGACTTCCTTACTTTCGTTAAACAGTTGTGTTATTAATTTATCTCACTTACCATCAATTTCTTATTTAAATAAATTGTTTACTATTTTATTCTATAATTTTCAAATTTGAAGATGACTGATTACTTTTTAAAAAAACACACCCAATAACTCAACTAAATAGAACAAGTTGCTGCATTTATGGGGCATACAAAGAAAACACGTCAGAAATCTTACAGATGGGTACGGTAGATACAAATATTCTAAGAAGCAACCACCTTTTTTTCTAAAACTAATCATTTCAAGATTACCACATCTGGTATAGTAAACTGCAAAAATTTTAAAATTGTTTTTAATGATGGACAGAGGACTAGGTAGCGAAAATAAATAAAAGACCTTGAATAAAAACAGTTTTCAACAAAACGAGAATGGTAATAAACTTTAAATATTTTTTTATACAGTCTGCTATTTGCATTTTAGTAACACGTTTATGAACCTGGATAATTTGTAATATATTTCCATTTTTGATCTACATATAATTTAAAAAAAATACAATAGTGTCTCTGCAGGGACACTATGACATCTAGTTTTTTTTTGATAGACCACGCTGTAGAGTGTTTTTATCTTAAAAATGGCAACTAAAAACACTAATTCTCGAGGAATATGGAGTAAAAAGCAAAAAAACGAGATGCGAAGATGCGTTATTTTTTTAAGAATCACATAAAAGAAAAAAGGGCACCAAAAAAAGGGGAATGTTTGAAGTTGATAGAAACGTGACTAAAATCATAACTAAACTAATTTCTTTGAAGTTCGAATACAGGGTAGAGTGCTTGAAATATCGCGGTCGCCCCTCTTAAGCATTACTACCGTAAAATTTTGATAATTCTTTTTTAGTAGGATAGATTTTACTGAAAGACACTAACGATTTTCTTAAAATAGGGTATGCCATAAAAAAACAATCTACAGGAGTAATGCTTAAGCGGGGTGCTAGCGATTTCGAGCTTCCTGTGATTCGAACGTGATGGAAATTAGTATAGTTAGGTTTTAAGTAGTTCTAAAAAGAATTCGGTGACACTTTATTCTTAAAGAAATCCCTAATAGCCCTTTTCGATATTTAACACCAAAAAGTAGTCTCAGTGGGCCATAACTTCAGGTTTATGTAATATGAAATATAAGGTTTTTTTAATCCCTAATAGTACTTCTCTCTTCTCTCTCTTTTGTTAAATAGTCCCAGTTGACCATGAGTTTAAGTTCAAACAATCAGCATAACAAAGTTGTCAAAATCGAACCAGAAACAAAGGTTTCACAAGAGTGCACAGTTAATTTTTCAAAGAGATTTCTACAGGCTACTGTAATACTTTGTACAAAACTTCTGGATTCCTCCTGCGTCGGTTTTTACTGAGTCGACATTGCTGTCGTTTCGCCAATCATTCTGTTGGCTTCTTCAGAGCTTGACTGAAACTGGCTCACGTTTTACTCTGTACTTGCTTATATATTGTTTGAGGAGGGCGGAACTAAATGTTTGAAGGGGGCGCTAAGTAACCAAATTGGTGACAGGTAGAGACCTGGGAACCAGTCATCCGAGACGGTGTTTATACCGCTCATTAGCGCCCCCCTCAAACATTATATAAGCAGGTACACAGTAAAATACGAGTCAGTTTCAGTCAAGCTCTGAAGAAGTCAACAGGATGATTGGCGAAACGTCAGCAATTTCGACTCAGCAAAAACCGACGCAGGAGGAATCCAGAAGTTTGGTTGTTAAGTGGGATATACTGTATATATTGCTGCGGTATTTGAAAAAGAACAAAACTAAGTATATATTTCCTTATTTGGCATTTCTGGAAGTGTTATAAACAAATACTTTTATTTATACCCACACTTAAATAATTGAAGCCACGTTTCTTTCAACTTCAAACATTCCCCTTTTTTGGTGTCCTTTTTTCTTTTATGCAATTCTTAAAAAAATTAGGCATCTCGTTTCTTAACTTTTTACTCCATGTTCTTCGTTTATCTTTCTTCTGCTCTATATTGCAGTATAACCGTCTGCATTGCAGCTATCGCTTTGCGTGTCCGACATAAGATCCGAAGAAAGTTGAGATCTCAGGTGTCGTGGGAGGAAAACTCCAGAAGTATATCTACTTTATAAGGCTCATTAGTTTCCATAACATCTACGAGGAACACAAATTTCCAAGACTTCTATACGTTTTCATTCACTAACACTCGGAAACGAATATTTTCAGTTGCCATTTTTAAGATAAAATACTCAACAGGGTGGTATATTAAAAAAACTAGATGACGTTCTATGTCTCGTATTTCCCTTTTATTTCGGAATTGCTTTGTGTATGATTTTTTTATAGAACGTGCTGAATTGAATTCATTGAAATGAAACCTTTTGTTCTTTGTTTGTTTTTTTTATTATGCGTGGATCAGAAATGGAAATATATTGCAAATTATCTAGATTCACAAACGAGTTAGTTAAATAACAGGCTGTATAAAAAAATATTTAAGGTTTCTTACCATTCTTGTTTTGTTGCAAACTGCTTTTATTCAATATCAGTTTGCTTAAGTGTGTTTCCTTTATTTTCGGTACCTACTCCTCTGTCCATCATTAATAGTAATTTGTAAATTTCTTCAGTCTTGAAATTAATAGTTTTAGAAAACAAAAATCATTGGCGCTTACAATATTTGTAATTCCTAATGGGTTTCCTTCGTGTTCCCCATAAATGCACCAACTTGATCTATTTTGTTGGTTTGTTGAGTGTGTTTTTTAAAACTAATCAGTCATCTTGAAATTTGAGAATTATAGAAGAAAATAAGAAACGATTTATTTCGCTAACAAAAATTAGTGATTTTTTAATATAACAAAAAAGTCAATAAGATAAACTAATTCAGAAAATCTCAAATCATTCGTTGATTTCATATAAATTAACTGGCTAGCATAAGCCTAGAATAAGAGTATTTGCATAATACAAAGTTAAGTTAAGTCTGTTTATTGCAACTCAGTTTAATACTAAACAATTCAAGTACAGTCACGCAAGTTTAATAAAATAGTGATTTGGTTTGGGAAAAAGCAGTTAAAAAATTAAAGATGTTCAAAACTTATAAACGCTTCTATTTCAGCAAAACTTTTCCATTAAAAAAATATATTTTACTTCTTTGCAATACTGGTTTTGCGTTAGGAAAAGTGTAGAGTATCCGGTATCATTGAGGCATCGAATAACTGATTTTGATATAAAAATAAATGAAAACATTGATAGAAATGATATTTTCTGATGTTCAAAATAGTTTATTCATGCCTTTTTGATTTTTAACATCGTTTTCACTCATCACTCCACAGGTTAATATTACAAATTTTCTTCCACGCGAAGTTATATCTACGTTAAGTAAAAAATTTAACTTCGTTAAAGTACGTTGGTCTACTAAACAACAACTGCAAAAATTTGCTCAAAATATTAATTGAATCGTTGCCGTCGCAGTGTGGAAATATGACAATGCTGCTGGATCTCGTTTTGAGACTTGTATCTTATATATCAACACATACAAGTTTCGGGAGCTCGACTTGCACTGAAGGATCTTAATTTGGCTAATATTTCACAAAAAAAAAATTAAATTAAAAATTATTTTCCCTTTACATATATATATATATATATATATATATATATATATATATATATATATATATATATATATATATATATATATATATATATATATATGACATACATGACATACATGTAGCTATTATAATATAAATGTCGGTAAAAATTGCGATCATGGATTTAATCGAGGTAAACCATTGTGCGTCCATAATCGGATATACTTTTTGGATACCTGGTCTCATATAATTCTAGTTTCTACATAAATGTGGATTTTCTTGGCTCCACTACTTTATATATAGCGTGGGTCGAGGAAAAGCTAACAAAACCACATCAGAGTAAAATATTTTGCAAAATCACAAATCAAGTCAAGTAAGGGTTGTTAAACTGCTGCAAAACATTTTTATTTAAATTTATTTTAAAATTCTAAGAGAACGTAATTGTCTTTATTACTACAATTGTTAATGTACACAATGTAAATATGTTAAAGAACAACTCTCCCAAAAAAAAAAAACACGACACACAGTCCTTACTAGAAGAACCCATGCTAAGGGTAACCCGATGTGGTACGCCAAGTCTCCACGGCGACACTCCAAAGTGGTGTTTCAGACACAGCGAACCATTCAAAGACCGCACTTCTTCCAGTATTTGTTTAACAGAATGTCCGAGTCCAACTTTTTCTTGCAGAACGGCGGAGATATCAATACCGCAGGATTCAAGTACTGCTTTTCGACATTGGCGAACTATTGCCTGAGAAGTTGGTGGTTCCGCTTTCGCGTTGATTATCGATTTGCATAACTCAGACATTATTCTGATAGTGTTTAAGTCCGTGTCGTAGATAACGTCGCAACATCCTACGTCAAAATACATTTCGTAAAAGAATGGCGGAGGTATACGTATATAGAAAAAATTTGATGTTAAAGTAATACTTTCTGGCAGCCAAAAGTTTGAAATCGATATCAACTAGGGAAGCTATGTGGACAATAATATTTTTACAATTACTCCGGGTTCCGCAAAATAGGTGTGACTTTACTTTTTTTAAAAAACTATGTATAATTATTTTCGGAATTTATTACTCAGTCTTCACTTTAGTATTTTACACAGATCCGGATTGGAAATCAAAGATCCAAATAAAGGGTAACAATTAATAATATACAGTTCCAAAATTATAAGAACAAACAAGAATATTAGTACTTTCTGGTAGAGATGGATAGGATTTGTTGGTAAATAGTATGACCTGTAATAAATAATAATAAAACTATTCCACGTACCTATTCCATGTCTAAAATGACATTTCGAATACTACATTGTAGCGTACCAGCGCTGTAACTTGTCATAAGAAACGTATTTTTCAATGATCCAAAAATAAGAAAGGTATACTGGGTTCCCAATTGGAAATTTAATTTTGAATTTTCTTGATAACTGCTAAAAAATAATAAGTCCTTTGGTTCGATATTTTATATTCGGCGGTTTTTTAAAGTGAAAAATGTATATAGATATTTAATTTGCATGTAAGTTGTAAAGGGTGTTTTCAACGCTAAATTTTTCAAGATAAGTTTTATTGGAGGTACTTGTTGATTTTTATAACACAGTAATTACGTAAAATGGTATATTGTGCAACAAGTGCGACAAAACGGCATTTGAGCCACGAGTTTATTTGACACACGCGGAGCAAGTGTTTAATAAACGAATGACTTAAAATTTTTACAGCAAGGAGTAGAAAAACGTATTTGTAATAGTGGTTTTTCTACTCTATTCTGTGAAATACACAAGAATTATTTTTCACCAAAAATGTGTTTTCTAGGAATTATCAAAAAAAAAAATAAAAATTAATTTTCTACTTTGGACACCTTGTATCTTCATCATTTTTGAGTTATTTAAATAATGATATTGGAAAAAGTTATGAAAAGTTGATGAGTTCTACACACAAATCAAAAAATCTTTAACTTAGTAAAACTATTATTACAGTATTAATTACCTACCTAGCTGTTGCAGCATTTACTGAAATGATTGGTTTGTTCAGAGTTAATGTTGCGGTTTTTTTTTTATTTTTAGTTTATATGCTTATAATTTGAGCTTTAGCGGTTAACCGTACGTACAATTAGGGTGTTTTGATAGCATCGGAATCATTAAAAACTTGGAAACGAAGAAATTTTCAGTACGGCCTTCATACATAATAATTATATAATAATATAATTATTACAACATAGTACATTATCCAAACAAATATAAAAGTGAAAATAGAGATTTATTTATTTATAGAGATGGAATAAACAAATCGACAGATTTCTAATAGAACTTGTCTGTAGTGTTTGACATGTTAGAGTGTTTCTTTTTTAAATAATTGTGCATTACCGAAACTAAAAAAAATCTGATGCTAACAATATCTAACCCGGTTGTAACATTCTTATCAACACATCATCACTTCACTTACCCCGAAAAAAGAGAATAAAATGTTATATGTGTTATATGAATGTATCATTAAGTTTAGTCTGAATCAGTAGCTCTTTTACTAGTTTATTAAAGTTAATTTTTTCAATTACTAAAAATGTTTCTTATTTCGGCCGAAGCAAGTTGAATTTTTTTATCAGTGTGGCATTTTTATTGAAAATTTCCTTTATCAACCAAAAAGAACGTTATAGTTAACGATCGATTTAACAATAATTTTGAAGATCTTGCAGATTTTCTAAATATCTATTTAACTAGCGAATTCAATAGGGCTTTGGAATCGGCGCTCTTAAAAAGCGAGAACAGAGTTTTTAACACCTTGTATACTAACTATGTACCTATCTATAGTTCAGTGAGTAAAATATACCATAATCCATGTATTAACCAAAGTAAATAATAATAATAGACACTGCTGAATTGGTAATTGTTTCTACATTATTCGTTTAATATCAACATCGTTAAGTAACCCTTGTTTAAAAAGCGATAAATTATAAAAACAAAATAATAATTGAAATTGAACTAAAAAGCGAATATGAAAAGAGTATTGGAAAATTGATCTTTTACTCAGAGTTATAAATTTAACATTGGGAAAATTATGTAAAACAGACAATATAAGTGAATAATAGCTATATGCTACAAATATTCTCATATTGGCGAGACTTCAAGGAGAGTTTAAAATATTTTTGCGATTACCGTGACATCATGTAAACGAATTTCAAAATTTACAAACTCACTGGTAGTTTTGTCTATCGGGCCCGGTTTAATCTGGTTGTTGACGTTGGCGACCAACATTGGATAAAACAACTTTGGCCATAAAACCGCGAAACATCCAACCACGACAACCAACACTAAAATTGTCTTTTTCGGGCTGAAATCATCACCCGACGACAATTTAGATTCACCGTAATAACTATACGAGGCAGAGCGCATTCTTTCCGCCATGTTTGCACTTTTAACTCCCGACCCCACGATTTTTAAACGTAGATAACGTCGCAGCCAACTCCCGTTGTTTGTGGATTGTCGTTTCGCGACTTACTAGATCACAGAGCATTTATAGCAAATGAATCACGGCGGTTTGTCGATATATTCGACAATAATTTACGAGCCTTGTGTTCTAGTCGATCGCGTCCATTCGAAACTCGCGAAAATTCAACCGGCCTGACTTTCCTTCCACAAGTTTTCTAAAATAAATCGATGACGACGCTGGCGCCGACGCTTAGCGTCTGTACGTACAGTATTTGACTGTTGCGTAAATTGCGTTATACCATTAATCCACCGCTGGTTACATCGAACAAACGGTTTGCCGCATTTTACATAGCGGTCCAATCGGGAAGTACAATGCATCTTAAATTACCTTACGGTATCTTAAGAACCATTCAAGATACACACCTTTTATCCTTAGCATTGTTAGACAACTTTTTTGAACTTTTTGGATATTTCCGCAACTTTGAAAAATACAGGGTTAGTTTAAGCTAGATGCATTTTTGTAGAATTCATTGACTTCATATAGAAGCAAGCAAATCAGTTCTCAATACCAATTTCGAAAAGACGATTCCTGTGTTTTCGATTATAGGCGATTACAGCTAGGCAAAAATGGTTAAAAGTCTCATTATTACATCTTTTAAAAATTTTAAATTAATCAAGATATCTAAGAAACTAATAAAGTAAGAAAACCTTAAGGAAATGTTCTCAGAAATTCAAGAATAAAATAATATACCGGATGTTGTATTTAAAATAAGGAAGTTATTGACTGTGAGATATTTATTAAATTGTTTTTGCCTGGATATAATAAAAAGGTTGCTATCGGAGAGGAAGCTTGTGGTTAGGGATGCTTCCACCTCTTTATTAGTTAGCCGAAGATTCCTTACTGCAGTATGCCGATGATATTGCCCTTGTTGGGGCAAGTCGAGAAGGACTGTAGTTGCCTTTCCGTTCCCGTGAAATAAGCAGAAGTAATCGGCAAAGTCTTGAGGAATTTTGGGGTGATGGTTTTGAAAAGTTTGGTCTTGTGATTAATATATGTCTTGTATTAATATATGTCTTTGTTTTGACATTCGTAACATTTTTAACGAATTCATACAAAACTGCCAGAAGAGTTACATTCCCGAGGAATATGTAACTATTGATGACATGCTCCTAGGTTTTCGAGCGAAATGCCCTTTTCGGCCAGTACATACCATGGAAACCTAACAAATATGGCAAAAAATGTTATGCCATTATTGATTCAAAATGAATTACACTTATGAGATGGAAATATAATCATTATGTCGACCAGAAGGACCTTTTTATGTCAGAAACAATGCAACAGCAGTAGTATACAGGATGCCTGAGTCTTTATTTGGGTCTGGCCGCAACATTGCCGCTGACAATTTGTTTACCGATATGAACCTTGTTGACACTTTAAAGTAGCATGTCATTTATTTTTGGTAACAATTTGCAACCAATGCATCGAAGAATATTTCTCAAACGTTTGGCACACGAATTGACAATCGCAGAACTAAGGCGAAAAAGTTTAAAAATTATTAGAATTCTTATAGAAATTCAAAATAGACTGAAACGATTTCGCTCTTCTTCCCAGGAAGAAGAAGGTATTCCTCCATCAATAGCCCCAAAAAGACCAACGAAACTGGTTTGAAAATGCTTACAAATCATGAATGTAAGAAATGTAAGACACTTCTTTGCTGGTCTCACGTAAATATGGTGTGCGATGGGTGCTTTACTCCAAAAAATGCAGATTCTTACTCAGAGTGATTACCATTTAAGAAATAATTGATAAGAGAAATTTGTAAATAAGTTTAATAATATTTGTCCGAGAGTTAAATTAACTATTATTTATTTTGAAGGAGTGCCGAATAGGCTCCTTGCGCCCGCCGGAAGGCTAAATAGTAATCTTTGGTTCTCACTGAAAAATATTTTGCTTTTACGTGTTTTGCTCGAGTGTTTCATCTAACTTACATAGGCGCCTAACATTGTGCTAGATCTCACCACCTACTTATATATTATTTTGTAATAATAATGTTTGGTAAAATTTAAATAAAGGCATTATTTATTTAATTATTTTACTTTCAACCCCTTGAATCATTCTAACGTCCAATATTTGCCAATACATTTATTGAATAAATCTTAATTTGACATAACTTGGCTGTAAACTAATGCCAGAAGTATAATCATAAGCATAATATCGCCGCAATGGTGGTTAAAGGTGTAACTGCATTTTTACAAAATCGAGTTATTGACAGAACTAAATGGAAAAATGCATTATCTCTCTGTAAACATTTTTTGGATTATGGATTGCGTTTGCGCCCACATGTCATTCTCCTAAATGGAACTCCAATGTCGTAAGTGTCAGTTGTTTGGCCAATTTATGCATTATCAAAAGAGAAATTTAAGAAAGAGACATAAGTGTACATTTGGTCTATTTTATTTTCAAAAATATTTTTAAGTATATTCTTTAAAAAAGAGTTTCAATTTTAATTTAGATTACTCAAATAACAATATCGTAAACAAACATATTAGCTAATTTAATAAATCCTCAACTTACAACTAACAGTAAATTCCAGGATCTTTCGCATATGCCTATGGTAAAGTCAATTAAAAATAAGGCTTCTCTAAATAATATAGCATCTACAAGAGCAGATAAAGCTATCGATTCTCTAGAATATATTACAAAACCCAAACAGTTTCTTAAACCAGACATATCAAAAAACGAGTTATATCAAAAACAAATCAAAACCGTAATTACCTATTCATCACTTCTTAATGACAGAAAAAATACCAACTAATAATTATGAATCCTCACCTCCAAAATTATATTCTTCAATTAAATTACACAAAAAGGATATGTCAATTAGGCCTGTAGTTTCTTTTGTTGGCTTTTTCATAGCTTAACTGAATCTGAACCAGATGGAAACAAAAGCCAAAAGGCTGATTGGCGAAACGTTAGCAAGTTCGACTGAACAACAAACGACGCAGGAGGAATCCAGAAGTTTAACCGATTGACGTAATAACATAATATACAATCTCACTCAGAGACAAGTCAACCATAAAACAAGACTTGTTAGATAGTTTAATAGTTTTTTTAGACCAAAGTAAGGTGACTTCCGCAGGAATACTCTCAGAGGTACAATTAACATAAACATAAATATTAAAAAGAAGAGGTGCCAGGGAGAACCTTGTGGGATTTAGATTGCGGACCAACTACTAAGAGGTGGAAGCATCCCTAACCACAAATAAAATACGGGGAATATTACTACTAAGATTGCTTCTTCTTCTTCAGCTGCCTATCCACTACTATTGGATATTGGCGATCACATTTCCGTATGCTACCCTGTCTATTGCTGTATGTACAAGGTCCCCGATATTTTTCAAGCCAGTCCATTCCCTCACGTTTCTAAGCCATGACATTTGTTTCCTTCCTACGCCACGCTTGCCCTCTATCTTACCCTCGACGATTAGCGTTTTTCGTTTTTTTATGTGTAATAGAATTTCTCTGTCTCTGCCCATTTTTCTCAAAATTTCCTCGTTTGTAACCCTTTCGACCCATGATACTCTCAGCATACGGCGGTAAGTCCACATCTCAAACGCTTCTAATCTATTAATTGATGTTGTTTTGAGCGTCCATGTCTCCATACCATATAATAGAACGGACCATATATAGCACTCGACGTATCGTCCTCTTAGGTTCAGGCTTGTGTCTCTGTTGGTAAGTATATGTTTAAATTTGAGAAAATAGCTCCGGGCTATTTCTATTCTGGCTTTGATTTCTTTGTCGTTGTCCCCATCGTCATACAGCCAACTACCCAAGTATCTATATTTCTTGACTCGTTCCAAAGCCATTCCATCGACGAAGAGTTGCGCATTCACATAAGGCACCCTGTCCCTACTGATTATCATAAACTTTGTTTTATTACTATTTATGTTTAGTCCATAGTTTTTACTGGCGTCGTTTAGTAGAGTAATCAGTTGTTGTAAGTCTTGGATATTATCCGCTATCAAGACAGAATCATCCGCGTACCTAATGTTATTCACATATACTCCATTTACTTTGATTCCGATATCCTTATCTTGGAATGCTTCGCCAAAAATGGCTTCTGAGTACACGTTAAACAAAAGTGGGACATGATGCATCCTTGTCTCACTCCTCTACGTATTTCTATATCTTGTGTTTTCAGTTCGTTTGTTGTTATATGTGCAGTTTGATGCCAATATAGATTTTGAATGCAGCGAACATCTTTACCATCTACATCCATTTTTTGTAATATCTCGATTAGTTTTGTGTGCTGCACTCTATCAAAGGCCTTTTCGTAATCAACAAAACAAAGAAAGACGTCCTTTTTTACATCGCAACAATTCTGAACCAGTACGCGAATACTGAAAAGAGCCTCCCGCGTCCCCATTCCACTCCTAAACCCAAATTGTGTGTCTTTAATACTGTCCTCACATTTTCTATGTAACCTGTGGTGTAAGACTTTAAGAAATATTTTTAGTGTATGGCTCATCAGACTTATTAATCGATGTTCTTTGCAGCTTTTTGCATTTCTTTTTTTAGAGTGCTATCATCCGGGCCAGATGAACCCTGGTTTTTTAACGAGGTGTTACTCCTCGATCCCTCCTCCTTCCTCATCTCTTGCGTGATGAGACCCCAGGCTTGGGACTGGCATAGCGGAGTTACTAAGATTGCTAATGGAATTAAATATGTTGTCAAAGTCGCCTCCTCTCGATAACTTTAATTTTCATAAAGCGGATTGGGGCTTATTCTCAGGTCTAGTATCTTCTCCAATGTTGGAAAACAAGCTATTCCGAGTAGAAAGAGAAATCACAGATTTGACTTACACCGGATAATTCGTCTAAAGAGAGAGGACTCTTAGACCTAAGAGAAAAAGCAATTTTATAAAATTCTGTGAAAGCTTATCTCTTTTCAATAAGGTTTCCGAAGTTTGGGAAACGGTAAAGATTTTCGCCAGGTCCCTTAATGCTCTTAATAGGCATTTTCCGTTGAATTATTCTGTCCAGCAGATGATGCGTGATTCTCGTACATCTCCAGTTGAACCAGTTAGTATTCTCCCTCCTCGCATATTTAAGGCTAAATCTTCCCCTAGATTTTCTTTGAAAGAGTTTACTTCCACAATTGAGGATCGGAGAAGCACATGTCCTGGAATGGATGGAATTGCATTCCCCCTTAAGCATCTTCCTATTGAGGATGTTGTTTATGTCATAACAGTGATGTATTATATTGTACTGTTGGCATTATGATTTGGCCCCCACCCCATATGTTTTCATTTGAAGCAGAGAAAAAAGTTATGTGGTAGATTTGGATTTGAATTCGAATTTGCGAATATTACAGTGGACCAGTTCGAGATTTACCTTAATTAAAAAAAAAACGCATTCCTGTGGAAATACCGAGAAAGTAAGCACGGAAATATTGTAAAATCACATTCAAATCTCGAAAAAATCTGAAGTTGTCCCAGATGTTTAACCAGACCCTTGAACAACCACTTCGGAGAGCTTCAAAATGGTGTATTGCTCAACCATCTTGAAACCGTCGGCAAGACATAAAATCACCCCCAATAATCAAATGCCGTAAAATTCGATTTATTTATTGTGGAACTCAAAAAAATCTGACGTCCCAGATGTCGAATTAAATCATTGAAGAGCCACTTAGAAGAGTTTTAAAATGATGTATTGCTCAACTACCTTGAAGCGGTAGGGAAGATATAAAACTACCTGAATTATGCAAACTCCTTTTTAAATTACTATACATATATTAATTTATTTCGCGGTTTTTTCGCGCCCAAAAAATGACGACTCTTTTTACTTGCGGCCGAAGACAAAGGTCAAAACTTTTAAATCGATCCACACGGACTCTCTCTCTGATCGACCGTCGAACCGAACGCATCACGGACAATTCCAAAGTGTAAAGCAATTAAAAAGTGCCGGTACGTGTAAAACCCGCGGGTGCAGAGAACCAGCAACCCCCCTCAAAGGATCAAGGTAGGCCGCACCCTTTCGGAGTCGTCATTATATCGTCGATCTCGAAACTTTATTAAAGGGAAAATCAAAAAACTAGTAACCAGCCCAAATACAGTCCACTCAAATTTTCGTACACAAAGATTTATTTTATTTATTTCGCAATCTCAAAAAATCTGACGTCCCAGAGATTCAACCAGAAAATTAAAGAGCCACTTAGGAGAGCTTCAATATGATGTATTGCTCAACCACCTCGAGGCGGTCTGGAAGATATAAAACTACCCCTAATAATGAGATACGCTAAAATTCATTTTATTTATTTCGGAATCTCAAAAAAGCCTGACGTTGTCCCAGATATTGAATGAGTCTATTAAAGGGCCACATAGGAGAGCTTCAAAACGATGTATTACTCACCCACCTTGAAACCGTCGGGAAGATATAAAACTACTTCCAATTATGAAATACCCAAAAGTTCGATATATTTATTTCGCAATCGCAAAAAAAACAGACGTTGTCCACCACCTTTAAGCGGTCGGGAAAATGTAAAACTACCCCAAATAATTAAATAACCAAATGTTCATTTTCTTCATTTCGGAATCTCAAAAAAACCTGACGTTGTCCCAGATAATGAATTAGACCGTTGCAGAGCCGCTTACGAGAGCTTGTCTCAGATATTCAATTAGACCATTGAAGAGCCAGGTAGGAGAGTTTCAAAATAATGTATTACTCAACCACCATGCAACGGTGGGAAAGATATAAAACTACCCCCAATAATGAAATAACCAAATATTCGTTTTATTGATTTTGCAATCTCAAAAAAATCTGACGTCCCAGATATTCAATCAGACTATTAAAGATCCACTTAGGAGAGCTTCAGAATGATGTATTACTCAACCACAATTGAAACTGTCCAGAATATATAAAACTACCCCCAATTCTGAAATACCCAAAAGTTCGTTTTATTGGACTATCTAAAAGCCACTTAGGAGAGCTTCAAAATGATGTATTGCTCAACCACCTCCAAACTGTCGGGAAGATATGAAACTACCTCCATTTATGAGATGCCCTAATATTCGTTTTCAAATGGTTGTCATATTTAAAATGTTAAGTTGTATATTTTACCATGTTTTATTGCTATGGTTAATTTTATGTTAATTTTCAAAAGGTGTATATGATTGTTTCTTTTTGTTTCTGAATTATTTGAAAAAAATTGTACAACCCGCATGATAACTATTGCTCCTAATCTGGAAACGATTCAAATTGTTTTTTCTTTAAATGGGACTAAACGTCAAGTACAGAATTTAGTCCCCTTTCGAATATATCCCTATACTGGAAATAGTTTATATAAAAGCGCAAATGTCATCCCAGAAAACTTTTAATTAATGGCCTAATAAAGTAAAAATGAAAAGTACAAATAAAATTAAGAAAATCTCCTGAATATCGCGAGTATCCATGATCGATGGATGTGTCTTTGTGGGTCAATTTCGAGTTAAAAACGAAATCTTTACTTTGATAATGGCGAATTTTAGGGCATCACATTATCGGGGGTAGTTTTATATCTGCAGGGCCGTTTCAAGGTGATTGAGCAATACATCATTTTGAAGCTCTCCCAAGTGACTTTGCAACGTCTGATTTTTGTGAGATTGCAAAATAAATATATCAAACTTTTGGGGATAGTTTTATATCTTCCCTACCGTTTCGAGGTGGTTGAGCAATAGATCATTTTGAAGCTCTCCTAAGTGGCTCTTTAATTGCCTAATGCAATATGTGGGACAAGCTCAAGTTTTTTTTTGAGATTCCGAAATAAATAAAATGAATATTGGGGTATTTCATTATGGGGGGTAGTTTTATATCTTCCCTACCGCTTCAAGGTGGTTGAGTAATACATCATTTTGAAGCAGCGATCTCCTAAATGGCTCTTAAATGGTCTAATTCAATATCTGGGGCAACGTCGGGTTTTTTAGAGTCCGAAATAAATAACACGAATACTTGGTGATTTCATTATTGGGGTGGTTTTATATATTCCCAACAGTTTCAAGGTGGTTGTTTGTGTGGCTTAAGGAAGTCAGGTGGTTTTGAGATTCAGAAATAAATAAAACAATTATTTGGTTTTTTCATTATTGGGGGTGGCTTTATATATTCCCGCCTTTTTCAAGGTGGTTGAGCTCTCCTAAGTGGCTCTTTAATGGTCTAATTCAATACCTCGGACAACGTCAGATATTTTTGAGATTTCGAAATAAATACAACGAATTCTTGGGTATTTTGTTATTATTTTGTTTTATATCTTCCCGGCCGTTTTGAGGTGGTTGAGCAATATATCATTTTGAAGCTCTCCTAAGTGGCTTTTGAATAGTCTAATTGAATGTCTAGGACAACGTCAGATTTTTTTGAGATTGCAAAATAAATAAAACGAATATTTGGTTATTTCATTATTGGGGGTAGTTTTATATCTTCCCGACCATTTCTAGATGGTTGAGTAATATATAATTTTGAAGCTCTCCGAAATGGCTCTTTAATATCTGGGACAACGTCAGATTTCTTTGAGATTGCGAAATAAATAAAACGAACTTTTGGGTATTAGGCTTTCACGGCCAGAAACTACACTGCTAAGTATTTCCGGGCTTTTGAGCCACTGTAGTACTAAACACCGAAGACTATGACAAGAAAATACTAGACCTATTAGATCCCAACGTATACAAAAAGCTACGACAAGATCCAACCAACAGTATCCTAAGAAAAACCAACTCATTAATTAAGAAGTCATCCATTGAACCAGAAATCCAGCCGAAACTCCGCAATTCGGGCGCCTTACCACCAAGATTATACGGATTACCCAAAATCACCTATCACCAAAATTACGAATATTTTATGGATGTAATTTTCCTATCTAGTGCAGAATCTGTTCCGATGCATAAACCCTCATTAAACTATGGGTTACCTTGGTGGGATAATGAGTGCACCAACGCCATTAAACGGAAAAGATAAGCATTCAGAGATTATAAAATCTACCCCTCTGAGGCCAACTTCCTGGAATCATTAAGAACCGGGCACAAACAAGACAGCTGCTACATAGGAAGAAAAAGGGGGGCTATGTCAACTTTCGTGAGAAGCTATCTCCCAATACTAGTTCAAAAGAAGTTTGGAGCAGTTTTAGAAGGTGAAAAACCGACTGGAATGGTTCGGGGAGAACCAAGCTTTAATTGACGTTCGCCAAAGTGGCTTCAGAAAGGGTAAGGGAACTTTCGACAACCTCAGAGGTCCTCTGCCGTTTGGCTCGCAATCAACTAGCAGCAATGGTGACGCTGGACATATCCAATGCCTACGATAATATAAATGTTGACTTATTGACCTCGGTGCTGGCCAAAATTGGAACAGCCAGAGATTTGACTTTGCTTATTAAAGATTTTCTCACAAGTGAAAGATCCGTCTACTAATACATTTGTGTCAGGCAGAACAACCAGCAAGGGGGTGCCCCAAGGTTTCCCTCTTTCTCCATCAATATTTAATATATACATCAATTCAATTAAAGAAACAATTCCTGAGAACATAAGACTTTTACAGTTTGCGGACGATACCGCCTTGCTGAGTACTGGGACTGATGCCCAAACAATAGTGAATTAATTTGAGTAGAACTTTGAAAAATATACATATTTGGTCTTTGAATGTAGGACTTGAGATTAACCCCAATAAATCTGCAGCTATATGTTTTTCCAAAAAGAATTACAATGTTAATTATCTCCCCAGACTTCACCTCAACACTCGAACCATAGCATGGAGAAATTGCATCACATATTTAGGAGTGATTTTTGATCCAAAACTGTCATGGGAGCCACAAATTATAAACATGATACAGAAAGTTTCAGGTGGGTTGAATATGATGCGATTGACCAGATCGCCAATGCTGCACTCCTAGAACCACGGGAAAATATAAAATTGAGTTTTAGGGAATTCTTCTCTAAATTAAAGCATAACATCTGGAATGCTTGAAGTGACAGATGGAAACATATAGGATTAGGGAAAGGAGTTAATTTCACCTCACATTATTCTACTCCGCCAACTAAACCCTGGTTTCATAAGCTCGATCTGAATAGAAGAGAAATCACAACTATGTGTAGACCGAGAAGCAAGCATTGCTGTTCTCCGGCTCACCTAAATAGAATTAAAGTCTAAACTCTCCGGAGACTGTGAATGTGGAGAACTGGGTGATTTAGGTCAGGTGCTGTCTGACTGTGCTCTTCATTGGGAGAAAATCACAACAGTTGTATGAGTCACTCATTAGTGCTAATTTTCCTTCGCCTCTGCATATTAATTCAATTTTATTTCACCGCACTCAGTTGGATTTTGCTGCTAGAATGGTTTGCCGCTTTTTAGATGCATGTGGATTAAAACTTTGAATATTGTTTTCATATTTTCTAATTCTTTCGTCCAATTTTTTTTCTGTATAGCCGTCCAGTAGGATGATGGTATCGCCCAGACCCTCTTTACGGAGGCATCCTTCATGGAAATAGTTTATTGCACACCACTACCGAGAAGCTGGCCGAATTGCCTTAGCAGCAGTGGCCAAAAAAACCGTAATTAAAAAAAAAATCTTTATGTGTTATTATTATTGTCACCTTCCCAAAGTTTTAGGTATAATGTATTCCTTAATGTAAATCTCTAAGGCAAAGTTAAGCCTGTATAATGGTTTTTAGATTTTGGTGTTGGTATGGTTCAATTCAACATTGTGAAATGGATTCTTTAGGCAAACAAACTGATGAGGCATTTTCTGGTCTTGATTTGTATTTTTTGAAAATCGGTACATAGCAAAATTTAATGAAACGCAGAAATAATCAGCTTTTATGTCACAGGTGAAGATCATATGGAGAAAATCAGAAAATATGCATTAGCGTTTCGGTCTCACATAAACAGATATGCAGGAAATTATGCATTGGCTCAAATTGAAACTAAAAGATATGCTATAATTGATTACAAATTTCTAGTAAATGATAATGAGTTTATAAAACAATGGACTACTTTTACGGAGGACTTTACTAATGATACTGATTTTACTGTAAAGTGTCTTGGGCTTGCAATTCACGTTTATATAAGGGAGGTGCTTAAACAATCTAAATGTGAAGAAATTGAAAAGAAACTACCACTTGTAAGAGCAAGAGTAATTAATTTGGAGCCCATTATCCAATTAAGTGAAATTAAGGCCAGTTCTTATGGTATGTGTTAGTATCCCCTCTCATTTCCATATATATTTTAATGTGTCACTCTTATCACTAAATGTTATGATTATAGTAAGTGTGACACATTATTTGTCTCAGTTTTCCTGTATTAGGTAATAGAGAATAATAATACACTCAATTCTTTCTTGGGTGGGTGATTTCTTGTTAAATTGCAAATGTCAACTAACTGAAAGTATTTTGATATGAAAGAAATCATTGGACAAATTTGTGCCTAATAATCTACTCGTTTTTAAGGTTTGCCTAACTAATCCTGTATGTCTGTAGGTAAATGTTTGTCATTGAGAGGAACAGTACGTAAGGCTAGTGGTATTAAAATAATCTGCAGTCTACTAGAATTTCGGTGTGCAGTGTGCCAGTCAACACAAATCTGGAAACAAAACAATGGTGTCTACACTCCCCCCGATAAATGTAAAAATCAAGGTTGTCGATCTGCGGGCAACTTTGAAGCCCTCTACAAATCAAAACATACAAAAACTATTGACTGGCAGTCAATAGTGATCCAACAGACTGAAGTAAGATATATTTTTAAAATATTTGTTTGTGAACAGTACCTAATGCATACATAAGGTGGTACTTCCTACTTACAAACATGGCTCAAATAAAATAAAATGCAAAAAATTAAATTATTAATTGAAGAAATAATAAATAATATAATTGAATTCAAATACTCCTTAATTTCTGTTTTCCTTTCACTTTCTTTTTAGTGTGAAATGGCTCGAATTCCTCCAACATTAGAATGTGAACTTAGTGAAGATTTAGTTAGATCTTGTGCGCCTGGGGATGATATCATAGTTTCTGGAGTCATTAAGGTATTAATAAATTAGAAAATAATTTATTTATTATCCTGTAATTTTAATATCAATACATTCTAGGCTAGACATATAAATGACAATAAGGGTAAAAATAAGAACTCTGAATTTGATTTATATTTAGATGTAATTTCAATTTATAATCATAACGAAAAAAATAGCAGTGACCCTTATGATAGAATCACCTTTACTCCGGAAGATTATTTTTCAGTAAAAGTAATTAAAATTGTTTATTATCAGTAGTATCAAATGATTTCCTAACAATTTAAACTGTTTTAGCAAATCCATGCTCAACAAAATTTGTTTTGCTATTTAGTGCATTCATTGTGTCCCAATATATATGGGCATGAGATAGTGAAAGCAGGTCTTCTTTTAGCTTTATTTAGAGGAAGCAAAACAAACACTTTCAGATCAGAATCCCATGTGCTTCTTATAGGAGATCCGGGATTGGGTAAAAGCCAGATGTTAAAAGAATGTGTTCAGGTTTCCCCAACAGGTAAGTTAGTGACTATATTATATCTACACAAATACTCGTAATATCTGGGTTAATGCTACTTACAGAATATTTGATCATTGTGTGATTTAGCTTCCAATTTGTGCCATTTTCTTTCTAAACAGCCATCTCACACTTAACTCGTTTCTTTTTGATTTTTAGAAAGAACTTAAAATTTCCAGTTCATTGATGTCTCACAAATGCACAAAATATTTTATCACACTTGGTAAAGTTAGATCTAAATTATTTTATAAGTAGGCTCTGACTTTAATTTTAATATTAATTTAGTAAAGCATACATTGAATTTTCAATAGAACATGAACCTAATGAACCACTTCTCAACAAGTCAGATGTTTTGGACAAATTACCTACAAATTCAATACAAATTGAAAAAGTTGTGTTATGTAAAATTTTATTTAGTAACTGGTTAGTAATTTGTAGTTTTGCAAAATGTATCGATGTATTTTTGGCAATTTCTTATTATCGATAATTTAACTTACCTTTTTTAATTAAGCACCTATTGTAAATTATCAATCATTTCACGAAATCGACTGATGGTGCCATTTTTGTTTGAATGCAGTCTAAACGGACAGATGTACGCTTTTATGAAACCAAATTGTGCCGACTTTACGACCTACTCTAACTGAAGATGAGTTTAGAAGAACCTGGTTTCAACAGGATGGATGTCGGGTTCACAACACTATTCAAATCAGGAACTTCTTAAACCACCATTTTCGGTTATTCGCCTGTATTTCCCAAAGCGATTGACTTTCTCTAAAACTCGCTTCGTTGAACCTTTGCCGTGGATATAATAGTAACGGAGATCCCTGTATATTTTGAAATTTATCATTTTTGCAACACAAGAAATTCAAGTAACATTATCTAAACCATGACATTTATAATAATTAGTTATATTTGCGATTTTTTAATTGCTATTTCCATCCATTGAGGGATTACTCAAATCAAACAATTACAATATATTACATTAATAAATTTAAACTTCCATGTTCTACAACTTTGTTTTAATATGTGCTCCATTAGGCGTCTATGTGTGTGGCAATGCAAGTACCACTTCTGGATTAACCGTTACTATGGTCCGAGAATCTGGTGGAGACTATTCCCTAGAAGCGGGTGTTCTAATGTTAGCTGACCAAGGTTGTTGTTGTATAGATGAATTTGACAAAATGCAATCTCAACATGCAGTAAGTACTTATTGTTACATGTTATATGGGGTATTGCAAATTTGCAAATATGACTTAAAAAGCAGTATATTTTAGAAGTTTACTCAAACACACCATTTTTTTTAACTTAGTGCCTTCTTGAAGCAATGGAACAACAAAGCATTAGCATAGCTAAAGCGGGTGTAGTTTGCTCTTTACCCACATTGCCTACTATCTTAGCAGCTGCAAATCCAGCTGGTGGGCACTATGACAAATCGAAGACAATATCAGAAAATTTAAAAATTGGCTCACCAATGCTCTCGAGGTTTGATTTGATATTCATTTTATTGGATCAGCCCGATCAGGTCAGTTTTTACCATCCTGAAGTCACCTTAAACCAAAAGTAACACACACAATTTTTGGTTTTTAGTATTTAGATAAATACATAATAAAACACATTCTCTCTGCACACTCCAATGAAAATAAGAAACACACCTTACAATTGGAAAACTTTGGTGAATCATTTAATCAAAAATTTAACAGTTTAAGGTAATTTAGTTTTAAGTTAGTAAATTATTATCAAACGGCTGGTTTTTCAGAGAACGTTTAAAAAATCATAACGATACCAAAAATTATCTTTCTTCCACTGCATTTCGTAAATACATTGCATATGCTCAAAAATATGTCAATCCAAAACTTTCAGAAGACGCCAAACGAGTTTTAAAAAAATCTTATGTATCTTTGAGACAAGAATTTGCTAGTGGAAATTGCACTTCAGTTACCGCTCGACAACTGCATTCTTTGATAAGATTGACGCAGGTAAGTTCTTTTGGTAAGTTTGCTTTTGATGGCAATTTCAAACCGGTAACAAACAACAACAAATAATTATAAAAGTTATCTGCTATTTTGGTTTAATTCGAAAAATTTAGTTAAAAAAAAAAACGAGAAATGTGTATTGGTGATATTGTTTTTCCAAATAAACATGTACACTTTTTAAAAGTGTTCCCTATTATAGGCACGAGCAAAAGTAGAACTCAGGGAAGAAGCAAGCGAAGAAGATGCAAAAGATGTAATAGAAATTATGCGGTATAGCTTAACGGCAGTTTTTACAAATGAATCTGGAGCTTTAGACACTACTAGGTCCCAGCTTGGCACTGGCATGAGCCATAAAAATAAGGTAGGTAGGTAGACTGGAGTGTGTGAGCATTCACTTCATTCATCCTGTTTTATCAGGTTATAAAGCTGTTAAATGTTCTTCAGAAAAAATCGGAAGTGGAATCTAAATCAATTTTCACGTTGACTGAAATAAGGGAAGCTGGGGATGCGGCTGGGATACCAAAGGAAAAATTTTCAAATATGCTGGAAACGTTGAATATCCAGGGGTTTTTATTGAATAAAGGCGGAAATAAATATCAATTAAACTCGGCTTATTTGTAAAAGGTTTAATTTAATAAATATTCAATTATACATATATTTTATGTCCAGAACTACAAACTAATGTACAAAAACTGTACTTTATTGTGAACAATTTTCTTTATGTTGTGGCCAATGATTCACTTGACACCTGCGTGAACAATACCAGCATTTCTTACATCGAGAACATCTTTGCACTGCTGTTTTATTGCATTGGACACAAGTTTGACTTTCATTGACTTCAAATTTTTCCATAAAATCCGTGTTATATGCTTCAGTTAACCTAAATATATTACAAAATAAGTTATATATTAAGAAGCACTTCTTAATACTAAACTACTAGACACTGTCCGCATTGTAATGCCTTAGTTTTCATTTAGAACGGAAAAGTGGTAAGAATGAAACCATTTTAGAGCAAATAAAAATAATGTAATATTGATGGTAAAGGTAAAGGGTTACCGGATTTCCGTTGATTATAAAAACAGTGGAAACCCGCTAAAACCTTAATGTTTCAAATTTACTTGTTGCCTCTGTGAAAATCTACGGTTAGAAACACAAATACTTATGTCAAGTGTATAAAAATTAGAAATAAGAACCTTACTTTACATTGATCAGAACAATTTTAAGCATTTATTACTTCAGATATTAATATTAATGAAATATTTATTAATATTGAAATCACTTTATCCACGAGACAAATGGTCTTCAATTTATAATTGTTACATAATGGAGTTTTCAGGTATAGAATTTTAGAAACAAATAACTGGTATATTTGACATATCATTACATTTTTGCTGTTTGCTGTATTTTTTCCTTGTTATTTGTAAAAATTATGAGTGCCTGTTTCTTTGCAATGCTCTTCCATTTGCTTTGGCATTCTTGCAGGATTTTCTCTTTAATTTCAAGAATTGCCTCGACAAATACTGGTTTAATAGGTGGTGCATATTCTTGTAAACATGAAACTCGACACAGCCAGTTCTGAAATGAGAAAAGCATTTATTAACATAATTTCAACTTAAACATTTATGTTATAGTTTGAAAAATCGATTAGGGTGTTTATGTAAGTTTTTTTTACCTTTAATTCAAATAGGGGGGATAGTTGATCTAAAAGGATAGGGTTCATCATAGGTAAGATTTTCGTCAGTTGTGAACGTCTATTTGCAGTTATTGAATAGTATTGATGACCTTCTTGACTCAGCAAAGTTTGCCGGAGAGTTAACCATACCTATATAATTACAAAAAACATATCCGCGACGCAAATACGTTGTTCAATTTAAAAGTATAGATAAGCATAGGCAATCGCAATGCTGTTGAAACTAAATGCTTCTTTTTTCTCATTACCTGCGCTTCAACTTGAGGCAATTGTTCATTATCCCATTTTCTCCATTTACCACCTGAATAAATGTTTCCATCATTTTTAACCCAAGGTCTTTTTAAAATAATTTCGCTCAATAAAACCGGTACATCATATGCAGCGTATAAACGCGAACATACGGTAATGGGTAATCTATAAAAATAGTATACGTAATCAATATGTCAAATAGCAATCCTAAATTAAACTCGTAATTTTAAGTCAAATATGCCAATGCCGCCTCTGTTGTGAGATACAGGGTGTTTGGTTTAGTTCTCGAAATTGTTATTTCTCTATAGATTAAGCTGTTTTTGAAATGTCTACTTGCATACGAAATTTATTTAGATAAAATACCCATTTGGAGATATTTGTATTCCACAAAAAATTGGCCACTAAAAACGGGTCCCAATTTTAAAACTTGTTTGATATTGAGAATTGATTTATTGCTTACAGGGAGTCCAAAATTTACCAATCAATTTAATTATTTTCGGTTTTTCAAATACTACACCCTGCATATTATTGCATACGGTTATTATGCATTTTCAACAATTATCTTTTCCATTTCATACTTTCTATCAAAAGTCAAGCAAAACTCAAAGTTCTTTCTAGTCAGCATTAATATTTGATGATATATACTTTATCTGCATCAAAAGAGAACTTTTTATAGGGTTGACCACTAGATAGTTAGTCCAACTTCTTAAAGGGCTTGATATAGACCAAAAAGACATCCGTTGCATAGAGAACTTGTACTGGAACCAAACGGCACAAATAAAACTGGACAATACTATGTCGAACACCATACAGATTAGGAGGGGAGTGCGACAGGGATGTGTGCTGTCTCCACTCTTGTTCAATTTATATTCGGAGGCGATTTTCCAGGAGGCTTTAGAAGACGTGGAAATGGGAATCAAGGTTAATGGGGTTTGGATTAATAATATTCGTTATGCGGACGACACGGTCCTAATCGCTGACAATATACACGACCTACAACAACTGGTCAATAAGGTAGGAGAACAGAGCAAATCAATGGGCTTAAATATTAATACCAAAAAAACAAAATTCATGATCATATCCAGGAATCTAAACACGTTTCAAAACTCCACCATAACATTTAACGCTAGACCCATAGAAAGAGTGGACAAATTCAAGTACTTGGGTACCTGGCTTTTCGAAGATTGGACATCGGACAACGAAATAAAATACCGTATAGAACAGGCCCGACAAGCTTTCTTGAGGTTCAGAAGAGTGCTAACCTGCTCCGATTTTGACCTTGACCTAAGAATGAGATTCGTGAAATGCTACGTTTGGTCGGTGCTCCTTTACGGCATGGAGGGGTGGACACTGAAGACAACTACAATAAACAAATTAGAGGCCTTTGAGATGTGGCTACACCGCAGAACTCTCAAGATACCCTGGACGGCTAGATTGACCAACGATTAAATTCTAAGACGTGTTAACAAATCACGTGAACTTTTTGAATCAATTAAGAAGAAGAAAACGGCATATCTGGGGCATATCATGCGAAACAAAAAATAACAATTTTTACAACTGTTGATTGAAGGCAAGATCGAAGGCAGGAGGGGGATCGGAAGAAAAAAAATGTCGTGGCTTCGAAACATCAGACAGTGGACTGGCCTGCATGATGTACAGACGTTGATACATATCGCAAGAAACAGAGAAGCAATGGAAAATGTTATCGCAAACATCCATTAATGGATACGCATTGGAAGAAGAAGAAGACCACTAGATCACCTGTTTTCACCGGATATTCAACTCTGGAGCGTAAATTTGGAATGACGTAACAATATTTCCAGATTAGCGCATTTTTACCGTTTTTAACTGTTGATAATATACCATTATACCATAAATGGAAGCAATTAACAGTTTGGCAAGTGAATTAGCCCAAACAGGGTGTTCTTTTCTTTAATGAGAGATTACAATATTTTTGAAGTGAACTTTTTTACTGCATAATATTGCATTCGTTGGCTATATTGCTCAGTATACCTATTTTTAACGGTTTTATTGTTATTCTATAATTTCTATTATAATGTGATGTTTGGCAGACACGCAATATGCATGCATAGTACACTAGTTCTTTTGTACAGGGTGAATCAACGATAAAGTTCAATATCTCATTAGTTTCAAAAGTTATGATAAAATGGTAAATATAAAAGTTGTTACGATGCACATTTTTTTTAAGTAAGTATTTATAAGTATAAGTATATAAGTAAGTATTTATAAATTTTGTTTTGAATTTCTTTTCTTGATGCTAGTGGTAGTATTGAATATGAAAAACGGGATAGTGATAAACCGGAATGCTACCAATGAGAAAAAAAATGGACATTTGACTTTTACCAATTTCAAAATAATTCTCGGGTCTGCAACCGTCGTGGTACATCCCAGTCTACCGTTAATCGCACCACCAGAAAAAACAAATATTATCCTTCCCATATGGAAGTACACCGAGACCTTTTAGACCGTGATTTTGAACAAGTGATAATACTGCCCTAAAAATGCCGCATCCAAACTTACAGAACTTACAGCAAGGTCATTGCTTAAAAACGAGATTTTAAATCTCGCTCATGCGCATGGTGAATGGTTCTCAAAATTGTTTTCATAGTTGCTTCAAAAGTTCCAGTATTATCGGCGTTGGTAAAGCCTCTATATCTCTAGTAGCTATATCTGTGAAACAAACACTTTAAACTTATTAGACTACTTTTTTTTTCGCGAACCAGTTAATATTTAAATCGTTGCAAAATGTCTTACCTCAACTTCTTCAAGAAGTTGATAATATTGACATCCAACAAATGTAGCTTCAGCAAGATGGACCTCCTCCGCATTACGATCGAGAAATTCGAGAATTTTTAAATAATGATTACCCACAGAAATGAATCGGTAGAGGTGGATTCATTGGATGGCCCACTCGATCATATGACTTACCACCACTAGATTTCTTTTTGCGCGGGGATATGTTAAATATCGTGTTTATATGCATCTCCCTACAACACCAGAAGCTATGGAAAATGGGATTCGGGACGAGGGCAGGAGAATAACACAGTTTATGCTAAGGAACGTCCAAGAAAATATCTTGTGGCGCGTTTAGTTTAATATTGCATCATACTTCTCGACGTGTACACGTTCCTTTTGTGTCATTATAATATGTCCGATTCACGGGTTTCGGTAATGAAAAATAGATTTTACGCAGAATTAAAAACTAAAAAGCGTTCAAATGTAAAGAACTGTGTTTATATTGAAGATGATTAGTACAAAGTGTTAATTAATTATGTTAATAGTGCGAAATCAACAACGAAAAAGGTTCCCCGGGATTATTGGTTGCTGAAACGTTATGCTATTTTGACAATTGATCAAAATGTCAAGCTTATATTTCCTGTTAAAGAATCTGGGAGGAAAATTTTTTGTTATGCTCCTGTTTCGTTCGTTAAATTAAAGATTAACAACCATTTCAATAGGTTTTAAAACATATTTTTACGATGTTGTTTATGTTCCTGTTTCGTTTGTCAGGTTAAGCATTTCTGTAATAAAGTAAAGAGTAATAAATACTTTTTTCTATTCCCGTCTGTAAAATACCTAATACCCACCGATCTAGAGTGCGGGAAGCGTCACTTTACCACGTCAGTTTCGTTTCCCATGAATCCGAACCCCTTCGGACATTTCCGGGATTTTGAGGCAGTCGGATGTTTTCGGAGATCTTTCCCACCCTTTAAATTTGTCAATTCTGACGGTCATGTAAGTGAATGCATTCGTGTTGTTTTGCGAAAATGTACCCAAAAACTAACAGTCGTAGAAAAAGTATAGTATGCAACACGTTCGGTATACTTTTTAATCACTCGTTTATTAAAAACTCGCTCCGCTCTTGTCAAATAAACTCATGAGTCAAATGCCGTTTACCGTACTTGTTGCATAATATACTATTATTTTATTTTTCATTTAACACTGCTCTTAATATGGCATGGGCATTATATAAAATTCCTAGTTATTCCATGAAATGTCTGGCAAAAGGTAAAAAAATATTTAAATCAAAAAAGATTGCATACATTGCCTGAAATCATTAGTTGTTTTATAAAGTACCTAGGTTTTGTACAAAATGTCTTGATTTTATACTTTGCCGGTAACATGTACGATATACCTACTAAAAGTTGAAGGTTTTTGTAAGACTTTCAGAAAAAAGAAAGCAATAATAAAAATCGATATTTTTTTAATTTAAAATGATCCAAATATATTCGTTTATTTTGAATACCCCTAATTCACGTTCCATTGCATATATCTTTTAGGTCAGCTTCGAATAATAATTAAATATGAGTGATAAAATAAAGGCGCTATTTCATTTTTGTTTAAATTAAACTATTGGGAAAACTATTAGATTTAGGTATGTATTATCAATAAAAAAGTTGAAGAATTTCAAAAGGAACTCAAAACAAAATTTTCGTCACGCTTCTCTACAACTTTTGAAACCAATGAGATAATGAACTGTACTCTAGCGTTGACTCCAAGGGCCACCAATCGAGTAATATGATGGCCAATTGCAGTTTCTTAACTCTTTTGAAGTAAATAAAACCACGAACATATATTATCGACCTTGGTCAAAATCAATGCTAACTAGAAATAACTCTAGCGTTTGTTTGATTTTGATAGAAAAAACGCTATAGCGATAAAACGGTTGAAAATAGATATAGAGAAAGGCATAGTTAATCGATTTATAATCGGATTGTAAAGCAATCAATCAATTTTGCAATACCAATTTCGAAAGGACGATGCTTGTATTCTGGTTTATCGTATAAACGGTCACCACGAATTAAAAATGGTTAAAAGGTGCATTGTTTAAAATAATGTTACATCTTTCAATTTTTTTTTAGTCAAAATATCTTAGATTAAGATTATAATGAAACCTGAAGAAACCTATCATGAAATTTTCTCAGAAATCCAAAAATGTGTTCCAATTAAACTAAGGAAGATGCGTGCTGCGAGAAACTTATAATACTGTATAATACCAACTATTTTCATTTCATTTCATTTTCATTTAAAATTTTTTGATAAAATAAACTCTTATGGAGATATAAAAAAATCCCCCAGTTAGTAAACATTTTATAAATTACTTATCAACATTTTCTGCTAAGTAGAACAAAATGGTCAAACATCTAATGCCAATATCGAAGGATATCTTATTTCGCTGTTGTATTAGTTCTTGGTTGGCGGATTCTTCAGTTTGCTGGTTTAAGAGTTTGGAGACTGCAACACTTACATAATCTAATAAATCCACAGCCACTTCATCAAGGGCTGAAATTTAGTCCCTCGTTACTGATTGAACTAGTAACTTATTATATATACCTTCACAACAATCGGAGTGAAACATGACTAATTCCAGTAGTGCAACACACACACCTTCATGATACAGTATTGAATATGCAAAAAACGTACATTCAGGTCTTTTTACCAACTTTAACAGATGCGGCAATACTTTATGTTTCCAAATGCTAATTAATATAATTTCATGGACTAATATATTCGTCTAAAACAAATCTGTTATTAGCATGTAAAGATCATTAGGTGGGCAAGGTCATACCTTTCCGAATGACACCAATGTCTCCTTAACGTGTTCCCCGCTCAAAGCTGCTGCTTCCAGTAGTGCTTCCTGATGTAATTTTTGTAATCTGTTATGCCATTCCATCCACCTGAACATTTAAGTTACAATGAACATTCACTTAAAATGGATTTTTGAAAATTTCGAGTGGCTGCCCGGCTGGTTTGCTCAGTATAGTATTATAAAAGCTCATGTATATTATGAATAGTAATCATTGGATCTTTTAATTTGACCCTCGACATTAGGATCTCCGAAACGGTAGAGGTACAGGGTCGCTCAAAGTAGGAGAAAGTTGTGTTTTGATGAACCCGCTCATATTCCATTAAAAAAAAATTAAATTGTATTTGCTGCTTTTGGAAATATAGCAAATAAACTGAAATTTTCAATTTTTTGATCCAAGTTTATTGGAATTTTTTCAAGAATTTTACGAATAAATTCTCGTTGGATCTTCTGGTGCTGCTTCTTTTGTCTAAGCCGTCAGCATCCTCAACTTTCCTTAGAACCGCAAGATGTGTACTTTGTAGTTTTGAAATCCCTTGTTTTATGATGAATTAAAATGAAATTTGAAATATTAAAAAATATTCTTGCCGTGGGAAGTTTTGACTTTTTCCATTCGCTTTCATTTATTTTTTTTGGCGTTTTTGTTTAACTTCCCAACACATCATTTACGAAGCTGGGTACAGACTAGCTCAACGAAAGCCCATATTTGGGGTTGGATACGGAATGCTCATTTTCGTTTGAAGAAATGTCCACATTGCATTTGTTGTGTTTAGCAAAAGTTCATTGGACAAGGTTTTATTGACCCTAATTGATTCTTTATAGTTTTGCGGATGTGCGATTTGTTTTATTTTGATTTGTATAAAATTCAGAGTGAAAATTGACCTACAGAAAATTATTTGCACCACTTTGCTGTTCACTGATTCCCGGTTTCTTACAGAAATGGGTTTATTATTAAGCAATAAACGTATTACAATATTAATCTAAAACTTACTGATCAGTGCCAAGGTTTAACATATTTTGAGGTCTCATACTATCAATATACATTTCAATTTCATTTGGCATTAAAATAATATCCATTTTATTTACTTAATTTCGCAGATAGATGATTTATTGACAAATCATTCTATTTCAGATTCAATACAGTTACATAATCACCATGGCAACTGGTAAATGTCATTTTTCGGTAGCGGAATCTGTAAAATAAAATTTTTATATAAATTGGGTTTTGGTCAAATTTTGATTTTGAATGTGTGGTTATACATAGTTCTAAAATGGATATTTACAATTGCTTTAGTTTATTAATATGACTGACAAAAAAAGGTATTAAAATTTGATAAACAAGGAAACAAAAATAATATATATATATATATATATATATATATATATATATATATATATATATATATATATATATATATATATATATATATATATATATATATATATTTTGTATATTTTACAAGATATATTCTACTTTCAGCTCGTCGATTTCCAGGCGTCCTCTGCGCCTTTGTTACGTGGCAACACTGTCACTATTAACTTTTGCAGACTGGCGCGAAATTGTGGGGTAACGGCTCTGCTTCGCCTAGTTGTTTTGTTTTTCATATTGAATGAACTCGATTGGCGCTCCGTAGTTCGAGCATGTAGAGACGGTGGAAATAAAGAATTTTATTTTTTTACCACGAATTCGGAAGTAGGCTAAGTTGGAATTAACGTAAACGTAACACCAATACACAAGACTTTTTTTTTCTATTAAAAAATTAAATAATTAATAAAAGTTTATTTTCGAAATGTGTGGTAAAGAATTCAAAATTTACAAAAATCATATTTATATCCTGTTGCCAATGCCGTACGCTTTATATGATATTAGAATTTAAAACAACATTCTGTGACACGTCGCCAAACTCTTTTGTTTCGCTTGCTCTCTTCGTGAGAAAATCCGCTCATTGCATAAAGTTATTCTTTTTTCAACTACTTGTCCGCCGGTTGCATTTTTTTTTTACCTTAATTCAATGAACTCGCGTCTGTCTTTACTTAGAAGCCTGACTAGATTGAAGTCAGTCGTTAAAGTCGGACAACAAACGCAATAACAACACCCAAGACTCCATCCAGGTCGGAATCGAACCAACAACTTCTACTGCAAGTCGAGTTGGCAGGTCTAACGACTTACCAACCGAGCCATCCTCGATCACTTAAAAAAAATTATATTTTTTATTTAGTTGCACAAATTGCTATTTTTCGATTATTTTATTATTATTGCATTATATAATCTTCAGATCCATGAAGCAACATTATTAAAATGTTTTAATTAAACAAAATGGCACCAACAAGTTTTGGTTTTTTATATGCGAATACTAGGCAATAACTTCTGAATCTTTTTTAATTTTTGGGCACATTTTTAGATTTATTACTTTCTTCCGATAATTTCTGCTAAATGCTATTTAGAACGGTGTTCGAAATATTAAAAATATCGAATATAAATATTTATATTATAGAAATATTGAACATAAATGGTTATTTAATGCAATAGGAAAAGAAGTTGTTGGAATTTGCAAATTAAAATATCATTTGCTAAATACTTATCTAAATAATTAGGTAATAAAATATTTTGATTTTATCGTCTAATAATATTTCATTAATATTAATAGGTCGCCTATTAAAGTGCGCAACATATAAGAACTATTTTATTGAACGATTTAAGTTGTTGACTTTTGCTTTTAATCAAACCAAAATAAATGTGAAAAGTAACATTTCTATATTTTAGTAAAAATTATTATTTTGAAATGAACTTTGATAAAAGTTATTCGATAAAAGTGTTCTTTTTAATAGTTATTTTTCTTCATTGTGCCCTAAGATATAAATAAAAATGAAGTTAAACAATGAATGTGAGGGATGAAAAGTAAAGTACAATAATGTATCACCACTGCCACTGAACAATATTTTCATATATTACTTTTTTTAATGTACCTAAACTTAAATCCTAACAATGAACCTCTGAAATAAAGTATCTTTTTAGGTGATTTTCGACATATTCTCTATAAAGTTTTGCCTCGGGATAAAAAGTGTCTCTTTAGTTCCTTGGATATCATCTAAATTTTTTTCCCAAATTGATTTAAAAAAATCCCCCTTTTACATTCCTGCTCTAAAATACGCATTATACAGTGTGGCTTAAAGACGTTACGTAGGGCTGCGAGCCACTGCGGATATTTCCGGTGATATATTAGCCAGTGCTTTGGTTTGTCGATTCTGATGGTCAAGGTACACGCATATAGTATGCAACACCTTGTAAACTTCTTCTTTCACTCATTTATTAAGCACTCGCTCCATTCGTGCCAAATAAACTAATATGGCGTTTATCAAACTTGTTTAGCAAAGATTTCTGAAGATTTTTTTTTAAAGGAAACTTTCACAGAATAATGTAAGACTATTTACAAATATTCTGCATTCTACCTGCGTCGGTGGTTGATAAATCGAACTTTCTGACGTTTCGCCAACCATTCTGGAGATCTCACAGCTGGTCCTGTTCATAAATTTGACCGTTACAAGAAAAATATGTTCCAGACAAGCATTTTTCAATTTGGTTGAATATGTTTGATTCCAGATTCCCGAATTGCAATATATCTGAAAGAGCTATGTCAAAACTAAAAAAGAGAAACAGAACAAAAAATATACGACTATGACAAATAGAGTCATAAGCAGTTGCCGAAAACAATAATGACACCGAAATCTCATTCGATCAAATTAAAAATTAATCAATGTAATCGATTCTTCTACCAGCGAAATATCCGAAAATTAATAGAAATCTCTAAACAACCAAACAATCTTAACCGCGACTCTGATTTTCAACAATATGGAAATCCGAGACAATGTTCATGTCACTCTTGTAGCTCCGCCTCTCTCAAACAGTATATCAGTGAGTTCAGAATAGAATGTGAGCAAGCTTCACTTAAGCTCTGAGGAAGCCATCAGGATGATTGGTGAAACGTCAGCTAGCTTTATTTATAAAAAAAAGATGCAGAAGCGATCTAGAAGATTTGTAAATAGCCTTCTGAAGAAAATGTTAATTTTAACGAGTAACGAATGCCGTTTTCATCGCAGTTGTCTGTGTTCTTTATAATTTTTTTTAATTAAATTAAAATAGTAACTTCTAATTATTCCAAATAACTAACATCGGCCCATTTTAGACCAACATTAAGCACAAACAACACAGTAATATTGCCTCAGTTGGCCAGTTGAAATTATATTACATAATTTCTAAATTAACAGTTTTTCTTAGTTTGGTACCATAATTTATTGATCTGCAAATAAGTCAACTGTCAAGAACTTAGTAAACAATTTAAAAAAATAATATTCACATATTAGTATTTACTTTTTACAAAACTTCTGGGTTGCATATGCGGCAAAGAATACATTGGAGAAACCGGACGAAAAATATCAACTAGGCTCAAAGAACACGAAAGAGCCTTACGACTAAGACAAATAAATTCATCAGCTGTTGGCGAATTCTTGTATGTAATCAAACAAATCTCTAAACAACCAAAGAATCTTAACCGCGACTCTGGTCTTTACCTGTCACCAACATGGGAATCAGTGATCCGAGACGGTGTTCATGCCCCTCATTTAGCTCCGCCCCCCTCAAACAATATATATACAGGTACAGAGTAAAATGCGAGCCAGTTTCACTCAATCCCTGGAGAAGCCAACAGGAAGATTGGCGAAACGTCAGCAAGTTCGACTCAGCAAAAACCGGCGCAGGAGGAAACCAGAAATTTTGTAGAAAGTATTACAGTAGCCTGTGGAAGTTTCTTTGAAAAATTAATAATAGTATTTGCTTTCAATTATTATTATTATTGGTTAGGTTTATGTCCAAGCAGCGCCTGGCTAACGTAAATACATGTGCAATATTTCTGGCAAACATATTCAAGAATCAAAAAATTCAAGAATTACTTTCCAAAATCGGGCGACGTGTTAAAGAAAACATCTACACAAAGAAATTAAGTTTAGCAAAGAGCTTTAAAAACTACCAAATCTACAAAAAAAAAAAAATAAAATAAAAAATAAAACAGTTAGCAACAAAACATTTTTCAAAATATAGCGAAAACATGAATCGCCTTATACCCGCTCGACTGTGCACCGTCATGTTAAAAAGGAGAAGCGTGTTCTAAAGACCATATCTATTTATATGTACTTTAATACACAATCAATCGGGCAACGTTGCTCGGACGCTCAGAAATCTGCCCAATAAATGAAAAATATACATACGGACGCTAGGATGCTGAAATGTAAAAGTTTTCCCGTGTATATTGGACTCTAGCAAGGTACCTCTATAAAAGGACGCCGACATATAAGTATCATAAAACTTCACAAAAATGATCTTCGTAAAATCTGTCCTAAGGAAACTCAACGCCATCTCGTTTATAAAACTTCAAAATATTCACTTGTTAAAGTAAGGATCTTGAAGAAAACGATACTGGACGCTCAGAGACGGATCCATGAAAGGACGCTCGGAAAATAGCGGGATGTGTATATATATATATATATATATATATATATATATATATATATATATATATATATATATATATATATATATATATATATATATATATATATATATATATATATATATATATATTGTTGTTTGTTTTGTTTACTCACATTCCTTGTTTAACTTCATTTTTATTTATATCTTAGGGCACAATGAAGAAAAATAACTATTAAAAAGAACACTTTTATCGACTAACTTTTATCAAAGTTCATTTCAAAATAATAATTTTTACTAAAATATAGAAATGTTACTTTTCACATTTATTTTGGTTTGATTAAAAGCAAAAGTCAACAACTTAAATCGTTCAATAAAATAGTTCTTATATGTTGCGCACTTTAATAGGCGACCTATTAATATTAATGAAATATTATTAGACGATAAAATCAAAATATTTTATTACCTAATTATTTAGATAAGTATTTAGCAAATGATATTTTAATTTGCAAATTCCAACAACTTCTTTTCCTATTGCATTAAACAACCATTTATGTTCAATATTTCTATAATATAAATATTTATATTCGATATTTTTAATATTTCGAACACCGTTCTAAATAGCATTTAGCAGAAATTATTGGAAGAAAGTAATAAATCTAAAAATGTGCCCAAAAATTAAAAAAGATTCAGAAGTTATTGCATAGTATTCGCATATAAAAAACCAAAACTTGTTGGTGCCATTTTGTTTAATTAAAACATTTTAATAATGTTGCTTCATGGATCTGAAGATTATATAATGCAATAATAAAATAATCGAAAAATAGCAATTTGTGCAACTAAATAAAAAATATAATTTTTTTTAAGTGATCGAGGATGGCTCGGTTGGTAAGTCGTTAGACCTGCCAACTCGACTTGCAGTAGAAGTTGTTGGTTCGATTCCGACCTGGAGTCTTGGGTGTTGTTATTGCGTTTGTTGCCCGACTTTAACGACTGACTTCAATCTAGTCAGGCTTCTAAGTAAAGACAGACGCGAGTTCATTGAATTAAGGTAAAAAAAAAATGCAACCGGCGGACAAGTAGTTGAAAAAAGAATAACTTTATGCAATGAGCGGATTTTCTCACGAAGAGAGCAAGCGAAACAAAAGAGTTTGGCGACGTGTCACAGAATGTTGTTTTAAATTCTAATATCATATAAAGCGTACGGCATTGGCAACAGGATATAAATTTTGAATTCTTTTATTGAATTTGAATTCTTTCATTTCATTGAATTCTGACATTTCGAAAATAAACTTTTATTAATTATTTAATTTTTTAATAGAAAAAAAGTCTTGTGTATTGGTGTTACGTTTACGTTAATTCTAACTTAGCCTACTTCCGAATTCGTGGTAAAAAAATAAAATTCTTTATTTCCACCGTCTCTACATGCTCGAACTACGGAGCGCCAATCGAATTCATTCAATATGAAAAACAAAACAACTAGGCGAAGCAGAGCCGTTACCCCACAATTTCGCGCCAGTCTGCAAAAGTTAATAGTGACAGTGTTGCCATGTAACAAAGGCGCAGAGGACGCCTGGAAATCGACGAGCTGAAAGTAGAATATATCTTGTAAAATATACAGAGACTGGGTCTGGCGCCTCTACCGGGTATACAGCTGAACTAACAATATACAAGAAAAATCAGTTTACTATGATCGTAGCGTCTTTGTGAAAATTTTAATTTAGACTACTTAGATCTTGTTTATACCGTTTCTATAGCGCTGCATCCGGGCGTCCATATATGGACGCCCGGTTGTGGACGGACGCTCGGAAAATAGCAAATTGTTAATGTACGGACGCTTGGAAGATAGTGGGATATATATATATATATATATATATATATATATATATATATATATATATATATATATATATATATATATATATATATATATATATATATATATATATATATATATATATACTTATTAAACGACTTTATCAAGCCCAAAATCGCATATCTCGCATCTATTGCGAAGCCGGACAAATTTTTGCGTGGCCTAAAACGGGCGTCGTAAATTTTCGTGTGTATAACTGAAAATACCAAGATATAGTGACATCTATTAAAATAGCAACTAGGCTATGGGATTGAATTTAGTGTTGTCTACACAATGCAGAAAACTGTTTGCCTGAATGCTCAACCCGAAGCCATATATTTAAAGTTATTTAAACAAGGCATGGGCTTCCTAATGGTGTTACACATCTCAAAATATACACGTGTAGTTGACAGAGATCGCCACCAGGTGGTGCTTCCAAATATACACGTGTATATTTGGATCGCCCGATGTATATAGATGTCCTCGCTTCTGCGAAGCCAGGAAAAACGGCAACATTGCCAATCTCTTTGGGTTGAATTTATATTCATTGCGATACACATTTAATTTCGTCAGGAGCGCTTTTTTAGCGTGCGTGCTTTAACGGAGTTGGCTCATCAAACGTGATGTTATGATTTCGATGAAATCAAAAATTATTTGTCGTCATTAGATAAAATCAAAAAATATGATCAATTTTTATTTTTTAGTGGCATTGAAAAAAAGTTTTTATTTTTACCCAGTCAGTAATTGTTATATTATTCCGATATTTAGCAACATACTCTTCGCACTCGTGTTTCTTGGGAGTTATTTTTTCTTCTAAATGACTTTTAAAATAGTTCAATACTAACTTTTTCTCTTTGCTGTTCCATTTAGCGCGACCTTTATTTTGAGATGATTTTTCCGGTACGTGTAAAACGTCTTTTGCACAATTTGTTTTTTCGGTTTCGAGATTAGTTTGTTGTATGTCTTCTGAAGACATAATAAATGTTGGTGCGTTATATATTTGTTCAGATGATTGGGGTTTCTGATTTATTTGTGTAATTGATGATTCAGTATGTTTTTTAGTTGGTGCGTCATCGTCACTAGATTCTAAAATAGAAGCTTCTTCTTCAATTTCAATTTCACTTAAGCATTTTCCTTTAAACACTTTTCCTTTCCCTTTTTCTAGCAAAAGGAGAACTTTTGCGACTTTAGCAGTCTGAAAAATGTCTTGAGGCAACCTTAAATTAAAAAAAAATATATTGAACTGATGTGGCTTTTAATTGATGAATATCTATTAAACACGATTAAATTAGAACAAAAAATGTTGAGATTTTCACAGTTATTTATTACTTTAAGACAGCTGTATCGACAACACCGTGCCTTTTTAAAATACAAAATATGACTTTGACAACTATATATACAATAAATTAGTAATAAATTCTTAATTACCGGTGTGTATGACTGGATTTAAGTGAATTTCATACGTTCGTTAATCCGTTTCTTAAATGTTCTACCTGTTTATCCGATATAACATGATCCACATTTCAACTTGTAGACTCCGGACTTTAGAGTTTTCCGTGATTTCGTATGAACCCTCTTTGATACATAAGATTATAACAAAAAACAGTTTCAAATAACTCGGAACTCTATCTATCATTAAATGCCGAACCCAAAACAATAAAATAAAATTCAAAAAAAAAAAATATATATATATATATATATATATATATATATATATATATATATATATATATATATATATATATATATATATATATATATCGGACAAATAGGTAGAACATTTAAGAAATGAATTAACGAACATAAAAGAGCGTATAAAAAAGTTCCGATTCTAACTATGCCATTCATTTAAATTTAAACAAAAAGTAAAAAACTAAATTTCATGGAAGCTATGGAGATTAATAAAATGCGATATTCGAATTTATTACTTAATGACCAAATGGATTTAAATGCGTGTCCGTTGTTAAATTTTAAATTTATAACCCTACACCGATAATTAAGAATCTATTACTATCTGATTGTATATATAGGTGTCAGAATGTTGTTATATTTGTATTTGATACACGCGACACGGTGTCAACAGCTGACATAAAGCAATACATTGTCTGAAAGTTTTTTGTTCTAATTTAATTGTGACAAAAAAATACAGACACAGAATTAGGCATAGAACAGAAAGAAGTTGGTTTAAAGTAAATAATTATGTTTGCATTTGATTATATTTTAGTTAAAAAAGTTATTTTTAAAATTAAGTTGCTATAAAATCTCAATTACTTTGAGAATAAAAAAATTTATGGACATCAATAATCACTCACTGAGAGAGATTGAATGAAACAATCAACCAATGTTCAATATGATCACGATTTTAACAATCACTAAAAAGTTTTATTAAATAACTCACCTATAAAACTGAGCATGAGTTTTTCGCGTGTGCCCCATAAAGGTTGCTACTTGCTCTATTTCATGCGGCTGCATTGTCATTAATTGCAAAGTCGTAGCAATATGTTTTCTAAATCGCGTGGAGGTGAGGGTGTTTAGCTCCACATTTTATAGCTAAGCGTCTAATGACATTTGCTCCAGAAATCCATTTTTTAGAACCAGGAACTGCGAATACATATGGGTTTGATTTTGGAATAAAATCGGTCATATCCCTAATTTTTAAAAGGCAGGATATATATTTTTGTGTTCGTTTTGAGAAAAGGATAGGAACAGGTCTCGATCCTTTACCTCCTGTTACCACTCTTTTAAATTGTTTGGATATAATTTTTTCCACGGTTGTTAAGGATTCGGTAAATGCTTCCTGATCTAAGTGGTTATCATCCTTCATATACGTTTCTACTTTTAGAAATTGAACATCACCCACTCTTTTTCTATTAAATATGATGGTTTGAGCTAGTACACATTCAATTAGTATTTTATAATTGGTTTTTATGTCAATATTATTCGTTAATTTGTCATAACAATCTACACTTAGAGCATCGATATATGTTTGTAAAGCAAGAATGTCACTAGATAAAGGTAATTGCTTAGGGTTCTCCCATTGTTTTTCTTTAATATTTTTTAACGCAAGACTGGCCAGTTCATTACACCAATGGGCTTCGACTAGCTTCTTAAGATCTTTAATTTCATCCTTTTTTTCGCTATTTTTTAACCAGTTAATATTCGGAAGGATTCTTTTTTCTAATACTATTGTGTAAGCAACATCGCACATGATTTTTATGTTCGTACCCATATGTAACGCCAATGATGGGGCTCTAAACTCTTTCTTTACTACGTCATAGCCACTGATGTCCTTAACCGCAAAAATAAGGGTTTAGAACATTTCAGGTTTAAGAACGTCAAAAAAGGAGCGAATCCCTTCTTCCAGAGTTTTAATAACCATAAGCATCCTAGCCATTTCTCGCATTCTGTTCGACACAATGTTAGCAATTTGTTGTCGCTTATGTTTAGCTAAAAGTGTTTCTCCGAATAAACAGGTGAGGGGATCACTTTTAGCAGTAGCACTTATTTCGTCGGCTCTCATGATGTCAAAGACTTCGGATTTAATGCGAAGCTTTCGTAAGAAATCATGATTTTTTAATGAAACTGATGCTTGAAATGTTTGGGATTTACTAAGGCAATTCTTTCCAGGGTTAATGATATCAGCAGGTTTATTCTTACATTTCTTGATATGTTTATGTAATAACTTTTTAGAATAATGCCCCAAGCAATAAGAACACAGAAAATACTGTGTATCGGGTAATTTCGAACTTCTTATTGGATTTAGAATATTTTTTTCGACCTTGAGATGAAAGTATCCTTGCTTTCTCAAAGCATTAATCATACCTAACCGCTCCTTACTACGTGGTGTAAGATTTTTAATCACCATCACGTCTTTGTGGTCTCCGTGATATCTTAAAAGGTGTCTCGTGAAATGCGTTATCACGTCGTTGAAGCAAATTGGACAAATGGTAGGTCTTTCTCGGGCGGAAGATTTCTTAACATAACGCTGGTTATCATCCTGCTAAAATCAAAAACAAATATAGTGTGGTTTGGTGAGTTTGCTGAGAGCAGCCGAGATTTTTTTAGGAGAGTTTGAACAGTGAGGTTTATAAGTATATAACTCCATTTAAAATTGAATAAAAAAGAAAAAAATGTTTTGCACGAATTTTTGCTTTTGCGATTGTCCCGTATGCACGTTGCTAATTATGCATTTCAGATATTCGACAAAAATAAAGTGGCTGGATTAAAATGTTATGCCACCTTATTTTAAGTTATTGTTATACTGAAAGTATCGCTTAAAAGTACCCGAAATTATAAAAGTTGTTGCCGAAAATACCACGATTTGACTTACAAAAATGTCCGGTGGATGTAGAATGTCATAATTGTTCGGTATTTTTTGTGAAATCTGTAAAATAATTTCATTAATGAATATCCCAGAAATGAAGAAAAAGTAAATAAAATACCTCTTTAGTTATTGGCTGATTATTTTGTTGGTCTATTGGTATTAATATATCTGGTGATTTTACGGAGTTATTTACTTTTCCTTCATAACACTTTACTTGGTCGCACGAACGATTTCTGTTAACAGATACAAATGATTCTGTAGATCCGCTAGCACTAGGTGATGGTCTATATTCTGAACCAGAATCTTCAAAATCACTGCATTGCATATCGTCATCACTTATGTCCCTTTTCTTTAGCACGGGAGGTGATTTTTTGGAGTCTATTATATGCGTTATTTGAATAGGAATTCCAAGTTTTGGTATATTTTGAAGATATGTGTGAGTTAAATTCTTTTAAACTTATCTCGCTCAAATCCAAATCAGTTGGAGGTATGATCGACGCCACAGAGTTTCTAAAAGATATATTTGTATTAATAATTAATTCTGAACCTAGGCCAATTGCTCTTGAGAGTAAATCGAATGTCTTGTATAATAAGTACCTAGATGTGTTGTCATTCTCTGAAGAACTACTGCTGAGGCTAAACTGATCTGGTGTAGGTATGTCTGGCATAGTGGGAACAGGTGATACTACATCTGCGGTATCCCAAGAATAATGTTCTAGTTGCTAATTTGAAGTAAAAAATTGCTGTTTGTCCCAAATTTATTAAAATACAAATAAATTTCTGTATTTTACTCACAATATAAAAATTACTTTAAGGAAACGGATGGAAAAAAGTAGGCGTGGAATAATTCGCACGAATACTTACTTGCACCAGACTATCAGATGCCATGGTAACATTTATAGATTCATCACTAATAACTGCACACTTATTTTCCATAGCCAGTTTTAGTAAAAACTTGCTTCGGTTCATTGCAACTGAAAATAAAATTTGGAAGCAAAGCAATAGTATCCGCGTATATGTGTTGCTAAGGGGAAACTAACCGACCTACTCGTCAAGATTAAAGGTTTAAATACAACGCGACAACGTCGCTGGACTTCCCCGAAATAATGAAATATGTGCAGTATATGCAATTAGGCTTCATAATAGATGTAATATATCTTATGGCTTCCTAAGCCTTATGGTATAGTTGTTAAAGGTTCTACCTCGAACCGCACCCCTCAAACCAGGCTTCCATTCACCTATGGAACATGTGGGGCTTCGCATTATTTATCGGATGTATATATATATATATATATATATATATATATATATATATATATATATATATATATATATATATATATATATATATATATATATATATATATATATATATATATATATATATATATATATATATATATATATATATATATATATATATATATATATATATATATATATATATATATATATATATATATATATATATATATATATATATATATATATATATATATATATATATATATATATATATATATATATATATATATATATATATATATATATATATATATATATATATATATATATATATATATATATAGAAAAAATTACTTGAAGCAATCTTTTTTTTATGTTACTACTACTATTACTGCATCCGCTTGTATTCTTAGCAGCTTCAGATCTTTTAATTATTACCCACAGATTCACCTAATTTGAATTTTTGGATTTCGGCAATAAATATGTTTTTGTATCAAATTTAAAGCTGGGCGCTTATAACGTCAACAATGATAAGAACAAAAAATATATGTAATTTTTTTATTGAAATTTTTTTAAAAAATTAATGTTGTACACATTTGGTTTTAATGGAAAACTCTTCAATAATTTTTCATAATTTACACAGAATTTGTAATGAAAAATAGGATTCCCAAAATACATTTACAAATAATATTAATTGTAAATTCAAAGCTGCACAACGAGAAATGTTACTAATATAATTTAAAAGTAATGTTACTCTAGCAGCCTTATGTTCTGTATCATTTTTACAGATTGGAAAACACATTCACATATGACACTGCAAAAGAACCCATTAAATGGTTTCATTTTCTGAGTATTGACAGATACTGGCGTAATTATGGGCAAAGAACATGGACCATCTAAAAATGTATTTTATCAATTCTTCTCATTTAAGAATTTCTAAGATTCTAGGCATCACATCTATTATAATAAATATATGTTTCGACATCATTTAGTAACGAGATGAGGTTCATATACTGTAAGTCCTTTGAATTGAGTTGCTTGCCATATATTTCTTTAAACTAAGTAATTGTTATGATCATCGTACATATTATGTTACGAATAGAAAATTTAACTTAAATTGTATTTTGTTATGTCAAACGCACTATATATTTTTTTTGTAAATTTTAGAAAATTGGAAAAATAAATAGTTGATTATTTGTAACAAAAATCATCGGTTAGCATTAATTCAAATAACACAAAAATCTAATTTTATAAGTTACATAAATTCCGGTTGTTCAATTAAAAGAAAAATGATATGTAAGAGGCTACTCAAGTGTTTCACCATATATTTGCAGAATCAAAAAAGACGTTTTCAAATAATAATACATCAAAAAATGATACAAACACTGTCAAAACTAAAACATTTAAATTAAGTATTTAAAATAAATGTTTGTTTCACTTTTGACTGGTATGCCCAATGGTCAATGTTCTCTTCAGCAAAGAATATGTCATAACCTGGTTTGCAAAAAATACTTAAATATAAAAAAAATAAATCACGAGGTATTTGCTTATTAAGATTACAGTTCCTCCGTTGGCGGTAAAGGAAGTCTATCAACACTATGTTCCAATAAAATTGCTTTCTCTTCCTTGCCTTTTGAATTTCCATTATAAACAGATTCGTATACTGGGTTGTCAAAATTTCCAGACTGAAAAAAGCTGCTGTTTAAAATTAATTACCAAAAAACCTGTTGTATTAAGATTTTTATATAATCAAAAAGAAGTTTTGAGCCAATAATACACAATTGATTTATTATGTTTACCTTATCAGTTTCAAGGGTGAAAGGTTCAGCATCTCGGTCTTGATAAATTGGATTATTAAAATCGTGCTCTTGCAATCTTTCATGTGAAAAAAACATTCTTCTTCGGTAAAAATATTCAAATCCAATTAGTCCCAAAATCAAGACGACTAAAATAACAGCTGAAGCAGACATAATTGGAACCCACATACTTCTTCCCTCGCCCTTAACTTCATTTCCAATGTAGATATTCTCACCTCTTCGGTTAACATTACATGTGGGTCCTGTTTTTAAATAAGTATTTAAGTAAAAAATACAGACATTAACAATAAACATTAAAATTTAAAAAAATAGCTGCAAAAATATGTTTGTTGTTTTCATTTCACTGACATTGATTACCTTGGTATTCAGATAGACATATACAATAAGCGACTCCATCCGTTACTGCACATGTACCACCATTTTGACAATGATTTTGGCAAATCTCTGGAATGGTACATGTTGGTCCTATCCACTTTTCTTTGCAGATGCATGTCGGCGTTTTAGGTTCAGACAGATGGCAGACACCTCCATTTTGACAATAACCACGACAGTCGAAATTAGTTAGACTACGATTAGAATCCTTAAAAAATCCACTGTTAGATAAAATAAACTATATAATAAAAAGATTGCGCTGAAAAATGAAAACCGTTTTTATTACATTTCTACTTTCACTTTTTTAGTTAATTTAGTTAACGTTTTAAGATTATGTGACTTTATTATTATTATTTATGTTCAAATATATGAAATTTAAGGGATAAGTCTGGCTGTCCCAAAGTACGAGAATAAAATGCATGGAACTGTATATTATATGGTGAAAAGCCCAAATGAAAATTATTTACTTTTTTTTCAAAGATTTACCAAAAATCAAAAATCTTCAAAAAAAATCTCAGTTTACAAACTGTGAGATGTTGCGCCCATTTCAATCATATTCAGATAAAGAATGTGCCATTTTATCGGACATAAGTGTTCATGTTGACACAATAAATAGTAAGTAGCAAAAATATACCGAGATTTTAAAACAATGGTAGCGCACAGTTGCACTAATAATAATACCCTTCCTAGTTCGGTTCAATATCAATACATTTGAAACAAGGAAGATAACCTCTATCAAATGTATTTTGGCTAAATTCGAGCAAAAATAAACATGAACTTGCTACGGACTATATGGCAACACAGAAATTTTACACGCTGAATTCTAAACTGTAGACTATCCGAAACACTTTTTCGCTTTTTATGAAAGCATTATCCAATTATTTGGATTGATCAAAGAGATTCTAACTCGGAAAAACCGTTTTACATACTTCCAATAATAGTTTTTCTTTTTAAATTTTTATCAGAGCAATTTTAAATTGTTTATTATATAAAATTTATTCTCTTCTATTGACTCGTTTAAACATTGCAAAAAAAAAAACAAAAATTACGAGAAAATGGCACACCTAAGCGCTTGTGTATATTGGAGTATCTTGGTTTATAGAGCTGCACATGGTGTTTATGTCAATTAAACAACAGTCAATAAACTAAATTATTTAAATTTATATATATATATATATATATATATATATATATATATATATATATATATATATATATATATATATATATATATATATATATATATATATATATATATATATATATATATATATATATATATATATATATATATATATATATATAAATTTAAATAAATAATAAATAAAATTAAAATATTTACCTCACAGTTTATGCATAATCCATCGTCCTGTCGGCATTTGCAATCAGAAATTTGTGTTTCACATTTTTGACCAGTATAACCTTGAAAATTCAAAAATAATAATAAAACAATTAATTGATAACAATCCTCATAAATACCCTCTTGACAATTGCAAAAAAGTCCAGTGGAATTTGTAACAATCGTGCCATGGGTTCCGCAGGCTGAAATCTCACAGTGTTCTCCGCTATACCCATTTGGACAATGACAAATAGATGTTTCATTCTTAAAGTAACATGCACCATTATTCTCACAACTAAAATTGGTGCAATGTTGGCAACGATATCCAAAAAAGCCTTCTCGACAATGGCAATGGGGTAAACCTAAATATAAATTAAAAAAATTATAACTAATATATGCGCCATGTAATCGACTGAATTGACTGTAAATAACAAATAATGAGCAATACACTCAAATATGTCGTATTCGAATGTTGATGGTACATTAGCTGATGTGCAGGGTGAAAAGTTAGTAAGTTATTTATTGTAATTAATATTTTGCCAGTGGCATATTCATACATCTTACGGACCTTAACCGACAATCTACTGAGAAAACATTGGCAGATTGTACTGAAGGATCTTCGAGCAATACCTTCGTCAATTCGCACTGTAATTAGGTTCCTCGTTATTACTATCAGGAACAGAACAGAACACCGATACATCGATAATCAATAGTCAGTCAGACATACCTTAGTCCAAAAGTTCACAAGTAAAAAGTTACAGGGTGTTAAAGTGTCGCTTTAGTTTTCGATTTTTTTATTTAACTTTCAAACGTTCCAAGGAATTAAGTGAGGCTAACGCACCCCATACCAATTTTATCCAAATATGCAGTGATTAACGTTACTGAAATATATTTTGTGCTATCCTGTATGCCATTAATTAAATTGAATTAAAGTAAGTCAGTAAGTAAGTAAAGTAATCATTAAATTAGATTAAACTACAAGATGTTTTTTACAAAATATCTGGATTCCTCCTGCGTCGGTTGTGGTTGAGTCCAACTTGCTGACGTTTCATCATCATCATCCTGTTGGCTTCTTGAGAGCTTAACTGAGACAGTTTCAGCTGAGCCAACAGAATGATTGGCGAAACGTTAGCAAGTTCGACTCAACAACAACCGACGCACGAGGAATCCAGAAGTTTTGTATAGATTAGATTATTAGATAGATTACTATATACGATATAGATTATGGAATATAAATGAACAAAAGGTTATAGTGTCAAGAGGTGTTATAGTTTATGCAGAAGAATTCTACCACAAATAGGCTAACGTGAATATAGAAGATAATGAAATTGACAGTGAAATGAAAAATAAGCAAACAGGCGACGTCCATGAAAATGAAAGTTATCAGGATAGAATTACTATCAAAAAAGGAGATGACTGAGAAAGAAAAATGGAAACAAAAGAAAAGAAAAGGATGATAAACTTACCAGAAAGAAATAATGATTATGAAATGTATGTGGCGTTTGATGCAATGTCATATATGGATGATGTGCCAGAAAGTAGACAAGACAAAGAATTGTGGATTAAAGCTATGGAAAGAGCAATCAAATCAATTGAGGAAAACAATAGTTGGAACGAAGTGTAATTACCCAGTAAAGGAGAAATATTGAACACTAAGTGGGTATTTGCATCAAAACCTTTTGAAGAATGTGTTGAAAATAAATATAAAGCAAGGCTTGTGTGAGAGGATTTGATGATTGATTGTTGTACCAAAGAAGTCTTAAATTAGAACACTTTTCAAACAACTAGATGTGAAAACGGTCTTTTTAAATGGAGAGTTAAAAGATAGTATATACGTTTTCCCACCAGAGAGGGAGTTTGCAAAGTTGGACATGTTTTAAAGTTGGATAAATCATTATAAGGATTAAAACATGCATTGAACATTGAGATGAATAGCTATCTATTGAAATTGGGATTTGAAAGATCCGAGACTGATAATTCTTTATATATGAAAAGAATTGATCGCGAAATTGTGTATTTATTACTGTATGTAGATGACATAACATCTTTAAAATTAATTGACAAGTACAAAAGTAAATTAGTGGAAATGTTTGATATCAAGGTATTGAGGCGAATTGAAGACTTTTTTTAGGCTTGGCGATAAATTAAAATAGACCAGCAGGAATTTTGGAAATTAGGAAAATTATCTGACAAGAATTTTAATTTGTTCTTACCTCTCCATCTCAGGGTCATGAAAAAGAAACGCATTAATTAATTAAATTCGTAATTTAGTAGTGAGGTAAGACAATGCCTAGGCTAGCTCATTAACAACCGAGAAAAATTAATAAAGTAGAAAAAAAAAATACTAAACCAAAGCCAAGTTGGAAGGCCGTGAAGGGCACCTCGGTCAGTCCCGGAAGGTGGTAGGTAGGCGCCACGTGATTCGAAAAAGGTAGACTTATCAACCCGAGGTATTCCAACCCGTAAAGGAAATAAACAAGTGAATCACGAATAATAATTTATTTTCTTCAACCTGGTGGTAGGTGCGAGTGTCAAATCTCACCTTCAAGTTTTGAAGGTGCAAAAGAATGTAAGACACTATAATTTAAGGCTATAAGTTCCGCAAACCGTTCTTGAAGAGAACAGGCCACTTAAGCTACCCAAACCTCAAGATGTCCCGAACGTTACACAGTTGTCTGTCACTATCCCGGGAACCAAGCCAAGATGGAATGGTGGCTCAATGGCACAGCCGCAGGTGGGCAGTCCCAGTTAACCCAGCAAAGTCCGTCCGGAAAGCCGGCTGCTCAATAGGGGAAACTCCACAACTAAACATGTACCCAAGAGACAGCATACACTGCAAGACACCAAGTCTGGTCTGGTATTCCGGTGAAAGAAGAAACCACGTGGAAGGTTTGCGGGAAACGGAGCAACAATACGTACAATACTAATTAAAAAAAAAAAACCTAAAATAAAATCGGCATAAATTGAGGAACACTGATTAGGTGGCGAAAAGGTAACTTACCTCGATTCGAGGGTTTTCTGGAAATGTGGGGCAATGACAAATCTTTTCAAAATCCCTCGTTGAGGAAGATTCCCATTCCAAACTCCAAATAGATCCAAAAGTATGGGAAATCATAAATTAGTGACCAATTTACATATCCCCCTCTTATTGGGGTAGCACTACCGGCTCAAAAAGAAATCGGTCACACAAAAGAAAACCTGCTACAACCCCAAGCTTCAAAAGCTAGCGTACAAAATGCCGGATGATTCAGACAACCAGTTTTATTAAAAGGCTAAACGGGCACAAAAAAATTACAGGGAAAACGCCACTCTTGCCAACCTAGTCGACGGTACGCCGCCAGTAGAAAGAACAACCGAACTATATCTGTGGTGATGGCCGTATGGCCCGTGCCAAAGAATCGAGGTTGCGTCAACGAGATCGAATTACCCGAACGCTATCTATGGTGGCGACCGGACGGCCAGTCACAGAAAATGGAGGAAGAATAGGTTAAGAAACAAAACAATGTTTACTAGGCTCGCCAAAGAATACCGAAGCAATGAAAAGCAAATGTGGTCCCTAGTCTCATAGGGTGACAGATGGTAATGGTTATGATTCCTTCTAATGCGCAACTAATACTCTGTTTTTTGCATTAGTATCTCTCAGTAAACCGGTGTCACTTAAGAGAAAACCAAGCGAACAAGGGGCCACGCACACAGCCGTTGCAGCATAAAATATTTATGGTTCGGCAACACAATCGGCCGGGGAGTACAAGTCCGAAACTAAAGGAACCGAGTCTACAAAAGAACATGCCAAACAGCAAAAGGTGAAGGAAATGGACAGTATAATTAATTCTACAAGGTACTAATAAAATAAACCGTTACTTCGCAAATGTGCCAGCACTGGTACTTTAAAAATGCTAAATTTTACCATTGAAATATGAAACCGTCACATTGTAAGACCATAATAATATATATAATATAGTTATATTTGGAAGACCATTATTTCTGCATCTCTACTCGTTCAACTTACAGTTGGGTCCTAAAAATCAAGTCAGTCAGTCTGCCATAAAATTATCGAAACCATATCGACAATCGCAAATTTATGGATGCGCTCACGCTCAGTGTAGCAAAATTCTAGCTCCAAGTTTGAGCTTTAATGGAACTTCATACTTCATATTTAAAATTATCTTATTAAGGATTTGTGCACTCTACGAAGGCAAATAACCTCTCTCTATTTATAACTTGCAGGAAGAGGAGAGTCTGGAGCAAGTTTTTTTTAGAAATATTGTTGTTGTTAATGATTTGATTAACTCTCTTAATTCCAATTGCGCGAGTCGCTTGGTTACTATTTTGAAATTCATCTTAAGCATGTACTACTGTGGTGAATACTTAGTGAAACTCTTTTATTTTAACTTTGCCATCTTTGAAAGCACACTTAACTACTTGTAATAATAGTTTTATTTTATATTATATTTTATTATTAAAGTTAATTAAAACGTAAAAACTATCTAACCAAAATGATGGTAAGAGTTAAGGATTTTTTTGTATCATAACTATACTCATCCTCTTTGCAGTATTGTAAAAACTCGTGCAATTATAAATAGTTTTACACTTACCAGTAGTCATTAAAGAGCATGTTCCTCCATTTCTACAAAAATCGCTACACAAAAGTTTTCGCTTTTCACATCGTTTCCCATACCACTGAGGAGGGCAGAAACACCGAGCTGAAGTATCCTCTTTATTAACAATGCAAACTCCTCTATTTTTGCAATACTGGCTACATAGAAAATGTTGACAACGTTCTCCAATATAATCAGGTGGGCAAACACAGTGTGGCCCATGAATAGCGCTTACATTACAATATCCTGCATTACAACTGAATGGGCATTTGGATGAAGTTGCAGGCACAATATTTACTGCTTTGCACGTAAGATTATCATTAACATATCTGAAAAACATTAGCACTTGTTTACCAGGACTCCTTGACGAGTTTTAAGAGAATATTTTATAAATAAGACAGAGACTCAGTATTGCCTTTGAATACCTTGAAGTCACGCCATGCATTATCAAAGTATGAAAATAAGTTTTCGTTTTAATAACCTATTTCATAAGTACATTATAAAGGTTTTATTATATATAATATTAAAGTCTAAAAAATAGAAATATTGAGTGTTTAATGTGATAAGAAAAAGAAATTTTTTTAAATGAAATAACTGAGTAAATATGAACAAAATGCCAATCTGATGGATTTGTTGCAGACCAATGGGTTTAAATAAAATAAAATATGTTTTTAAATCTACCTACATTTTGAAAATAATTTTGAAGATGTGTCTTTTAAATAAAAGGTTTCAGCTCAGTTACAAGATACATTTACTAAGTTGTTGCCACATCCAAACACCTGAAATAGTGATGCAAAAAACCCACCCATCAGCACACAAGCACCTGGCGCCCTTGGGAGTCAATAAGCAAAATTCTTTGTTGTTACAAAAGTCATAACAGGAGTTATTAAATTTCGGCCTCTTGTGCTCCTGAAGTATCAAAATATCTGAAATTCGGGGAAGTCCACTTGCTAAATGGACTATGTTCCCAGTACCAAACTTATTAAGCCTGATTACGTCATGTTTGTACGTCGATATAAAAAGATTATCTTCGAATATTTCTAGCTTGAAAGGCTTTAAACTTTTGTTAAAATTTCGTATAACCCGTCTAAAAAAAAACAAAATTGCTAATTAAAAAATTGTAGCAAAAAAATACTGAGAATTTCTACTTTTTAAAACAAATCAACTGACTGAACAATAAGTTTTAATGGATTCCAGTTCATTTATGAGAAATTTTAATAGTGTGTGACTTAGTCAAAAAAATCTGTCTTTTAAGGATAGCCTGAACCGGAAAAGACAAGTGACGTCAGTCATGTTATCATGTCAGAAATATTCTGCAATAGTATTAATACTTTTTAAGAAATTCTCAGCTATCATAGTCTGTATGAAAATATTACACACCTATCTTTACCATCAAATGTAATACTTTCTACCATCATTGAAATATGATCACTCCAATAGATTCTTCTAGCGGGATAATCTACAGCCAACCCCGCAGGACATATTAATTTATTTACTAGCACGCTTCGATTGTATCCATCCATATTGGCCATTTCAATTCTTGGAACACCACCCCATTCTGCCCAAAATATAAGACCATCTCCAGGAGACACAACAATATCCCGCGGCTCTTGCATATTACCGGATGTCAAGGTATAATTAAAAATACCTTTAAGATCGGACACCAATATGCGATTACCGTCAGTTACGTATATACGTTTAGCCACCCAATCGAGAGCTATGCCCCTTGGATTTCGAAGATTGGACAAGACTGTAAAAAAGAGACGCAAATATTTATGAAAAATATGTTTTTTTAAATATCTGTTGGTAATCGTTAAACGAACCAATAAAATATATCCTACATCTACGGTCCGAGGAACGAATGCAGACTAGGGTTTAGTTAAGAAGGTGAGGTTATGTTAGAATTAGAGACGCGTGGTTACTTTTTGTACTTTTAGTATTCATCTTTTTCGTGTTGCTTTTTGTAGTGTCAATATGTTGTTGAGTTTCGGACTTGTTTGAATATCCGGAATTGAACATTTCCTCCAACAGGTTATGGGCCCAGACATGCTGTGTAAGCAATACCAAGTTATTTGGAAAAGTTATGGGGTTGGGCATAAAAACGAACGCAACAAAGAATAGTGATGGCAGAAGGATTGCAAGTAGTGAAGTTGAATGGAGAAAATTGGACACTTTGGAAATTTCAAACATTGGTGTGTTTAAAATCCAGGGGACTCTTCGAAATTGTTAACAGATATGAATGTTACAGAATGGATTATGAAAGATGCAAAGGCTCAATGGTGTGTAGACTGGAAGTAAAGCTCCTTACCCATGTGTTGAAAGGTTGAAAATTGAAGAAATTCAAGGAAATCTGATACTGCAAGGAGAAGAAATAAGCGATAAAATGGCAATCACAAAGATACTTATGTCTCTACCTGAAAGTTTAAAGTACTTTGTTCCAGCCTGGGAATCTATGCCAGAAGACAAACAAACTTTGTCAGAACTGATGTCAAGATTGTTAGTAGAAAAAGAAAGAAACCAACCTAGTAGTTCAGGGACAGCTTTAGTCACAAGAACATTTAAGTCAAACAAGATTCAACAACAGCGTAAAGATATGGTATGTTTTCAGTGCAATAAAAAGGGTCACATAAAGAACAATTGTTCAGAGAAGACCAAGAAAATATGTCACTGCTGCAGAAAAGATTGATACCTAATTAAAGACTGTTGGTTTAACAAAAATAAGAAGAAAAAGGATGAAGGTGGTAATCCAGAAAGCGATGAAAAAAATGAAAAAGCGAATGTTAAACAAGCGTTAGTAGGAGTATCCTGCACAGAAATATCAGCTTTGATTGGAGAATAAAATGGTGGATGTGACTGGTGGCTAGAGATAGCGGAGCCACAGAACATATGTGTTTTGATAAGGACAGTTTTATAGAAATGCGAGAACTCCAAGAAAGAAGACATGTAAAAATTGGGAACAGTTCTTTGCTAGAAGTACAAGGAATTGGAAAAGTAGAAGTTCAAGCATGGAACGGTCATGACTGGATAAAAACAAATTTATGTGAAGTTTTGTTTGTACCTGACCTTGAAGTAAATCTATTTTCATTGAGTACAGCTCTAGGTCTAATGATGCAGTCTAATAAACAAGAGAGCGAGTTCCGAGATAAAAACGGACACGTGAGGGCAGTTGCTCAGAGAAAAGGGCGACTATATCGAATGAAGTTTAAACCTCCAGAGAGTATGTCACTATGCAATATAACAGAAAGACAAACTGGCATTGTAAACTAGCCCACGTCAATTTAAATCAATCAAATAAAATACAAGGATGTTGCCAACCCATTTTGTCAAGATTGTTTGGCAGGAAAGCAGCACAGGCTGTCATTCTCACGTAGTGAGTCACAAGCTAAAAAAATAGGAGAGCTTATACATGCTGATTTGGAAGGGCCTATTAAAGTACCATCACTGGGAGAGGCAAGATATTTTTTGATGCTGAAGGATGATTTTTACAATTATAGATATGTGTATTTGTTAAAGAATAAGTCAGAAGCAGCAGAGAAGATCAAGAATTATTTGAATATGGTAGAAACACAAACAGAGAACAAAGTTAAGAAGTTACGAACAGGTAACGGTTTGGAGTTCATAAATTTAGAAGTGAAAAAATTGTTAAACAATAAAGGAATTCTTCATGAAAGGTCGTGTGAATATACTCCACAGCAAAACGGCCGAGCAGAGAGAGAAATGCGAACCCTTGTAGAAGCAGCTAGAACGTTATTACATAGCAAACGTTTGGACAAAAATCTATGGGCGGAAGCTATTAACACTTCAGTTTTCGTGTTAAATAGAATTGGATGTAGTTCTATTGCGAACAAAACACCTTATGAGCTTTGGTATGACAAAAAATGGGACATGAATATGTTCCAAGAATTTGGTTCCAAAGTAGCAGTGCAAATAATTAAAAACAAAAAAAAGAAATTGGATTCAAAGAGCAAACTTGGAATTTTGGTAGGATACGGACAGACAACTAAAGGGTATCGTATTTTATGTCCTCAAAGAGGGGAATTAGAAATCCACAGAGATATAGTGTTTATACCGGATAGTGAGAAAGCTGACAGAAAAGCGAAGAAAAATGAAGTTAACATAGTTTTGTTAAATTTGGACACAGACATAAACAGTGAAGATAAACCAATACAAGAATCAGAATCTGAAATAGACAAAGAGAACGAAGAAGAAGTAAAAGAGAATGAACAGTTGGAAAAGAGAAAAGTTAGAAGACCAGATTGGATGACAGACTATGATGATACCTTCTACACCATAACAGAAGAACCTACTACTTTCGAAGAAGCCATAACCAGCACAGATAGTGCAAAATGAAAGAATGCGATGGAAAAAGAATTGGCAGTGCTTCGTGAAAACAATACGTGGACTGAAGTGCCTTGGCCCGTGAACGAAAACGTCATAGATAGGAAGTGGGAGTTTAAAAAAAAAGGTGACCGAGAATATAAAGCAAGACTTGTTGCGCGCGGTTTTCAACAAAGAAGTGATCCTAAGTTGTATGACATATAAGCTCCTGTAGCAAAGTTAACAACTTTTCGCATCTTACTGGTAGTGAGCAGCAAGATGGGTAGACCAATACACCAAATGGATGTGAGAAGTGCTTTTTTGTATGGAGATATAGAAGAACAGGTATTCATGGTGTTACCAGGTAAAAATAAAAGTAATAGTAATACAGTATGTAGGCTAAATAAGTCACTGTATGGTCTAAAAAAATCTCCAAAATGTTGGAACAAAAAATTTCACTCATTCATGCGAAATCAAGGTTTTGAACGGTCACAGAATGATTATTCTTTATACTTTAAATTGAATAAAAACAACAAATCATTTGTATTGTTATATGTAGATGATCTTTTAATAATATATACAGATGATAGTGAATTAGATAGGTTAAAGCTAGTTTTAAATGAAAATTTTCATTTGAAAGATTCAGGAGTTATTTCAAATTACTTAGGTATAGAAGTTAAACAGAGACTAAATGAGGGACTACTGAATTAGGACAAAAAGAAGATCTAAAAATGTGTAAACTCGTTTTGGTATACAGGGTTGTAAATATTTTAACACTCCTTTAGACAGTAATATAAATTTGAAAGTTTTTAAATGTAAAAAAGTTGACCTGGCATTGCAAAAATTATGCAGACGTATTGTGGGAAGTTTAATGTATGCCGCAAGGGGGTCTAGACCTGATTTATGTGAGAGCATTAATTGTTAAGTCGATTTAAAGACAAAGCAAACAAAAACTTATGCATAGCTTTAAAAAGGGTATTTATTGCGTTATGTGCAGGGCACTAGATTTAAAGCTAATGTTTAAGCCAGATGACAAGAATTTGTTAATAGGATATGTTGATTCCGATTGGGGTGGGGATATGATTGATCGCAAATCCACCACAGGTTTTATATTTAAGATGTTTAATTGTACTATCGTCTGGACCACCAAGAAGCAGCAAACAGTAGCAATATCATCAACAGAGTCAGAATACATAGCGTTGTGTCTAGCAGTAACTGAAGCATGTTGGCCGAGAAAAATAATGTATGATTTTGGTTTTCATGTTGATAGCCCAACAATCAATCAGCAATTTGTATAGCTCAAATTCCTGAAAACAATGAACGAGTAAAACATATTGATGTTAAGTTTTACTTTATCAAAGAAAAGATCGATGATGGTATTGTAACTGTAACATATGTTAAGAGTGAAAAGCAACTAGCAGATTTATTTACAAAACCATTACCATACGTAAAATTTAAAACGTTACATTTGGGTTTAGGTTTAGAATAGAAAAGCTAAAATGAGTGTTATTTGTTATGTATAACAATCATTTAAGGAATAATTTTATTGAGGGGGCGTGTTGGTAATCGTTAAACGAACCAATAAAATATACATCTATGGTCCGAGGAACGAATACAGACTAGGGTCTAGTTAAGGTGAGGTTATGTTAGAATTAGAGACGCGTGGTTACTTTTTGTACTTTTTCATGTTGCGTTTTGTAGTGTCAATATATTGTTGAGTTTCGGACTTGTTTAAATATCCCGAATTGACCATTTCCTACAACAATATCAAGTAGCTTTTTGGGAGTACAAGCAGATTTTAATACATTTTTTTCCAAAACAAGCAAAACGTTGAATAAAAAAAAAATGTATATATCAAATCATAATATTATGTAATGCAAAACCCGATATTCTAAATTCCATTTAAAATTAGTCATTAAACGAAGATATTTACTGAAACTAACCCGTTCTAGCAGTTTCCGCGTCCCTGTTCATTCTACCATCTTCACTAACTTGTATTTCCATTGCCTGAACCCGTTTATTCTGATGATCTGTCCAAAATGCTTCAGCCTGCCTTTTTTCATATAAAATATCTACTGCGTCCACTTTATATCCCGGAGCAATAGCTAGCGTCTTTCGCATTTTATTTATATCGCCCATTTTATATGGTGAAATCATTCTTAGTTCTGCTTCAGAAGCCAAAACCAACTCGGCCAATCGTCCCTCTGCTTGACATTTGCCACTTCCAATATGTTTATATCCATCAACACATTTACATGTGGTGTAATTTTGTCTGGAATATTCTTTTTTGTATAAGTTGAATATAAAACATCAGAAAAGATAATATAGGAATCAAATATATATAACATACACTATCTGCTCTAAATAATATTCAACTTATTTGTTTTTATTCGTTTGAATTTGTAATAATTATGAAAAAAAAAAGAGTTTATATGCAAAACAGCAAAATTTTAAAAAACTAAAAAATTTCATAAAATATTAGTGTTTTACATGCACTTACCACTAGTCACTTCACCTACAAAATATCCATTTTAAGTACAAAACGCCGGTTTCTAATTAGTTTCCCAAAAAACTTCTTAAACACCTTTCAGAGAAAATTCAAACCTATCTAACAATAAACAAAATTAATTACCTGACTTCTATGCAGACTTGTGAACACGTGCCCCAAGCGCAAGATGGTTTTTCACAATCTGCCTCATCACTGTTATCACCGCAATCATTATTGCCATCACAATGATATCTTCCATCTATGCATCGCCCATTCTTGCAGGTAAATTGGTGTGCAGGGCACAACCCATATCTGCCATGAAAAATTGAATTCGGCTTCATATTACAAAAAGTTTTTTTTATTAAACAAGCAAAAAACATATAACCCATGATATCTAGGAAAAAAAGGAAATCTATACCTTTTACAAATGTGTTTGTCTTCATCGCTTTTATCGCTACATTGGTACTGTCCATCACACAAAAAATTGATCGGTACACAAGTATGATTTTTACATCTAAAACGTCCGGCCGGACAAGCAGTAGAAAAGCAATTACTTTCATCTGAACCATCACTGCAATCTTTTGTACCATCACACCGCCATTCCTCATAAATGCAGTAGCCATTATCACAATGAAAGCCGTTTTGTGGACATGTTTCTGTACAGTTTGCTTCGTCTGATCCATCACCACAATCTAAAATTAGCTTCTACATTACTATAAAGCAGGGATCGGGGAACCGGGGTAAATTAACCCAAATGGGCTAAAAATGAAATTTTTGGGGGTAAAAATAAAACCTTTGTGAGTTAAAAGTATTAATTAATTAATTTAATTTGCTATTTTTAAGCCGGTTAGCATTTTTTTCAAAACGTGAAGGAAGAATGTTTTCAATTATTCTTTTTTTTTATAGTTTTTTTAATTCTAATTTTTGTTTGTACCACCATAATTATTATTACTATTATTTATTTTTTTTTTCCTCATCGGAAGATGGAGTCCTCTCATGTCGGCTAGGTGAGTAGCAAAACATGAAATGTGCGCTATTGAAGTTGAGGTTGATTAAGAAGTCTTCTAATTATGTTGCAGGTAGCTAGTACCACAGACTTCTGCATTTCAAAGTAGGTGCCTGGTTTTACGGTGAGTGTTGTCAGGTTGGTTCTGAGGGACTTTGGTATTTCTCCCATTGCACCGATCACTATAGGAACAATATTAACCCTATCGACACGCCATGTCTGTTTTATATCATCCGCTAACGGTATGTATTTTTCTCTTTTTTCACGTTCTTTCTTCTGCAAGTTGTTAGGTGCGGGAATTGCAACGTCGACGAGGGTCACCACCTTATTTGCCTTGTCATAAATAAGAATATCTGGCCTGTTATGCTGAACAGTGCGATCCGCCTGGACAGTTCTGTCCCAATATATCCTAAATCCCTCATTTTCAAGCACGGATTCTGGTGAGTATCGGTAGTACGGACACTTCTCTTTTAGAAGTTTAAGGTTGAAGGCTATTTCCTGATGGATTATCTTGGCTACGTTGTCGTGACTTGTGGTGTACTCCTTCGGGGCCAGTATCCGGCACCCACTGATGAGGTGCTCAACATTCTCATGACCCTCTCCACATATGCGACAATTCGTTGTTGTTACTGTCGGGTCCTTGATTATGTGTTTAAGATAAGATCGAGTGGGTATGACCTGATCGTGAATTGCACACATGAAACCTTAAGTCTCGGGAAAAAGGTTGCCGTTCGTTAGCCAGCCAACTGATGCGGGCTTGTCAAGGTCAGCACTATCAAGCAAGTTTGGGTATCTGCCGTGTAGTTCCTTTCCCCGTCATTGGTTCTCGAGCTCGAAAATTGAATACTTAGGGTCGCACTGATAGTGTGTGACCTGCAACATGAGGGGTGTAAGTGATCTATCTAGACCTGTCACTGCTCGGTAGAGCGCTGAGCTCTCGCTTTTTTGAAGAAGTATTTCTGCAGCCGCTCCACCTGGGTCTTGTGGCATATTCGCAAATCCGAGAATCCCCTGCCTCCGATGTTTCGAGGTAGATGTACCCTCTCTCTGCCAGCTCATGGGTGGTGAGCGTGGAATTTAGTTAGACTTGTCCTTAAGGTTCTATTCAGATCATCAAGCTCTGTCGGCGTCCAATCGACGATAGCGAAGCTGTACGCCACTGCAGGGACGGCGTAGGAATTGATTGCAGTCGCCATGTTACGGCCTGCCAATCTTGTTTTTAAGATGTGCTTGACTCTCTCTTTAAATCTCTCGGTGAGCAGCGTCTTGACACTTTTAGAGTCTATTCCTCGCGCCTGGGCAAGACCTAGGTATTTATAGGTTTCAAATTTATCCAGCGTCGTTATTTTTCCACCACCACTATGTTGTGTAAACTGATGGCCGTCCATCTGACGCCACTCTCCTCTATGAAGGCTGCCAACTTTACACTTCTCCAGACCGAACCTCAAAATTTCTCGATGCATCTGAGCTGCCGTTTTAGTTCCTTCTCGGTGTCCGAGAATATCTTAAGGTCGTCCATGTACATTAAGTGGGAGAGCTTAAGTTCTTTATTAAGTGGATATCTTTGTTTGAGATTATTGAGAGCGGAGGAGAGTGGGTTTAACGTTATGCAGAACCAGAGGGCACTCAGAGCATCGCCCTGGAAAATACCTCGTTGGATTTTTATGCTGATCGGCTTTTCTTGCGCCCCCTGATCTCTCGGAATTATTTGTGTCTCCCACTGGTCCATAGCATGTGTGAGAAAGTTGATGATTTTGGGGTCGACTTTATAGACAGAGAAGCACTGTATTATTATTATTATTTTTATTATAATTATTATTACTATTATTATAATTATTATTATTAATTATTATTATTATTAATTATTATTATTATTATTATTGGTTACAGTACCCCAAATTCTCAACCCTCAATTGTACCCCAATGGGTTTCAATTTGTTATATACAGTTGAGGAAAAAAATCGCCCCCACAGAAAATATAAGTAAATGATAATTTCTTGTTATTTTGTAATTTATATGATATTTTTCTTGTATTATTAGACGAAAAAACTAGTTTAAATTTTATATATGGCCCCATAAAAAATATTTTTTAGTTTAAAAGATTTTTTTCGGGAAAAAAAATTGGGGTAAAAATTCCCCGACCGCTGCTGTAAAGAAATAGAATTTTATTGAGATTTTTAAAGAGTTAAATGGGGAAAACTTGATTGAAGATCTTTGCATAGCTGTTGTACCAGCAGCAGCTGCAAATGTGCTATAACTTTCTTACTGTTAAAACATTTCTGAATTAATTTGATCACTTTTTTGCAAAGAATATTCTGTGCAGTTCAATTTTAATTGTAAACTTTATATTACCATTGTTTTTTATATGGTTAATATCCATTGAATTTTAGCAGCTTTAAAAAATGTCTCTCTTTAACTTCTTTCAAAGATGTACCATATCTTCACACATACCAAAAATATAAATTACAGTTAAAACATTCATACAATAGCGCAGAATAAACCACTAACACGCAACCGATTAAACATTGAGCCACAAGAAATGCATATGATTCAGGGTGCGTAGGGTAATTGAGGACATCCATATATGTAGCTGTAATTTATGGAGAACAATTTTTTTTGTTAGCTCATCAATAGAGGACTATAAAGTAAGAAGTAAGAAAAGCAAGAAAGAAATGATTTATTTTATCAGTTATTTAGTTATCAGCGCTATATGCGCCAAACACACCGATTTAGAAGTCTCCAATTTTCTCAACTGTCGATGTAGAAACTGAGACAATGAGTAACGTTCGAACACTACTAAAAATAAATAATTTTTCCAACAAGTGCAAGAGATCGTTCACGAAATCCCTTCAAAGTCCATGTGTACCATTGCAAGGGACTTTAATGTCTCTGAGGGTCTAATTGGTCGAGTGTCCATGAAGACCTCCGCTATAAGTTTTACATTATGCACAGAGGACAGTTTATGTCGGCACAAACTCGGAATCAGACACTTATTCGAGGAAAACGTGTTTCGAACAAGCTTAAAAACCTTGTAGTTCCTAACATGTTTTTTTTTCTACTATAGGACGCAGTTGAGCAAGAGACCAATAACACTCCATAACACTATTGCATAGCTGAAAGATACTCCACAATGATCAACATGATAAAGAACATTTGATCGGGTATGCAGTCGTTTCCGATATTGGATTCAGTCCGTTATTGCCGCTAATGGGGATTTAATTGAATAAGTATATAGTCTTAAGAGTCAATTAAGATGCCAAGTGAGATCTTGGCGAAACGTCTGCAGGATTCCAGTTGAAGTTCAACAAACGAAAGATGGAAATCAACCTGTTTGCCTGCCTAACTATTATTATTAGAATCGAGAACATACGTTATTTTACGTCGGGGAGGATCAGCTGCAATTTACACCTGCATATATATCGTGAGGCTTTTGTTACCCCTTTAAACATTTCTCCATAAATGTTTCATGAAATTTAATGGAATACAATTGAATATATATATATATATATATATATATATATATATATATATATATATATATATATATATATATATATATATATATATATATATATATCATAAACGAGGATACAAAGAAGAAACTTATTCCGAGGGAAAAATCGAGTCGTTGCCCAAAATTCTACGGGCTCCCAAAGATCCATAAGGACGGGGTTCCCCTGCGTCCAATCGTAAGCGCCTTTAACTCACCATTATGCAAGCTGGAAAAACATCTGGCCAGTGCACTTCAGCCTATAGTGGAAAAGGCAGATTCCTATGTTAAAAACTCAGAACATTTCACTCAGATTTTAGGTTCTCTCAGGATGGACAAGGACGACATTATGGCAAGTTTCGATGTCAAATCCCTCTACCCGAGTATTCCAGTAGAAGAGGCACTCTTGCTTATAGAAGAAAACGAAGATCTTTTGCCATACATAATGGATCTGTCAAGACATTGCCTGAAAAACGCTTACTTTATGCACAACAGGAAAATTTACCGACAAATAGATGGAGCAGCAATGGGATCATCTCTCTCACCTGTGATTGCCAACCTCTTCATGATTTACTTCGAAAAGAAAGCAATAGAGAAGGCAAATCTGAAGCCAAAACTATGGACAAGATACGTTGATGACGTATTTGTTGTATAGCCTTTTGGCAAGGAGGAGCTTTTGAAATTCCTAGATCATCTGAATTCCATTCACCCAAGGATTCAATTTACAATAGAACTTGAAGAGGATAACAGTCTGCCCTTTTTAGATGTGCACATCACAAGGACCGAAGATGGACACTTGGAACACACTGTCTATAGAAAACCAACACACACTAATAGATATCTGAACGCTAAATCTCATCACCACCCATCACAGATACAGGCAGTGGCAAATACATTAATTGCTCGGTCCTTCAGGCTCACAAACGAGAGGAACAGAGATAAAGAACTGAAGAAAATTAGTACCTGTCTTCGACAAAACGGATACCAAAGGCATACCATCAGCAAGGCAATCAGTAAACAACAACAGCCGCAACAGAGAGTGCAGGACGAGACCCAACGAAGATCGATCGCTGTCCTGCCATACATCAAGGGGGTTACTGACAAAATCGGCCGAATATTACGGAAACACGACATATCAACGGCATATAAACCTGACCATACCATCGGAGCAATACTAAGAAACCCAAAACGAAAAATTACTCTGGAAAACCAAGGAGTATACAGTGTAGCATGCGGATCGTGCAGCCTGACGTATGTGGGACAGACCAACAGAAGGATTTCAGCCAGGCTCGAGGAACATCGTTTAGCCATAAGAAACAAACAAACAACATCTGCTTTGTTTCAGCACCAACATCAGACAGGCCATAAAATTGATTTCGGCACTTGCAAACAAATAGCTAATATTCCTGATTTTAGGACTAGGATTATACGAGAGGCCATTGAAATAGAAAAGTCGGGACACCTCAATACGAGAGACGACGCTTTGCATTTATCCAACACGTGGAGAACGATAATCAAACAGCAGAGCGATACGCAGCAGCCAACGGGGACATCGCAACTACGATCGGGCGAAATTAACAACGCGACAATTCAGGGGGCGGACACACCTCCCCCCACGCACAAGCGGCACCGTTACCATCTCCGGCGCAGAGTATAAATACCGCACACACCGCCGATAACCTCCCAGTGTTCGAAGTGTTTTCGGAGCGCGAGCATTGAAGATGCCAAGTGAGATTTTGGCGAAACGTCTGCAGGATTCCAGTCGGATGCAGGATTTGCAGAATTCCAGTCGGAGTTCAACGAGCGAACGGATAATATCCCGGAGTATAGTGTCTATATATATATATATATATATATATATATATATATATATATATATATATATATATATATATATATATATATATATATATATATATATATATATATATATATATATATATATATATATATATATATATATATATATATATATATATATATATATATATATATATATATATATATATATATATATATATATATATATATATATATATATATATATATATATATATATATATATATATATATATATATATATATATACTACTATACTACTTTTGATTAAGCTTACCTGCTTCTCCATCACATCGCCATTCTTTAAAAATACATATCTTTGGGTGTGAACATTGAAATTCATTATCTTTGCACTGAGTGTCACAATCTAGTTCATCTGAGCTATCTTCACATTGAAATTCTCCATCACATTTCATGTTACCTCTTATACATTTTCCTAAAATACATTGCCATAGCAAATTTTAAAAAACCATAATTTACTAACCATTTTTGCATCGGAATTCAGATTCTGAACAATTTCGAGGCACACAATTGTGTTCATCCGATTGATCTCCACAGTCACTTTCATAGTCGCAGCGCCATCTGCCGGGAATACACCGATTGTTATTGCACTTAAAATATGTTGGTTCGCAAGTATGATATTCTAACTCGCTACAACTTTTTGGTTCATCTTCCCCATCACCACAATCATGATCTCCATCGCATTTCCAAGACAAAGGAATACACCTCCCAGAATTGCAACGGAAGTGTTGAGCTTCGCAAGTACGTTTATCACAAACTTGCTGTTCATCTGAATTATCGCCGCAGTCATTATCATTATCACAAACCCAAACTGCAGGAATACACTAAAACGCACTTGCTTCAAGTTCAAAGAAAATAATTTAAATTAATTACCTTGTCATTGTCACATTTGAATTGACTGGAGGGGCATGTAATTGGGGGACAGTTTAATTCATCCTCTCCTAATGGACAGTTCTCTACCTTGTTACAACGCAAGTTTGAAGGAATACATCTTGGTCCTATTGTTCCATTGCCCTCACATCTACATAAATAAAAAAAGGCAACTGTTAGCAAACAGAGAGTATACACTGCTGACGAGACTAATTTACCTAAACTGAGTATTGAGACACGTATAATGTTCACAATCGGTTTCATCAGATCCATCTCCACAATTATTAATGCCATTACATAAATCGGTAGGGTGAATACACTGACCGTTTTTGCACTGATATTGCCCTGGCATACACTTAAATAATGGACAATCCGGTGGTTCATCGCTTCCATCGCCTACGTGAAATAATAATTAAACAAAAATTATGTTTAGATAAACTTTAGCGGTACAATTACAAAGCTTACCGCAATCGTCTTGTGTATCACATTTCCACCAAAATGGTATACATTTATAGCTGGACTTACACTCAAAGTGAGCGCTGGTGCAATTTGCTTCACAATTTTTACCGTCTTTTCCGAGAACATAATTTTCTGGACAGGCGCAGATATAATATGGAGCTCTAGGGGAAAGAAGGCATAATGCTGAACAATTTGCTTGATCGCAAGGATTAACCTTTAGTTTGGGTTGTCGGAAAGGGTGGACTACACGAATGTCCATTGGACGGTGAACTGTGGAAATGATTGAAGAACAATCCTTTCCAGTGTATTTGTTGCATCTAAAAAATTAATAAATTCTTGAATACTCAGCCGCTCGGAATTTCGAGAAAATTTCAATTAATAGTATATTATAAAACAAGTTTGATAAACTCAATTTTCGTCACCAGTTTGATGAGTTGAGTTGAATTTGATTCTGACGTCTTCACTTTCTAGACGAAAATCATATATTATACAAAACAGTTGATAAACGCGACTTTGGTCTCGAGTTTAATTTGGAACAAGCGGAGCGAGTGCTAAATAAGCGCGCGATTGAACGAACAACTTTATCAACGTGTTGCACGTTTTCTACAACCATTACTTTTTAGGTACATTTTCGCAAAAAAAAACACAAATACCGTGGGTAACAAAGATGTCTTAAAGTGATAAGTCCCACACGCTTTATTGGTGCGCATAATTGGGTATTTTAGAGTAAGGAGTAGACTAAAGTAGTAAAAAAATAATTGCGCGTTATAGTAAAATAGAAATTAAAGTTCATAATTTTAATATTTTTTTACAATTTTAACACTGAAACTCTCAATTATTATTATTAATATTATTAAGCAAGCAGAAATTAATTTTGTAGGTTCCATAGGACGTATACTATTAAATTTTAAATATGGAATGTGAATGGTATTAATTTCTGTAGAGTCCCGTATAAAACAAATCAAAATAGACATAAGATAAATTGAAGTTTTTGAGAGTAAGGCAGGCGAAAACATTTTGCTTTATTTTTTTATCCAAAAAATTAAATGAAAAAGCAAAGTTGAAAAAAATAAAATAAATCATTACCTACAGTTCTATATCTAAAGGAGACTCGACAGACAGACCTTGTCTTGGTTAATACTATTCAGTGTTTTAGTGAATGTAAAACCAAAAAGATAACCTACATCTAAAGGACATGCGTCATATTATCAAAATTTAAATATTCCAAATAAAATAAAAGCAAAACTAGAGACTAGCCTACCTTTCAACTGTTTTGGTTTCCCAATCAGTCCAAAAAATATAATCCTCCCAAACGTCAATAGCAAATACATGGTGCAACTGTAGGTTGCTATCTTTTTCCCTACTTGCAATTACTTTCATCCTATTTCCTTCAAAGTCGGCAACAGCGATATAATCTTCACGCGCATCCGCCCAGAAAATTTCATTTGTTTCATAAGAGATTGTTAAAGCATTCGGCCAGCCCAAATTTTTATTTACTATCACTCGGGGATTAGATCCATCCATGCCTGATTTACCTATATGAACTCTTGAGCCCCAATCTGTCCAATACATGAACTTCCTTATAGGATCCAGTGCTATGGCACGAGGTTCTTCCAAATCTTTAGAGTGAAGTATGCGTCTATGACGGCCTTCCATACTTGACACTTCTATTGTATCAGAACCTTTGTCACACCAGTACAAGTTTCTTCCAATCCAATCTACTGCCAATCCATCGGGATTTTGTAAACTTGAGGAAGAATGAAGTAGCTCTACAGTTGAAACAGTTGTATTCATTTTATAATCGCAAAGTTTCTTAATGGTGCTGCCTAGAACATATAATGAAGACGTAAGATTTTTAAGAGATATTGCAAAATTTATTACCCAGCTGGGTAACATCAGACCAATAGATGCACTGTGTCTCCCAATCATAGTCTAACGCGACAGCATTGGTGAGATTGTGAGCCAACAAATTTGAATTGCCCTGTAAATCTAACTCTCTTATGTAATACCTGTTGGCTAGCAGCAAGGAAACTTTTTCTGTGCTGTTGGCTTTACAAGACTTCTTATCCAAATGCAAGACATAATGTTCATGACAACTACAGTGATAAGATCCCCTAGTATTTTTACATATTTGGCTACAAGGTCTATCTTCACATTCATCAATATCATCACAGTGATGGATGTTTTTTGATGAAATTCGGTATCCTAAGTCGCACTTGCATTCATAACCTACTGGAAGGTCTATACATTGTTGTGCACAGATCGGAGGTAATGCAGAGCATTCATTTATGTTGCACTTATTCTCATCCGAGTAATCACCGCAATTATTTTCACCATTACAGAGCAGCGTGTCATTAATACAAACACCATTGGCACAATGAAACCAACCTATAAAAGCAAATATTTGAATTAAATTACAAATTGAGTAATTACTCAAAATACTTTAGCAAACTTTCACCAAAAACCTCCAACATTCACATCTGAGATTCCATTACAGAGAACCAGTTTAAAACTTTTGTAAATTACCTTTCGTTTGGCAATATAGTCCTGGTTCGGAAGGACACTGTTGCCCTTCATCACTATTATCACCGCAATTGTCTACCCCATCACATCGGTGTAGTTCCAAGACACATTTTCCATTATCACAACGAAATTCGCCAGGCGAACAACTTCGATAACAATGATCAAGTTCATCGGAACCATCTTTACAGTCCTAAAACAATTTTTTTATAGATCTCAGGGAGGAACTCGCAATTAAATGCGCCGGTTGTACTATTACCTTATCTCCATCACAAAAATATTCTCTACTAATACAAAATCCATTTCGACACTGATATTGAGTTTCAGTACACACATTGCTGAGACAACCTTGGTCGGTGTGTTCATCTTGACCATTATCACAATCCGTTTCACCATCACAAAGCCAAGCCAATGGAATACAGCGCCCAGTTGCATTACAACGGAAGTCTAACTTGCTGCAATAGGTGTGACTGCAGTGTTCTGTTTCATCTGATTGATCCGAACAATCAGGGCTTCCATCACATTGCCAAGCTTTTGGAATACACTCACCATTTTTACATTGAAATTTGTCGAATCTATGAAAAAAAAACTTATTGCAAAAATTAACTGCCGCAGGTATAGAGATGAAATGTCGGTTAAATGTAACAAGAAAGAGTATGAAGTAAGTTAAGGAAAAATGTTTGATGAATCTATGCTACATAAATAACTATTAGAAAATAGGTTCCTCCTCCTCTGAAAATTAAAAGATGCACAATCAACTTATTCTGAATTCTGGGGATGTCATCCTTATTAATTGTATTAAGATATAAAATTTATTTTCACAGAGTTTATGGTATTTGAATTATTTATGTGAGTTAGTATACTTTTCTTTCAACTTGAAAAATATCTTGCTTAGAAACCCATTTTTATAAAAATTGAATAAGATCATGCCTGCAATGATGCTTGCATTCAATTTCGTCGCTACCGTCTGAACAGTCATAGACACCATTACAATGCCAAGACACAGGAATGCATATAGTATCTCCAACACACATAAATTCATCAGTTGAACAAAAATTTGTTCCACAATTTTTTTCATCAGAACTAAGGACACCCGCTATATGATCGCCATCATGGCAATCATCTTGGCCATTACATCTGGCAGTAGAATTAATACAATGACCTCCCGGACATTGCCACTGGTACCTGAAACCAATTTTTTTAAAAGTAAATTTTTGCTCAATTAACATAGAATATTCTAATTTTTAAAACGAGTAATGAATTTTTATTAACAGCAAACAGGTTTACTAAAATACCTACCAGTCACACTTTTTATTGGATGTAGAACAATTTAGTTCTTCATAATTGTCCCAACAATCATCTTCACCATCACATATCCAATCTATATGAATGCATGAAGTAGTGGAATTGCAGTTAATAAAATTGGCACCATGGATGGCAGTACAATTTGGTGCGGGACAACCAATCTCATCTGAATTATCCTTGCAATCAGGATCACTATCACAACGGACACTGTTTGGGACACATTCTCCATTATTACATCTAAAAAAAGAACTTGGTTTTACAATGGTTTTGATAACCAAATATTTGTGCATTTAAATTACCTAAAATATTGTTCTTTGGAGCAGTTGCAATTTATTTCATCTGTGGCATCTCCACAATCGTCAACTCCATTACAAGTAAGGTTCAATGGAACACATTTTTTATTAATACACTTTAACCAAGACGGGGGGCATGACCTAAATCCACAATACGCTGGTTCTTCGTCAGATTGATCAGCGCAATGACTAACGCCATCACAAGTTAAATGGAAAGGAATACAAGATCCATCCGAACAATTAAAACTGTAAAAAAGAACAATACTGTAGTATTTTTTCAAAATTATACAATATGTCAGGTGACGCAATAGTGGAAAAATACTATATCCCCCTTAATTATCACTATTTAGAAAAATACTCTTACAATTTTTAAATTGTATTTTATTGAAATAAATGTATATATCCTCTCAATAAATTTAGAAGAAGCATTATAACAAACACAAAACAATTAACAATTAATGACAAGTTGGTGCAGTTAATAAGTGCAGTGCAGTTAATAAATAAATATGGAATACTTTTACGAGTATTTGGCAAGATTGGGTTGCATGATAGGTTGTCTCGAATAGTACTGGTTTTCAGAAAAATGCCACCTAACAACGATTCAGTGGGATAGACAAGACTATTTGGAAAGATGTGCCAAAGAAATAAACATAACATTGTTGAAAGAGGAAAGGACAGTACTTCTTATGGTGAGACTTTAATGTCCCATAAATTTTTGCAAATGAGAATGAGAAAAAATTTAGAAAACCTTTACCATTAAGAAAAAAATAATGCTAAATATATGTACAGTCTGTAAGATTACAAAACTATGGCATATTTTTATTTACATCTGATCAAACAAAATTTCGCTGCACTAATTAGATTATATAATGTGAATTCAATTCAATTCAATATATTTTTGAAAAAAATAAACATTTGAAACAAAATAAGATTGCTATGTGGATAGTATTTTGGCGAACATAAGGAAATGGAAGCTCAGGCAAAAGTAAAAAACTACCTGTTATCAAAACTGCCACAAGTTAAACTGGTATAGTAGCACTTTCCGTCTGTTCCAAGTATTCTATCGTCTAAACAAGAACAGTTTACAGTTCCACTAACAGTCAAATCGCAAAATTCTTCACATCCCCCATTTCCAATATTACAAGGATTTGAAAAGCAGTCTTCAGTATCATTGGCAATTGTTACGATGCCCATTGGCCTACAATTTTAATGAAAACATAGAGCAATTAGTATAATCATCTAGTATAAACGGTAGTGAAATCACATAAATGAAAATTACAAATTTCTTACTTAATTTTTGAAAGAAAGTTGCACAGTAATACGATTTACAAATCTTCTGCATTCCTTTCAGTTTCAGTTAAGATCTGAAGAAGCAAACATGATTGGCGAAGCAAGTTCGATTCATCAATAACCGACGCAGGATGAATCCAGAAGATTTGTAAATAATAAGTTTCTTACTTGGCAACATCTCTTCTAAGTACAACTACGTATTGCCCTGTAAATTTGTCGGCCCTCAGTACAGCATGTAACATCCAATCAGTCCAATAAAGAAAATCTCCATATACGGCCAACGCAAAAGGATGTTGAGGAGTAACTTTCGCTAAAGTTACTCTCTTAGTTCCATCATATTCACATCTTTCTATTTTGTCAAGTCGCGCGTCTCCCCAATACAATTTTTGAGCTTTATGATCTAGAGTAATTGCGTTTGGCATTCGGATATCAGTTGTGATTATTGACTCTTTACCGTACCTAAATTATTAGTACATATGCATTAATAAGTTGCTGTGATACTCTTACTACATACCCGGAAAAGAATACTCTTTCTACACTAGGTTCATGAGCATTCCAATTGGTCCAATAAACCCGTTCACCACAGGAATCAACTGCTATTCCCCTAGGTTTATCTTGAACTCTCAGCTTGACTACCATCTCAACTGTATTAACAACGTTATTGGAATGAGTTAAATTGATTCTACTGATTGTGGCTGCGTTGTTGCATGTCCAATAGAGAGCGTGATGTAGCTGTTCATAGGCCAAACCTTCAACCGAACCTTGTTTTTCAACCACTGTTATGTGATCTGAACCATTAAAGTGGACGGAATTAATGGAACCTTTCTGTATATCTGAATAAAAGAGCCGTTGATATTTATAACTGAAAGTAAGACCTAAAAGCAATAATCTTATTGTTATTAAAAATGTGTGTCTTAGAACTAGGTAAATTATGTAATACATTACTGGAATCCTGCAGACGTTTTGCCAAGATCTCACTTGGCATCTTCATTCTAGTGTTCAAAGTGTTTTTTCGGAGCGCGAGCATTGAAGACGCGAAACGTCTGCAGGTTTCCAGTCGGAGTTCAACAAAGGAACGGACGATATCCCGGAATATGTCATCACATTTTTCCATCATATATATATATATATATATATATATATATATATATATATATATATATAGGATTATTTTCTAATATTTGGATCTAATCTAGGGAATACTAACCTATGGCATTTTTTAAAAGTGTACTATTCTTAATGCTAGCATATGGAGAATTTTGAAGATTTCTATCACTCATCATTTGGATTGAATCAATACTAACCACTCGCGAATACATTAGAAAAGTCTCAAAAGGTTCGCAGGTTTTGCCGTTTCGTGATATTCGACCGTGAGAACATACACATATAGGGATAGTACCATTAAAGAGACATAATTGCTCACATCCGCCATTATTTTGCGCGCATCCATTTGTACCACCTGAAACAGCATACAGTTTTAAGTAGACATTATCATTAGGTTTTTTAACACATACCTTGTTTTACTTTAGAGAAAACTTGAATGTCTTTAAGAGACTCTCCTAACCCTTGTTGAATAATTTTGTAATCAGAAAGATTACTGACTGGGGCCTCTTTTATACTGCCCCTCACATGAGAAGTATCCATCCAAAACAATTTATCATGAAACAGTGTTATTGCTACTGGATTTTCTAAGGAATGGTTTAAAACCACCATATGCTTAGTGCCGTCATATTTTATTCTCTCAATAGTGTTAGAGTTTGAATCACAAAAGTAAATAAGTTCGTTTTCTGAATCTAAAGCGACATCTACAAAATGTCTTGGCTTAGCAATCAAGGTTCTTCTATTTTGCCCATCTAAGGTCGCGATTTCAAGGCGCGAAGCTGCAGTCCAAACCATGTAACCCTTTACTGGATCAAGGGCAATGGAATTTGGTTTAATAGTATCATTAGACAATAACACATGTTCTTTGGTACCATCCATTCGTGCTACATTTATAGTACCCCTTTTTGAGTCACACCAATATATATTTTGCGCTATCCAATCTGTTGCTAGACAAGTAAGCCAATCTATGGGAATATTATCCACAACTTCGCTCTGCTCAATTACTAATTTTCTTTCCGTACCATCTCGTTTTATACAAGTCACAGTACCATGTTCACTATCTGCCCAAAATATCAAATCTTCGTCAGCAATAAAATCGATAGCAGTGGCACTAGATACCCTAGATATTGGTCCTAATACTTGTGTCGTGTTACTTGCGTTACTTAATGACAATCCTCGAAGTTCCCAATTGATTGAAAAGAGCAAAAACTCGGCAACGCCAATACATTTATATAAGTTGAGAGGATCAGTTGTATATCCAATTGCACATTTACACGTGAAAGTAGTTTCCGATTTTGGCAAACACAGATGCTGACATTCACTACCGTTTTCGCAAGGGTGATGACCATATTGTTCAGATTGATCATATATCCTTAAAGATAGAATGCTACTGGTTCCGTTTCTCAACGTCGAAATATTATTTTTTTGACCCGATGTTTTGTTTGCAATATAAATTGAATGATCGTGATCATTGGCATAATACACTTGACCTTTATATACAGTAAATGCCGAGACACTGACTGTAGTTGGTAAATCAAGTGTAGTAAGTCCTGTGCCATTCAAATTGCAAAACATGATTTCAAAATTGCTAATCCAATATAATCTGCAACAAAAATTCCATTGGTACCTACTTTCAAAGGTTCGAATGAGAATAAACTAGTATATGAAGTGTGATTTCAGAAATATCTAATTTGGTGAATATCAGTTATTTTAAATATTTACTTTTTTTCTTTTCTGAATTGAAATTGTTTACTTAAATTTTGTGCTTATAGTATTATAAATGCGATAAAAGACGTGTACTGGAATGACATATAAATTCTTATATTTTTTATTCATTCACTTTGTAACCCACATTAACATCACTTGTTACCTTACGTCTAATGCGTTTGACTGTATTCAAAACTTTTCTGTCGTTTAAAATAAAAAACTAAAAATCAACAAAAATAATTTACACAAGTAATGGCCTTAATTGCCACTAAATATTTTTTCTTTCTGTTTTTTTCTTATCAAGTATATAAATAGTTACTTTACAAAGATTAAAAAAAAAAAGATTGAAAAACATAGTAGAACTTGTCAATTTCAATACCCCTCCCACACAGCACAGCACACAGTTAAGTTTAGTTTAGTTAGTTAAGTTTAATTTTTGGATCTTGTGTCCAACCAATCAAGGATCTCTTCTTCACATGAATTAACAAGTTATGGTATTGATACATTACAATAATTAATTGGCCTTATACACCTTATCGTACTCTCTGGGAATTAAATTATTAATTTTTCATATATACAAAGTGTTTTAAAAAACATGCCCCAAAGCTTGGCTGGAGATTGGTCCATCAAAAAAACAAAAAAAAAGGAATTCATATAAACGTAGTCCTGAAAATTTTTGGTTTTTAAAATACAAGATATTAAAAAAAACGGATTGTGCGAAAACCCTTTACGCCCCTGCTAATAATCTGATTCATCATTTTCAACTTTTTGTTAAGTATTAATTTTGTGGAATTAAATTTACGACAGGGTTCAAAAAATAAGTGTGACTCAAGAGTCAAAGTAAGACTTTTAGTGCCTTATTCAAACTAAATCACAAAAAACACAAAAAAGTGGATGGCATTCATATCTTCGACAATACTATTAGTTAGGATACCTTCCGCGGCGCATTATAAGTAGCTGAAAATCCGTGTATTCGCAATTTCCAAAACAATCCGATTGTTGAGATATTAAGCAACCGAATATCTTATTTGTTGGCTTCATATAGGTATTAGATTAGTTTTGGTAAATCAAGTCAATTTTCGGTTACTTATCCTTATGCTCCCGGAGCGGACCTAGACTTTAACCCTTTATAATTACAAATGAAGTTGCTAAACTATTTAGCACTGTATCTTGAAAAAGGACTTATGTTTACGTTAACTTTTATATTTATATTACTTCTTGAGAGGTATATTTTGCGCCGCAATCTTTATTACATACGTATGTATGTATATATACAGTATGTATTTTATATGTGTACATATGTATACCATTTTGAATAACTCACCGTTGGGAGTCGGGATCAAAAAAAAGGCCTTTTGAATTTATGGTTAGATTTAAAACAAATTCCCTACCAGATCCATCTTCAGCACTGGTTTCCAGTACAGCTGTTACAGTGTTTTTGGAAATCCAAAACAATCTACCTCGAATTGGATCGACAATGATTGATAGAATCAATTCATTTTGTAGCAAATGGGCACTGTATTCGCCATCTGTGTTACAGACCACTGTAAAATACAAATAAACATCAATTACTTAAATTAATTTAAAGTAATGTCATTTGAACCATTCTAACAATCAACCAGTGAAATTTAGTTAGACGTTTTAGTTAAAACATTATTTGTAATTTATGATAGAAACAAAAACTATACACAAAAACATCTTCCCAAAAACCTGGTGTATATATTTCGTAACATAAATAATAAGCAAAAATTTTGTGTAGAATGCATCGCCGATCAAATTTGGCCCTCATGACGTTACTTTACACATAACGGACAAATACTACATCAGCAAATTAGATTGACAAATTTTTAAAGTTCATACTTATGCCAGTGTCTGACGAAATAAACATCAAATTTGAAATCCAGTCAATAGCAAGTCCAGATGGATTTTGCAAGGTAGTGTCAATTAGTGTCTGGGTGGGTCCATGGATAAGACTTGACCATTTAATTTCATTAATTTGGGAATCTGCCCAGAACAAAGTTTTACTTTTTGCCACAAATTCTAGTTTAATGGGACTCAAAACCTGTGGAAGACTTATTGTAGGTATAGTGTGGTAGTAAGGTTGATTAATGTCAACACCCCGAATTTCGCCGTGTCTTGCAATTAGAAGGACTTTTTCATTGATGACACAGGTACGACTGTCATTGCCCAACCTATAATACAAAAATAAACGAATTAATAAGATAATTACATTATTTTTTTCTAAAATGTAATGACTAAATAAAGTTTTAATTTAAAGCATTAAGTAAAGTTTCTCAGAATTAAAAAATCTGAATCGGATCTTTCAATTCACAAATCGCAAAGAATATTTCCCAAATAAAGGAAACAAATTAATTTAAAATATTTGGTATCAAATACAGGGTCTAGTATTACAACTTCCTCTTTTCAAAGACCAAAAAAATAAAAAAGTATTTGTTTATTAGCATTAATCGTGGGAAATTTGAAATTACGTTATTTAAAAAAGAAGCGTGTACCGTTGTTGCAGATGTCGATACTGTCGCCAAGGTGTTTGTGGACTCTTTCCCACATAGCAAACGATACTATCTCGTGAAGAATGTTATTTTTTAATGATTCCAAAGTTGCACGACGGTTGTTAGAGACTTTAGATTTAGTCTGCCGATAATAATGGAACCTATCCACTCGTGTTACGAAGTCTAACGAAAAAAAAGAAGTTTAAATATTGGACCCCATATGTGCCTTATTTGCCTATATTGTTATTTCAAAAATAGCAAAACCAAATACAGATAAACTATATATTTTTCAAATCGAGTTAAAAAAGACTTTTCATTTAACTAAAAATATACAAAGTGTTCCACTTAAATTGTGTCAAATTATAAATAAAAAATATGTACATAATGTCGTACGATTTCATAAATTATTATTAACAAATATTGATTCCTAGTACTCTAATACCATGTCCAAACTTGCATAAACCCGCAAAAAAAAACGATATCTTTGCATGTTCCAGAAAATCTTACCTCATTATATGGGGACAATCACATCGATATGTTTGATTCAAGTGTAACAGGCATAAATGCGAACATCCACCATTATTTTCCTTACATGGATTTGGTCCACTGGGTTGTCTGCTGGGGTGCATTATTTTTATATCAAAAGGTTGAGTGAGCGTTCGCTGAATAACCATGACATTTCCCCCTGTCCACTTATTTGCTCTGACAATACTATTAGTTCTCCAATCTGTCCAGTATACATAGTTCTCAAATAAGGTAATTGCAAATGGATGCGAAAGCATTTCATGATTTCCCATAACCTCATGATGATCACTTCCATCATAAGTAACTGTATGTATTGAATCTGATCGAGCATCAACCCAATAAATACTAAATTGAAAAATGATATAACACATGAACAACTAAAATTGCAAGAACTCTTACCGTCTCATAGTGTAGTCTAAAGTTATTCCATTAGGCCATCCCCCCTTACTAAAATTATCTATTCTCACAACAATGCGTCTGTTTAAACCAGCTAGTGAACACCTTTCTATTCTCGGCAAGGTATTATCCCAGTCAGTCCAAAACAAGTATCCATCTCTGGGATCCAGAGCAATTGCCCTAGGACTTTCCATCTCTCCAGCAACTAGAGTTCGGCGAAAACTGCCATTCAATTTCGCTACTTCTATCTGATCAAGATTACTTTCAACCCAGTAAAGGTTTTGTCCTATCCAATCAACCGCTAATCCTTCAGCAGTAGATAAACCTGTCTGCACTACAACTTCAATATTTCCTAAACTGCCACCCACCACGGAGCCTCTATAGATTTTATCATCAATGACGTCGGTCCAAAAGATCATCTCAGAGTTATTGGAGTGATAAAAGTCCAACGCTATGGTATTTTTAAGGCTGGAAATATACGATTTTTGGTTAAAAGTATGCAAATCGAGTCCCCGAAGTTCATGTCTGTTGCTAAATATTGCATGTGGTCTACCACTATCAACACTTTTGCAAGTGAAGCCATCTTCTTGAAGCACATACCTAAAATAAAAAACTTAATGAACTTATTATGCACATTACGAGAGAAACGCGTTGTTAACAGTAAACAGTGAAACTATAAAATTATTGTGTATTGAAAGTTTATCCGAATTTCATGTTCATGATGATGTATGTAAGTTGTAGTAGTGCTCCCGCACGTAAATTTAATAGTAGCATTTAATCTTTGTCCTGTTACACACTAATGAAAAGAAAGAAAAATTCAAGAAGGAAAAAACAAAAAGTTATTAACTTATCCTGCTGATAAATTAAATTTGATTCTAGCATAGGGTCTATATTTTGAATACAGTCCATTTCATTTCCTCAATATAAATATTTAAAACGTCTTAAAATTGAAAAATAGAATTAATGTAACAGCAGGTATAGGTCACGATATGCATATTTTGTTAAATAATTCCTTCAAAATTAAAAATTTCAAAATATCAATGATACTGTTTTAAATAACTTGGTATTTATGTTATGTTAAAATAAAAATCAAAGAAGTCTTAAAGTGCGCACCGATTCGTCTATATTAGTACTGGTCTGAAACAGGCGCGCGCTTCGATGCTTCTCCTGTCGATTTTTCGACGCCCCCCTTTATATGTTCCCGGCGCAATTGGGACGGAGATAAAAGAGGTTCGCTGTTTTCCTTGCGCTTTTATTGTGTTATTGAAGATTGCTTGGTAATGGAGTGGCCAGTAATGTGTTTTTTTGAAAAGATCAGTACGTCACCAAAGTCGTTTTCTTCTTTTCTTTCTTTCTAAACTTGCCATAAAGAGATCTTATCACTAAAATTTCGTAGTTCTAGTCGTGAGACTGACATTCGCGTTCGCGGCGGAGCTCGCCAATGTATGCGTACTTTAAGGAGTAATGAAGACTTTCCCATCATTTTCTAACAATGTTTGAGCAATAACTTTGATTTAGCAACTTTCTGTAATGTACATATTTCTTATTTAAAAAAAAATGCAGTCCAACTTGATATTTTTATAGTTTCATTCATTTCATTTCATTAGTATGGAATTTCAAATTTTCTAATGTTTCAATTAAACATTAAAATCTAACCTCAGCAAACTTACCCATCTAAACATGTACACTTATATCTTGAACCTCTAGCTACGCATTGCTGTGAGCAGACACCCCATGCTTTACATGGGTGTGTCTCTAGGCAGTTAGTTTTATCTGCTTGCAAATGCAGATGTGGCGGACAGGAACAAATTAGACCCTCTGGAGCATTATGACAAATGTGAGAACATATGAAACTGTGATCACAGAGCATATCTCCACATCTCATCCCTTCATCAGATCCGTCTTGACAATCTTTCCTATTATCGCAAAGTTTTACAACTGGAATACATTTGGTATCATTGTCACAAAACCTAGAAACATTCTAAAAGCTTCAGCAGTAACATTCTAATGGTAAGAATTACCTAAAGGGGTATTCACAAGGAAGCGACGACATAGTCGTCAGAGTGTTGGTTGCATTTAACATTTCGTTACATTTTTGACCTTCATCAGAACCATCGGAACAATCTTGCCTGTTATCACAAAGTTGAGAATGGGAGATACATTTGGTGTTATTGTCACAGTTTTTATTAGGTAGAGGGCAATCTATTCTATTTGGCTGTGTAATGTTATGTTTCTTTGTCATATCGCAGTTAATTTCATCTGATCCGTCTACACAATCTAGATCTGAATCACAAATAAACACCTTAAATAAAACACATTCCAAATTACAAACATTAAATACAAAAACTTAAATGAAAAAAGGGTATAATTTAAAAAATATTATTGTTTTTTTCTGTTGTTTTTTAGTTTCGGTTGGCTTAAAACACGCGTTTTTAATGGAACACCATTGTTTGACTTTAAATTTCACTTTTCACAAGTTTCCTAAAAATAGAAGTATTTTTGAATTTAGTGGAAGCACAACCCACTTGCTAATTTTTCTATAAGAATTCAACGTTTATGATGGTTTTAAAGAAATGAGTCATCGGCGAAGTCTATGCCCTTAGTTTCAAAACCAATAGTACATATTTTATACTGATGAGTCAGTGCGATTGACCCGATAAAATTAACGCGTTTGGCATTAATTTCAGCCTAAATTATTTACATTTTACCACATACATTACCTGAGGTATACATTCATAATTGGTGCAGGCAAATTCATTTTCTTCGCATATTCTAGTCCCACACTCTCTTTCGTCAGAACCATCAGGGCAATCTACTTTGCCATCACATTGCAAACTTTTTGATAAGCAATCACCTAAGGGTTTACACACTGTCTGATTCATAGGATTACATACGATGCAATCTATTTCATCAGATCCATCATCGCAATCTTTAATAGAATCACAATAAAAACGCGATGGTATGCAATGGCCATCCTAAAAAAACAGGAAAAACAAAATAACATGAAATAAACAATTTTGTATATAGGGGTTTTGATTCATCACCCTGTTATAAGTAATCGTGAACTAGAATTTAAATATTATTAACAGAAAAGAAAGTTTTAAAAAACGCGACCTGTTTACCTTTGCAACAGATATGCATGCTGTTTATACTTTTGATTTTTATTATATATGTCTTTTAATTGTAAGCAAGGAACTTTATGAATTTTTATTATTACATTATTAATGAAAGAAACACTTTTAAATTTCAATTGTGTACAATTGCAAATTTGCACTAAAGGAAAGAAACTGAAATGTCTCCTACCTTGCATGTAAACTCGTTAATATCACAAGTGTTAAGTTTGCAATCACTTTCATCACTATCATCACTTGGGCCACAATCATTCACCTTATCACATCGCCATACCATCGGAATACACCTTTTAGATTTTTTACATTTAAATTGGTTTATTGGACATATTTTTGAACACATTTTTGGATCCTCATCAGTCCCATCCAAGCAATCCTTTTCGCCATCACAAACCCAATGCCGAGCTAACAAGTAAAAAAATATATTTATTTATTTATCCTTATCAACTGAAATAAAAAGTAACTTCACCAATTACTGACCCATGCAACCATCAAACATACATATATATGTCGTGTTTGTTGGTTAAAGTTAAGTCAATTTAGTCAATTTGATAATTTAATTAAAGATTTATTTCTTATCGTACCTATGCATGTGGTTTTGTCACACATAATCTGCTGTTCTCCACACTTAATATTTTCACAAGGGCCGCCTTCACTGTCAGACTCATCTGAACCATCTCCACAATTATCAACTCCATCACAAAGGTACGAATTTGGAATGCAATGTTTTTTGTGAAAACACTGAAAAAAACCCTCGGAACACAGGGAAGGTATTTTGTAATTTTTGAGTACTACACAAGTGTTTGTGTCATTCGAATATTCATACCCATCCCTGCAATAGCAGGCTGACGACGCATTGCCTCCAAGCAGGCAAAGTTCAGGACAGGATAAGCAATCAGAATGCAAGTTGTGTTTCTGAAATAAGATATTATTTTTTAAAAGGTAAAGTAAAGTAAAAAAACATTTTACTCTGTTAGAATCATATATCTGTAGGTCTTGCAAAGTTCCATTCATGTCATAAACTTTCTTCACTCCCTCCTGTTTACTATAACTCAAAACGGTTCCATTCACAGATTCAATGAAATATAACTTCTTGTTTGGTCCAAAGGCTAGCCTCATTGGTGAGCCTAAGCCACTCAACTCAATTCTGCGCTCCTTGCCATTTAAATTGATACTTTGTAAGGTTTTTAAATGTTTATCAGTCCAATAAAGTCGACCATTCAATGAATCTATGGTCAAACCGCTTGGCCAATGAACACTATCATTTAAAAATATTCTTTGGTTTGATCCATCCATAAATGCAGTGCCAATACGACCATTCTCTGGATTCATGCTAGACCAGTCAGCCCAAAACATTATACCTAAAAAATTATGGTGCAAAACACCTTCTAATGTAATTTATGAGAGTTAAAATTGAGGGAAAGAGATTAAATTACCCAGTGCTGGGTTTAATGCAATCACAGTTGGATGGTAACCATTATCTTGTATTAGTGTCCGAGTTAAGGAGAAATTGGATAACTTTCCAACTTCGATTGTGTGTTTCTCTAAATTCGTCCAGTATAGATTATTTGTGACCCAATCTAATGCTAAACCATCACATCTTACGTCTTTTAAGAGCACTCTAGCTGGAGTGTTCTGAAAAAATTCAATCAATAAGTCATTGAGACGTGAAAGAATCACCCAATCAACAGCTTACTATAGAGAAACTAACCAAAACTGTTTACCTGATCGATAGAAATGGTTTGTATAGTTTCACCATGTCCATCAAAGTATAATATGGATTTTGTTACTGCATCAAATTCCAAATCACTAGCTCTGCCGATATTCAGTATAGGAACTAAAGTATCGTTTCCTGTATTTAAATTAACACCTCTAACAGAATATGGACGGCTCTTCAGTACTAACAGAAAGACTTGAGGTGTTCTCACGATGCATTTACTTTCAACGTGGATATAACCAGAGGCACAAAGGCACTTAGTTACTGGATCACCTTCTGTGGTCCAAGATGGTACACATAGATGGTCACAGTGAAGAGATTCATTGCAAGGATGCAAAACTGTAACCACAAAAATAATTAAACTCTATTTTACTGCAATAGTGTCAAAACTCACTTTCAGGTTGTCTCAGTTTATCATAAATATAAACATTGAATGGCCTACTAATATTTTTCACAATAGTCATAGGATTCAATTTATCCCTTTCAAATTTGTTAAATCCAAGAATACTATTATTGTACCATGAGGAAACGAAAACAGTGTTCTGAAACACCGTGATCCCATACAGATTTTGTACCAGTGACCCTCTCAAAACAGTTTTTCTGTATTTGCCATCATAATCCACCTTTTCTATGTAGTCTAAATATGTGTCTACCCAATAAACTTGTTTTGTAGGATAATCAATAGTTACACCTCAGACATAAAATTAAATGTAAACTTTATGAGCCAGATATATTAAAGGCATAAACTACCATAGGGATAAACGATTTTATGTTGAACGATGGTCCTTCTTCCTGTTCCATCCAAGTTGCATCTTTCTAACATAGGTGGCGATTGGCCCCATTTTGTAAAAAACATATAGCCAGTGGTTGGGTCCAACGCCAGCGCTCTAGGTTTCGCCAATTCATATTCAATGAGTAAATTACACCACTGCAAACTTCTAGTACACAAAATGATCATTTCTCTTTGATCGTCTAAGAAATAAAAGTTTTCTGACACCCAATCCACTGCTATTTGCTGTATAAATTCTACCTATACCATAATAACAATTAAAAGTCATAAAAGCGAATACTACAATAGATTAATTATTACAAAAATAATTCCCTTAATTTCAACGGATTTGCCCACTGCTACCTCATTTCGATTTCTTACAAGTATGTGTATGTTATAACTGTACCGCAACATAGACTTTTATAAAATAAGAAAATATTGCCTGTTTATGTAGAAAATTCTTTGTGTAAGATTTAAATAACCAATACTGTGTGAACTATCTGGCGAGAGCTTTTTTGTTACATGAATCGTGCATTCTAGTACCTACCAAAAAAAAAAACAAAAAGATTTTGTGCTAAATTTTAACACATATAACTTCATTCATATTCATTAACAACAACAAAGTCATACGATTAAAATTACAAATACGGCAACTAGTCTTCAAAAATTAATGTTTGCATATTAGAAGGGTGCCTCCAGTCAATACGCTGTGAATGAACTTGATCATAGATAACTTTTGAAAATCCTTGCGTTTGTTAGAGTAAGGATGATAACCATAATCACCATAAATAAAATATTATGACACATCAAACAAAATTAAAACTCAATTCCGGTTCCGAATATCAGTATAGAATTGAGTGTTATGAAAGAGAACATCATAAAAACTAAACAGTGCTGGACGAAACAACATGAAACATCAACAATATTCAATTTTTTTTGTCCCCATTTTAGATTTCAAAAACAAAACAGCAATAGGTGTCAGATCAGAAGCATTGTGGAAGCAACGGAAATGACAGTTTAAAAACATATTTCCAGGTTGATAATTAAATGCAATCAAAATCAGCAAGCAGGGAAAACAAAAAAAAACTTTATAGTCACTTGAGTTATTTTCTCGTTTAAATTTTAATGTAGTTTTTTCTAAATTAGATACCTGTTAATTTGTGCTCTAAACTAATTCTAAGAAAACAGTAGTTTGTTACCTCCAGCAGCGGTGATATAACAGTCAATTGCCATTTCTGATTGAAGTCATTAATATCAGCACACATCAAAGAAGCTTTTGTCACATTGTGGTGTATATAACAAGTACTGTGGTTTCGGTGAATGAATTCTAAAGCATTGCTATTAAGCAGATAAAGAACTGAATTGCCTGGCCAAGTCTCTCCACCTAACGTTACTCTTCGTATCTCCGTTTGAGTAGAAAAAATTAATGAAGGTGAAGTTGAATCTACAAAACAAATATAACACATTACAAAAAGCGTGAAATTTTTTTTATACAAATATAATTGTGTGTTTTTTCAACTCTAGGGCTCAATAAATTTTAAAAGGTAGCTACAGATTTTGTTCTAAATCAATATACTTTTAAAAAATGTCCTTTTTACAAAAATTCATTGGCAAAATTTAAGCCAAACGGAAATGCAAGAAACACTGATTAGAGCAAGCAGAGTTAAATAAACGCACTAACATGTAATATGAATGTTAGCGTTTCTTGATAGTGTGTAACTACACCAGAAAGTCATTACCGAAGTTATGAAGTCTTATCATAGATATGAACCTAGAAAGCTTAATTATAGAGACAAACTATATATTATAGAATGTGATGGGACGTTATTTCAGCATCTTTGCAGCAATGAATCCCAAGTCAAACAAACCATTTGTCCACAAAATCATCACAATCAAACAAAACAAAATTTTGATTATAAAATGAAACAAAAGGACACGCAATATCGAATATAATCACAAGAACTTGGACTTGCCTTAGTTCTATCAAACGGGCAATCAAAGACCCAAAATACTAGCAATCGTTATTAAGATCAAGGCAAAGATTCACAATTGTAAAAATTACTCTACATGAAATTAATATGTGAATAAGAACGACAGCAGGACATAGAACATTTGCCTAAGTTGAGATGTTTTAGCAGTAAACTTGCTTAAACATTTAAGAACAGTCCATATTTTATATTTTAAACAAAAACATTTCATGCTAGTAAACAAAATTCTAGACATTAATATTTATAACAGATTTTAATGGCCAGTATCATGTTCTGGTTCTAGGTGGAGCCTTTTAAGAACCCACTTAAAACTTAACACATAAATATTTTGTAATATATCTATGTCGATAACTGATTTTTTTTGGTACACACTTATCATTTAACCAAATATGGAACAATATTTAACTTCTTTTTAGCCTTTTATAGTTGGTGTCACTGGGTCAGTCAAAAAATGTACCAGTGCAGTTGACATACAATAGATACAACACATACAATGACATACAAAAACTGGTATCGCGTGCGTCAATGAAAGGTCAACCTTTCATGCATTCATTTTGCCAATGAAACCCGCGTGAAAATTGGCATAGGCAGAATAGCATGTAAAAAAGTAAGATTCAAGCCGATAACATAATATAGGTACAAAAGAAGCATATTCAACAGTTTGTTCACATACAAAAATATTAACAAATGCGACAAGCACACCGAGGAATAGATGTAAGAAAAACGTTATGATATTGACAAATCTCTCTGTAGCTACATTAGTATTAGCTCTTTAAAATAAAATACACCACCATCCTTCAGCATAGACACTTGTAAGCAATAGTAACAAGTTGATTCGAATATCTTTGCATATATTTTTTACACAGGATATTTCCCATATTTATGGACAATATTTCTCGTTATTGCACGCTTGTTCCAGTGTTCCTAAGTTGACTCTCACCACTGTGATTTGGGTAGTGATTAGTTGTTCAAGGAGTCAATGTTCGAGCAAAATTGCGAATTAGTGCTTATTAGCTGTATTGCTAACCCTGATAATTGTTAACTAGACACTCAATATTATATCAATAATTGTTGTTGTAAAGGATTTTAGTGAATTTCTCTTACCGTCGGCAGCGACACAATCGGTACCATTCGCCACATACCCATTAACACAGGAACAAATGAAAGAGCCAATTGTGTTGGTGCAAATTTGTGAACATGAATCATCATATTCACATTCATCGGCATCTAGACATTTACTTCCATCGGAATGTTGACCTTCAGGACAATAACATTGAGGTCCTGAAAAAATGTGTGGCTTCACAGTTTAGATTTGATGACTAAATTTCTAGCATACTCCAAGAAACTTTATTATTAACATAACACGATCTAGTGAAGCATTATTAAATCACCTGAAGGTGTTGGTTTACATTTGTAACTACACTGCATTCTAGCGCAAGATGTCGTTGAATTAGAACAAAAGTCCCATTCATCACTATTGCCGGGACAGTCGCCCAGAATGCCATCGCAAAATGTTTCCAAATGAGCACACACTAATCCACTAGGACAAGAGGCCTCATTCCAGCGACAATGTACACCTCGCGCGCAATGTTGGGAGTCTTCGTCAGACGTATCTGGTCCAAGTTCAGGAGATACCTTTCAATAAAATCAAAAACATTTGAAAAATAAATTAAGGAACCTAAAAAGAGAACTACTAAAAATAAAAACATGTGGTAAATTAATTGATTTACAACCAAATTTAGATATTTACACCCAAATTTAAATGGCATGTACGTATTTTAAACGATTCTTATATCACAAAAACTTAAAAAGATACTTTAAATCTGTTCGCTTCACCTTTTATATGAAAAATGAAAATAAGTTTGTTTTTCATGCACCTAAGATAACATTGTTACATTTTTTAAATTTTATTTTGCCAATGCGTGCAATGAGTAGACTTACATATTTACAGATCTACAGGCGTTTTTTTGAAAAAGTCGGAAACAAAGAATATACGAAATTTGTTTTATTAACGCTGGATCAGACTCTTCTATAGGACGAATAAAACCGAGAAATAACGAATCTCGAATAATAAGGAAAATGTGAATGTGAAATTTGTAGCAGGTTCAGAAGAATTCCACAACCATTGCCACTCAAATAATTTAGATTAGGTGGCTAAGGTGTCATAATACGAAAATCCGGAAAACAAATCCAGTTATTTACGTATAAATTCATACATCTAAAATAATGACATAGGCACAAATGTCACCTGGTAAAATGAGAATATTGAATTCTATGCTCTGTTTCTTAATGCGAGAGAGTTAAAAATCATTATTGAATTGCAAAATTTTGTCAAATCAAATCAAATGTATTTTCATAGACCTGATTTCAGGTATCGGATAATGTCAAAAATATAAACAACTCCGTTTTCTCCGCATTCAAAATAAGATTATTAGATGGGCAATAAGATTGCATGCTAAGGACGTTGTTGGTACTGTTGCCCGATATTTCGAAAATATTGCTGTTAGATGCGGAAGCTGCATCATCAGCAAAGAGAGATAGGTAGCTGTCCTTCTATCAGTCAAAGAAGATTTTAACCATTTGAGTGCATTTTCACTTGCATCATAAACAAATAGTTTATTGAGAAGCATTTGAATATTGATAACGTCGAATGCACGTTGCAAATTAAAAAATGCACAGGCAGTTCTCCGGTTTTGATCTAAATTGAGAATATGTTTGTAGTGTGAAAGAACTGCCTAATCTGTCTAACGCTTTCTACAAAAATGATAACAGACCCATGTAAAAGGCTTTTTCAAAGATTATGGAAAATACTGACCTCTATAGTTCGAAACTGACCTAATGTCACCCTTCTTGTGAAGAGGAAAAACAATTGCATTCTGTAAGCAAGGTGTAAAAGTTCCAGTGGAGAAAGAATAATTTGCAAGATATGCTCAGGCTCACGACAGGAAGTATTTTTCTGTGTAACTGACAAAATAATATCCACGATTTCCGCATCAGTAATTGGGGCAGGATTAAGACTATTGGAGATAAAGATGGTAAACAAATCGAAGCAATTGGGTCACCAAGCAAAAGTCCCTGGATGCTATTAAAAAAGTGAAGATTGAACTCTTCAACAGCAACCGCCCTGTAAGATGTCTCTTGACCACTCAAGTTAACAAAGCACCCAGGAAGTTTCAAAGATGGCAGCATTTCTTGATTAATAACACTCCATGTAGTTCTCAAAATATTATTAGATCATTGTTAGAGTTATCCCTTGCGAAGCGGACATTTTTTGATGATTTTTTCAATTTTTTATAACTATTTAGACTGTGTTGACATGGAAAGAATTTGCGTTGTCTATTTAGATCCCGAAACCTAGCACTCTCACTAATAATGTCTGGAGTTATCCATGGTTTCCTGGAATAGGAGTTTTTGGAAACGATTTTTTCAAAAGGAAAGGCAAAGTTTAAAATTTCCAAAAATGTGCTATGAAAATAAACAAATTTTTCATCTAAGTTATTTCCAAGAGCACCTAAAACAGACCAGTCAACTTTTGACAGTTTAGTTTGAACGGTACTAATATTCGAAGTTTCATTGAATAATCGCCTGAACAACGGTATTTGAAGGTTCCTTATCTTAAATAGGAAATAAAATCAACTGCAGAAAATGGTCTCAAACATAGGCATCACTACCTGGGAGTTCAAAATTGATCGATCAATATTGATAAAAATGTTATCGATTGTACTATCATTACCCGAGTGCTTTCGTAAATAGTTTGATACAAATCATATGAAATAAAAACATTTGAAATTTTAGAAGTATTTTTATTACTGAAATCACCATCAAACAACAAAAACAACTTCTTTCATTACCTTTTATAGCTTCATCACTCAAAAAATCTAGATAATGGACAAACAAATCCAAATCACCAGTAGGAGACTGATAAAAAGATCCAATCAACAGATTTTCATTCGACATATTAATTTCACAAAGAGCATATCTAAAGTTTTTATCAGTTCTTGCACATTTAGTCGATTTAATATTAAATGAAATATAATTTTTCATAAATATGGCTCATCCTTCACCCTTAAAAAATTACTAAACTAACTTTATCATCAAGGCACCAGGTTTCAGTCAAAACTGAAGCGAGCAAAGGAGAAGATACAATTCCACAACTTTATTTCTTCGGCTGCTAATATTAATGTGGCAGACGCCAAAGCAATCTCAGCCAATCTGAACCGAAGAACTGTCTTGATAACCAAACGGACGTTTAAACTGTTGGAAAATTTATGCGTTCAGTACTAGTTGCGGAACCAGAGTAAGGCGTTCTTTAATTTTTCTCAGTTCTGCTATGATCCTTACACCCAAAGTCAATGTTTGGGGCCTAACCCCTTAAAAAAGATTGCAGGCTGTCATGCCCAGCTTACGTGCGGAAACAACTGTGGTATTGACGTATGAGCCTATTAACGATCTCCGCGACCTAGGGCGTTCCGACACTGATGCTTGACTTGGTACCTGCTTGACATTGCCCTGCGCACCTGGCTTGCCGTTATCTAAACATTAGTTTTAGAATTTTTGCTTTTCGAACCACTCTTATTGATTTGACCTTGTCCACGAACTCGCTGTTGACCTGGGCGAACCTCTCGCATTATGAACCGATATATAGTTCAGGAATTGTTCTTTCCATATAGGCACTAGAGATATAGAGGCCCTGCCCATGTCAATAATACAGAAACTCATGAAGCAACTATGAAAAAAAAATTGAAAGGGACCATTCAACATGCGAAATTTAAAATTTTTCTTTTCACCAATAACCTTGCGGCATTCAAAGACATAGCCGGTGAGAGATCGTCAATAAGTTTGGATACGGCATCTTTACGGCAGTATTTTCTTAACATATGCCTAAATCTTGTTACATGTTCTGGGAAAACGAGTTAAGTGTGTGGAAATCTCTGTTTGGAAAGAAAATGACAAAAAATGCAGATTAGTGGGTGAAATGTACAGGCATGCACGGAAAATTATTCTCAACTCTACGAAAATACGAATGCCGCCTGCGGTGTATCAATTTTTACGGTAGTAGGGCCACTATATTATCTAATACCTATAGGGTTATTTCTTTATGGCTGGACTTGTTTTTGACATATCGAGGTCATTCTATTTGTTTACATCAAACCAAACAATTTCATTACCCCACAATCAGGTTCTTCGTCGCAAACCCATCCATTGGGCAAGCATTTTCCAGTCAGGACACAGCGGAACTGCTCTAATTTACAAGCATGGTTTGCAATACACTCCGGTGGCTCGTCAGTGCCGTCATCACAATCTCGGTGAGAATCGCAGTGCCATGCCAATGGTATACATTGACCGGAGGCACAACGAAAATAATTGGGGGCACATGAACCTGAAATCCACATTTTCCAGTAAATTTTCATTTAGTTTATGACTAGCACTAACATTACTTTAAATAATAGCCTCATTTTAAAAACTACAGTCAAATACGATTAAGAGAAAATATTTAGTTTTAAGTTTTGTGTGATTCGTTTTTCATTAAAAATTATTTCAATTAGCTTCGCGGTTTAGTTTATTTATTTATTTGTTTATTCAAAAGAATTACGTTTATAAGTCACAGTTAACAAAAAATGTATGCTCACATAAGCAGTCATACTATACCGAAATAATTCAAATTCACAACAAATTGGAGTGACCACAGTCAGCATATTTTATGAATTTTACATGGATTTTGTAACCAGCAACTTATATAATTTAAATAAATATCGTTACTCGAACATTCCCATTCAAAAAAAGTTTTTGATTGGCTGTCGAAAAATTGTATTCACCAAATATCAAAAATTGTCTTGAAACTACCGGATAATTCGAAAGCTCGACAAATGGTAGAATTTAAATGACAGACCTTTGGAATTTCGCATAACAAGCCCAACGTATTCGTTCATTACTTTAATCTACTCTCAAGAAGTTTCACACGTAAGAACCATATCGAGTTTGGATTAATAGCAAACAGTACCAAAGAGTTGTCATTCCTAAAATGTTCCCATTCAATAAAAATAATAAACTTGCTTTAAAAAGCAGATCTATATGTACACTGATCATAATTTTTAAAACAAAACAAAATAAGCAAAAGCATATTCTGGAAGCACCATTTTTTATATATAATATTTATAAACTAGCTAGTTTTAGCATAAATGAATTAAATGAAGTGGTTTATCTATGCATGTATGAAATATAATATATACAAAGGTTCGCACGCTTTAGCAGTATTATTTCAATTTTCGATGTTTTTGAGGTTTTTTTCAAAAGTAACGCCACCCCTTGCATTTCTGTTACGCACTTGGTTACAACAACAAAAAAATCTTTAAAACAGTTTTTGTGCTTATGCAAAATTGTTTTTTTTTTAAGAAATATCAGTTGTTCGCCCTGGATATTCTAACCCCCATAGTTATAAAATAATGTTTTCCGGTTAATTCAATAGTAGAAAACATGTATTTTTTAAGTAGTTAGTTAGTAGTCATTTTTATAGTGCCTAGAAAAATTAGTGATAATTACTAGACGTTGGAAAAATTATAAGTGGTCAAATCAAGTCATCGCAATTAATACAAAATATTTCTCTTGTATTTGGAAAAAACTAGAGATTTTATTAGCGGCTGTGCGAGTGAAGGAATGTTATTCAGATGCATAAAGAAATTGCATTTCATCTACTCATAATCGGAAGAATAGCTCCTTAAAATAATCCGGATCTAAACGTAACTATACACACTTGCATGCTTTTTTTATCTATTGTCAGTTAATCAAGCAAATCATTTTTTGTTAGATCACTGTTACATTTGAAGAATTTCTATGCTGTTTATTTTTGAAAATAAGAAGCTATGCATATCATAAAAATTTAAAAATAATAATACCTCCTGGACATCACAATTAATAAAGAATCTCCTGCCTATAGAAGTCAATGAAAATTCCTACTTATCATAAGTTTGATATATATTTAGAGATATTCATGGCTATTCTATTTATGGAAATTATGCCAAAACAATATTTATTCTAACATCGCAACCGCATAGAATAGTTAACTAACTAGCAGTCATCTTCACATGTTGACTTACATTTTTATTGTTCTAAATATAATAATAATTGAGATAAGAAAATTATTATTTAATGATTCAACGGACCTAACAACATAGATAGATAGATAAAACAAAATCTAAAATACTTTGGAAAAACCTCTTAGGAATCGTCTGGGCGGCTACCAAAATCCAAATATATTCAAATAATTATTACCTATAAAAAAGGTAACATCGAGTTACAAAAAGTGTATTATAACCTCGCTACAGACTTGAAATTGTAGAGGGGAAGTTTGCCACAGATCTACTTTATAAACTAAATTTTCCTTACCAAAAAAATAAATTACAACACAAGGTTTGCATTATGTGTAGTAACCAGCGGAAGTAATTCAAAACCAGTATTTCTATATGTACTGCTTAAAAAGTTACTAGCATAAACCATTGCAGGTCTGATTCCTGACCACTCATTTGAACACAAAGCAACAATTACTCCCCTTATATCTCTTATCTTTAAATTACTCCTTCACCAGCCAAGGCATAGAATTAATGATGGCAAAATCGGTAACTCGGCTGGGTAGGTACGTCTAATAAACCTGGTCGTTCACACGGTATATGCGTAATTAACATTGAAGAAGGCTCTACAACATCGTCTTGACTAACCAGTTCACGTATATTTAATAAAACATGACGAACAGGGGTAACAGGTTAAGGAGGAAGAAGATAATTTCAAACAAGTGCTCGTTAATCCGATAATGTCTCGAAATCACGTTCAAAGGAAAACTAACAAAAAACGACAACGAAATGTATGTAGGTGTTTAAGGCTCTACAATAATATAGAACTGTTGTTGAACAATTGATTATTTCAGCTTTCAAACTTTATTAGGTAATTGCGATGCTAATAGGGAAGTATTGTAATTCATACTTTTTTCTTTTTACTGCTTTTCGCAGTAGGACAATTTGCACAACACAGCACTAAGAAAAGATACTGCTACCAAACTAAGAGACACTAAGGTTCATTTAAATGCAAAAAAAAACGAACTTTTTGATAAAATTACAGATATTTCTTCACAAACCTGATTACGATGAAACAAAAAATAAACAAATATTAACTTTTTTTTCAGCATTCGGACAAGATTTCATTGGAAAAGGCAAACATCTGAAAAAATAGTTGCAAAATCGGGTGAATTTAGTGGTAATTTAAGACGACAAAACAATTTAGCGGTTTAAGTTCACCTCAACCAAGACGCACCGAAACTAGATACTAAGAAACTTATTAAGTGCCGCTGTAATTCTTTTGTGTGATGTCTAAAATTTTTAGGGAAAGGATAAAATACAATAGTTTGAAAAGTAACGCCATACATTATTTTCCCAAAAAATAAATGTTATAAACGTTCCACGTAGTAAGTTATGAATTGGCGATAAATGCAGAGGGCCACCTATTTTCGACACTTTTAAGATAGAAAGATTTTTCTTTATTGGATAATGCATCCCTAAAAGAGAGGTTATGTCAAAAAGGTATTGGATCCTACTCTATTTTGTAAGTGAAACACCTTATATGTTATCTTTTATTATGATTGAGAATCCTGTAGTCTCTCAAAAATATTTATATTTTATACATTTATATTTTTAAATTAATAGACTCTGGCTAATCTAAGCTATCTAATTTTGTGGCCACTGCGTTCTCCCAGTTTTTATATTTTGAAGTTTATAATGAAGTTTTGTGCAAAAACACGATACAAATATGTAGGAGAACTTCCCCCCAATCATTTTGATGAGCTCAGTATTTTTTTAAGACAATTTAAAATTAAGGAAAGTGAAATTTTTAGTACCTAGGCGCTACACAACAATAAACAAGTAAACAACTAAGTAACTATACCGATAAAGCAATTAAGACTTACTTTTATTGTTATATACCTATTATATTGAAAATTATTTAAAAAAAATGTTTGGAAAAATGGATACTTAACAGGTTTTTATGAATTTTATGCATAATAGTTATGCAAAATATAATTTCCAATATGGTTTTTCCACTTCATAATTGGAACGAAATACCAAAAATACTTACCAATTTGAAACAGAGGCTCTATAGATTCGTTGAGATTGATTGAGTCCTTGGGCAAGGAAATTAAAAACATAACTAAAACCACAGCTTGTCTCATTTTGAAAACACCAAGATCAGTTAATAGTTCATTTTCTTTTTATAAAAAGTTTGTTATAATTATATTGTACACAATACGCACATCCACCAAAATGAAAATAAGGAAATCAATTCCTTATTAACCATCACCAAAACGATAAATAGCAACTATTCACAATTCTGATGTGAACCTGTCTACTTATAACTTTTTCTAAAAATAAGGCAACCGCTTAAAGACCAATACAATTTTTATTTTCATCACGGACGTCGATACAAACACGAAGGGTCGGCGATGCCAAATTGTACGCAAACAAACGAAAGATGCTTCTACAACGATTAATAACGAACAGATACGAACGATTTGATAAATTTGCAGAGAGAGACGATCTTGGTGAATAACCAACTTTTCTCCTTAATCTATGGTTGTGAAGTTACCAGACGAATGATCTCTAGATCCCTCCTTCAACGAAGCTGCAAGCATTTTGAAATTTTGAAGTGATTAGTTACCGTCATATTCTACTATTTTCTTCCCGATGGGTAGGAACATAAATTCTAAGTATACCATAATAATGGTATAGAATAAATAATTATCAGTTTTAGTCAATGTTTATGACGATTGTTGATGAATAGGAATTCTTTAAATCGATGGAAAAGTCAATAACGGTTCTTTTCAACCAATTAAGTTAGAAACGCTCATTTGATCAATTTGGTAGGTAAAATCCAAGGACGACAAACGAAATAAGATTCCCACTTCCACGCTTTCGTTACATGAAGTTTCGTCGGATAAGTTACGACTCAAATTGAAATTACATAATCTGTAATAGAAATTTACCTTTCAAACGAAATTTAAGAACCAAAATGACAATATCAAAAGGTTCCTAGGAAGGCTCGCGCAATTCTCAATTGATCTATTTAGTAAAATTATACATTATAAGCATGGCATAGAAGACGATTAGCAATTGAACTGAGTTGACTTTTACTTGATGAAAATCCACTTAACACAATTAAATTAGAACAAAAATTTTTCATTACGTTAAATATCAATAACTATGAAATTCATTTAAATTCAGAAATGTACAAGTTTGACGATAATTTTCATATTTTAAATAATGATTACTACTTTTTTATATTATTATATAGATGTGGGAATATTGTCATATTTTGTGTTGCCGAAACAGCGGTCATAAACCAAAAACTGTGAAAATATGAACATTTTTTGTTCTAATTTTATTGACTTGCCTTAGGCTTTAAGTATCGGTTAGCTACGTTTTGTACATAGGTTACGAGCTTTCCCAAATCTAATTGCAAATTTCGTAATTTGCTAATTATTATTTAGACAGAGATAACTATTGAATGAAACTAGCACATCATTATACTTCAATGCTGAAATGATAATCCCAATAAAGAGAAGCTTGCTGTTTTACTGTGGCCATTAAAAAGTAGCGTCACCTAATACTTTTCAGTGATTTCGTAAAAAAGGAAAATTGAGTGAACAGCGAAATGTGATTGTTTATGATATCGGAAAATTTTACTTAAAAAATCAAAGCAGCTGAAAACGCAAACTTTATTATTTTGTTTCAGCATAGATGGAATAGAAACGTGTAAGGAAACGTAATTACTTTTTTATATATTATCATATAAAAGGCTCGAAATCCAACATAAAGAAAGTAAACCAAAAGTAACGGTACCTTCCCCTTCAACTTTTATAAGGTCATATAGTTAGTCAGATTATTTGTGATAATATTTTCCCACTATAAGGGTTAATGCTAATTAAACAATATTGATGAAATGTTTTAGGTTATTTTTTGTTTAGTATTAATAATGGACGACCACGGACCAGAAGTTACCTTTTTGTTCCAGTTTGGATTTCTTCGAGATGCCATCACAGTACCCCAGTCCACATTGAACTTAAAAACTATTAAAAATTTGGCATGTGATTTTCTTAATTCAAAGGTATGTTTCTTTCAACTTACAATTTTTACCAGATCCAGATGTCAACATTTTTGGAAGAAGTTAATTGAATAAAAACCATGTGAGCAACTATTTGACTAACATTTTTCCAAATTCTAATATCACATTTCTCTTTTCCTTAATTTAATTGGATATAATAAAGGTGCAAAAAATGGTTGGTATTTATAACTATCTCTCTATTTACTATTTACAAATCTTCTGAATTCCTCCAGATAAATCAAACTTGCCAATCATCCTGTTGGTTTCTTCAGAGCTTAACTGATAATGAAGAAGCCAACAGGATGATTCATTAAACTTCAAGTTTGGTTTATCAACAACCGACGCAGGAGGAATCCAGAACATATGTAAATAGTATTACAGTACCTTGTGGAAGTTTGGTTGAAACATATCTATATTTATTGATACTAATCTCATTGACATTGAAATTCCTGAAAAAGTCACAATAGTGGGCTTTAATACAGAGTTCACATATTTAAGATATTACAGAAAGTTGAGTAAACTGTTAGTTAAATTTATGACATTTATTTTTTCACCTGTTTCAGATTCCGGATCATGGTGTAAATCATTTAGAGGATAGATTATTACTTTTCCGGCATGAATATAATTCTACAAATATGCTTCAATTTATTAATTCCGCTTCTGACATTGTAGATGAGACTCTGATAGAGATTGTTTTAACTGGAAAAAGTAAGTGAGAGTTTCTTGTTTTCCATACTGAGATAATGGTTAGCTTCAAATGTTGTGTGCAATAATTATTTATTTATTTACTAAATAATGTTAATAGACAAAAACAGCAGTAACACTTATGTGACTTAGACATATAAGTCTATATGTATAATGTGATATAATTCTTGAAACATCTGCACAAAACACATGAAAGACACATTCAATCTTCAGGTATTAGATTCTTAGTTGACTTCAATTTCAAGCTAAACTGAGGATATTCATGTGAAGTTTCTAAAAAACTAAAATTATAGTTTTTCATAGAAAGCTGGCAGATTGTATTTTCTTAGAAAAGGGATAATGGTAGATTTATTTTGTAATACAAATAATTTTACTTTTATATCTGCATCATCTAAAAATTTCATCTATGTGAAAAAGAACTTGGTAAAATTTAAGAGACATCATGATAAACATAACTCATCATGGGAATGACCTAAGGCTGGCCTTGTGTCATATTATGAAGTGTCCGGCTCCATCAGAATACACAGCAGTTACATAAACTATTTAATAAACTGCATCATATTATCATATTAAAAAGATGCATTGTAGTCAAAACTCTTCTAATTAAAAAATGTATTTCATTTTCTCAGGAAAATTTTTAATTTTTAAATAAATGTTTTTTGTCTTGTGTAATTGATGTAAAGTTTTCTTTAATTAAATTTCATTGTAAAAGTGGCTCCAGACTTGTGATAGAACTCCGTATCTCGATACAGTCGCAAACATTTTGTTGCAGTGGCGAACTTGGATGCTTATTTTTGCGTCATGGCATCTTTCCGTATATTCTAGGGAACATACATGCGTTCCAGTCAGTTTGGCATACACCATGGATGTTGCAGCAGAAGCGTATATAATTATTGACGATTTGATTCGTAAAAAAAGCAAACAAAGAAAACAGAAAAGATGGCAATGATGTCACGACACAGGGTTTTCTCACAAGTCTTAATGTTTCTTGTCATATATGATTTATACCTTTTACAAGTTTTCTTGTAGTGGGCACAATAAATACTAAATTATTTACAATTTTTATTTTGGCACAAAATGTTTACCAAATTTAGTTTTAAGCTTGATATTTGTAAAAGTTTTATGAAATAATATTAAATAAACTAAACTTAAATATCATACATCCTTGCTTATAATTAGTTATTGTTCACATGGCTCTATTACTGATAATTGTTTGTTTTAGTCCCACATCCACAACAGTCACTGGAAGTGAATATCGTCAGACCACATGCTCTTTCTGTTCATTCTTATAAAACACCGACATTTTGTGATTTCTGTGGAGAAATGCTCTTTGGTTTGGTACGTCAGGGATTAAAATGTGATGGTAAGTAGACACACAAACCTTGGACATTAACATATTCAGTACTCAGTTTGGCCTATAAAGTTTTAGCATCTGTCTTTAATTTTTGGAATTTTAGGACTTTAATGTGTGTTACAAACATATAATGGGTGTTTTTGTATGTGATCTAACTTTGAAATGGAATAAAACAAAGATTATTTTTATAAATTGACATGAAATTTACTTTATTCGAAAGATAATCTTCTGGCATTATAATTTAAATATGTCTTCTGGCATTTGACGGCCCCAGCTGATGAGGATGTAGTCTAATCTGAAGATCCAATTTTCAACTTCAACTTTTTCCAACATGTGTGACTATATATCGGCAGTAACACAGCGAATGCGAATGCGAATCCTCCAAGTGGTTAATCGTTTCGGGCCTATCCATGTAGCCTAGTGGAGGCCAATCCACGGGTCCGAAAGGTCAAAAGTTTCCTTCAATAAATCAATTATGGCATGAGCTGTTAACATGTTGGGCCGCCTTGTTGAAACCACAGCTCCTTCACATCATAGTTGTTTAATTTATAAATGAAAAAAGTCCCTAATCATTGCTCAATAGCGGTTACCATTGAATGTAACATTCTGACCAGCATCGTTTTAAAGAAGTACGGACCCATTCTTCGACTAGCCATTAAAGTACACCAAGCAGTTTTCCTGAATATAACTGTGATAAACATACACTTGAGGATTTACGTCACTCCAAAAACGGCAGTTGTTCTTATTGACGTATTCATTCAACCAAAACTGAGCTTCGCTACTAAACAAAATTCGTTTATGAAAATCTGGATCTACCTTATTTTGGTTCCATTTTTGGACGAGTTGGATTTTGTAAACACGCAAACCAAGATCTTTGCGCAAAGATAGGCTTCGCGTTCCGCCGCTCCAGACCAGAATAAACCACTTCTTCCAGGTAGAGTTTCATCGTACTAACTATAGGCAGAGTTCTTTTCTTACTACATCAGCGGCACTAGCAAATCACTTTTCGGACCAACTTGACTGCTTCCAAAGTGCAAAAATATTTAAGAAAGAACAAAAAGGCCGTCAATGAAACTGTTTTTGTTGAGAGTTGTTGTGGTTAACGATTGATGTTTTTATAGGAATAAACACCTATTTAAGAAAACGCAACGAAAATTGCATTTTATTACTTCTACCATTTTACAAACTCTTCCCGCTTCTTCTTCTGTCTGTTCTTAACTCTAACAAAACGCTACGTTGCCATCTTATATGTTGCCGATTATTAACCTATTTCTTAACACACCATCCATGTAAAGATAACATTGTTAGAATTAATTTTGTATAAACTAAACGATAATCATATTTTTAAATTTGTTGAACTTAACATTTTTAAAGGGTTTCATACAAATATCGGCTATTTGATGTTCTGTAGGACAACACAAAATTTTCAAGAAACCTTCATTAACTTTCTCATGAATGAATTTATATCTTACGTCAATATGTTTGCTTTTCTTATTAAAGACACCATTTTTAATTGCGCTTTGATTGTCTATGTTTAGTTCAATGTTTGTCTTTCGTTCTGTACAATCATTTATCACTTCAGTTAAATATATTAGTTCTTTTGTACATTCTGCCGCCGCTACAAATTCCGCCTCTGTGGAAGAAGTTGTCACTATTGGTTGCCTTCTTGAACACCATGCGATGGGTCCTCCCGCGAAGAATATTATGTAACCTGTAGTACTAGTTTCATAATCAGCAGCAAAATCAGAGTCGCAGTATGCTTTTATTGTGTTTAAATTGCTATTTGTCAGATATTGAATGCCATTAGAGATTGTTCCCCTTATGTACCTTAAACATCTTTTTATGTTACTTACATATGCAAATGAAAGATCTGGTCTTGTTTTGTTACTTAGATATAGTAAACTTCCTACTGCTTCTCTAAAGTGATTTTTGTAGTTTGCAGATCTTGTTTCTCTTATCTTCATATCCTTCTGGTACTTCCATGAATATATCTTCATCCAATTTACCATGTAAAAATGCAATTTTTATGTCAAAATATGTAAAAATCCACTTCTTTGCAGTTGCTATGGCCAGTATTGCTCTGAACGTTGTCATGTTTACAACTGGACTAAAAATGTCATCGTAGTTCACACCATATGTTTGTTCACACTTTGCTTTGTAACGATCATCATTTTTTATTTTAAATACCCATTTATTACTAAGAACTTTTTCCTCATATTGAACTTCATTTTTGTTAATATGTATCTATGTTTAATTTTTTTCATGTGCTCTTTTTCCCTCTTCAATTACTTTTAGCCATTTGTCTTTGTTTCTTCATGTTATAGCTTCATTCTATGCTAACAGCTCATAATTCAAGTTATAGTCTTCATAAAACTTTAGAATTTTTCCAAAATTTGTTCGTCTTTACCTATGAAGTAGTCCTCTTCTACATCCTTGTTATTTTTTGTATATTCTTCATTCACATTTTGTTTGTCATCAGTATTTTCTACCTATTGATGTTTGTGATAACTTTCTTGGTCCTCATTTTCTTCATCACTCAACCGTATCATTTCCTACTCTGATCACTTCATCCCACATCTTTTTTTCGAGGTTAGAGTCAAAGATCAGTGCCCTGGCTTTTTCTACTAATTGTCCGTTTAACCTCTCTGCTTTGCTATTTAATTGTGGTGAAGACGGTACTGTATAGTCAACAGCTATGCCTCTTTTTCTTATGAATTCATTTTTCTTGCCTTCTATAACTTTTATTTTATCTTTTGTAATTTTTACTTTTTCTTCAGTAATTGTAATTTCAAATCCTTTTTTGGTAATTGCCTTAACGAATAATAGTTTTTTTTAAGAGTTCTGAAACAAATTTCACATTATTTAATGAACATTCTTCATATTTTATTGTTCGTATTTCGAACAGGACCATGATTTTCAAAAAAAATTGCCCAATTTGAAACCTTGTTTATTCATGTTAAAATTCCTGAAAATAAATCACCTGACAGCTGACAAAATGGCTACCAGTTAAAAAAGTGTTGCCAACTTAAAGTTCTATACCTCTAAAAAAAAACGCCCTTTTTATGTCTTCTATAACTTTCATTTTATCTTTTGTAATTTTTACTTTTTCTTAAGTAATTGTAACTTCAAATCTTTTTTTGGTAATTGCCTTAACGAATATTTAATAATCATTCTTCATAGTTTATTGTTACCTGCCCTTTTACTATCACGTTGATGTCCATTTTTGCTGATTTTACATTTAATTCAACGCTTAAGGTGTTAAAACTGCTGGAGATACTTTTGTTTGTCGTGTGTGAAGTGCAACCTGAATCCACAATAAATAAATTCCATATTGGAGTTTTTGTTGTTCCTTTCATTGTTTTCTTTTCTTTTTATTTTTGTACTTTTATTCTTTTTATTCCTAACGAAACAATCTTTCTCTGCATGGTTTGTTTTTTTGCACTGAAACTTTACATGCCCAATTTTATTCCAATTATAGCACCTTTTTTCACTTATAAAAGCAACTTCTTTTTCTTTGGGTCTTTCTTTGAATCTCTCTTCTTCAATTAATGGTCTTGACAGTAGATTTTTTAGTTGTTTTTCACTTTGGCCAGTTGATTCCCAAGCACTCACAAAGTATTTATATTTTTCTGTAAGTGCTGAGAATATTCGTGATATGACTATATCATCATCAATATCACATTTTAGTGTTTTAAGTTTGTGTACTAAGTTTTTTGTCACTTAGAAATGTTGACATGTTTGTACTCTTTTTAACTGTTACACTAAAAAATTCTTGCATTAGTTTACATTTTAATTGTTCTGTATCACCTTAATATATTTTAATCAACTTATACATTTCTTTACTTGTAGTACAATCCATAATGTGCGTCACAGCTGTCTCCGAAATGGTCGATATTATTATATGTTGTGCTTTTGCTAATATTACTTTATATATTCTCGCTGCTTTTAAGGTACCTACTTAAAATTTCCACATTCTGAAATCGTCTTTGCTTGATAGTTTTGTTATTTGTAAGAAGTCTTCATACTTTTTTATGGTTTTATGTACAAACCGTTTGTTTTACTTGTTTTTTCACATCAACAGCTTTAGCTACTCTGGGCCCATAACCTGTTCCGACTTGTCGTGGTTAACGATTGATGTTTTTTATGGGAATAAACACCTTTTTAAGAAAACCCAACGAAACTTGCTTTTTATTACTTCCACCATTTTATAAACTCGTCTCGCTTTTTCTTCTGTCTGTTCTTAATTCTAACAAAACGGTACGTTGCCATGTTATATGTTGCCGATTATTAACCTATTTCTTAACGCAGTTGCCTGACTTCTGAATAGCATTGTATAACGTGTTGATGCCTCGCTACTGTTATATGTGTTCTTACTGTCGTGACGACTCCTATATTAATATTTTGGAAAACAAATGTTTCTCATACTAGGGTTGGGTTTTACCTCATTCTGTTTTATTTTATTTTGTTTTTTACTATCTTTTTATGTGAATCTTATCTTTTATTGGGCGGTTGTCCCGTTGATAAATAAAAAAATCTTACAAAAAGTCGATGGGCACATATCCAATTCCTGTGCACAATGGCTGCTATACTGATTCGGGTCTTCCTCTGCGCTACGCTTTACAGCAGCAGTGTACGACGTCTCTAAGGATGCTTATCATCACTCAGAGTAAACGTAAAGTGTGATGGCGGTCCATAGTTAATCGAATTAATTGCTCTGATGGACGATTATGTTGACCGTAAAATGGACTTAGTGCGCGATACGTATTTCGAACAGAACCATGATTTTCAAAAAAAAAATGCCCAATTTGAAGCCTTGTTCAGGCGTCAGTCTATTCATGTTGAAATTCCTGAAAATAAATCACTTGATGGCTAACAAAATGGCTACCAGTTATAAAACTGTTGCCAACTTAAAGTTCTATACCTCTAAAAAAAAAAACGCCCTTTTTATGTTCGGATCCAGTAGCGATTTCAGAAAGCAAATGAAAAATATGGTCAATACTCGTTCTGTTCACGAGTATGGTGCTAGTGTTCGAGATATATAGAAAATAGACCAGTTCAGAAATCAATAAAAGTGTATCCAAATAAATAAGAATTTTTAATTAAATTAAATTAAAAATTAGTTAATTATGATTTTTCCCATCACCAGTCGGCTTGGTAAATGATCTTTATTAGTCTTTATAGTCATAGCCACCAAAGTTAGATGCTGATGCTATTATCATACATTTAGTTTTTTGACAATTCAATTTGTTCATATGATATGAGAGTATCTTCTGCAAATATATTAAATCAATTTTTTAAAACTTTGTTTAACCATTGTAAATATTTTAACCATCAGCTAATCTAAATGGGGCCTAAATTTCTATTGCCAGGTTGTGGTCAAAACTATCATAAGAGATGTGTTGTTAAGGTGCCTAGCAACTGCTCCTATACATCGTACGATGACAACCGACAGCGTAGACGTTCTGCCAATTTGCAAGTTCCCCGAAGTCCATCGGGAGGTAGCAATTCTTCTTTAATTTCTGCAAATTCTACACAAACTGAAGAGAGTGGCTTGGTAAGGCTTGCCAATTTTTTTACTGGAGTTCAACTCAATGATTAGTATTTGCACAAGAAATCGTCAATTAAATATTTTGTGTTAACTTTTGATTGAAATGTTAACCAGAAAATTTTAATTGAAATTTGTTGTGGAATGTTCTAATTGTTCTTAAATTTACACATTTTTTTTTTTATTTACGTCTGATTACTGGGCAAATGCATATCAATATGGGCGTCGTGTTTATTGTTTTTGTTATAAAATATATTTTGTGATAAAAAAATCATGTATTTATTTTTTTTTTAATTTGTCACTGTCCAAGTAAATTATGAGTTCTAATCTTTTAGAGGAAAGGCGGGCATAATATCATATAAACTTTGTTGTTTACCTAGGTTTTTTGTTTTTGTTATAAAAACTATCTGAATTGTTTGTTGATAGCTTATGACTCTACTCTATAACTTGACATAATAAAATCCGTCTTTATTGATTAAGTAAAACATATGTCTCAATTAAAAATCATCATCAAAAGGTCGGGCATACAGAAGTAAGATAATAACAGAATAAGTTCAGAATTAAGTTCTCTCCCTAAACAAAGATTAAACAAGTTAGTTTATGTCAAGCCCACAAATATAGTTTTTATATAATTCTGTAAGAGTTAGTTGTTTTTGGTCACTAGATTTTTGATTTTCTGAATCTTCATTAACAGGTTGTTTATTCTCAGTCACTAATTCTTTAACGTTGTTAAAGTGAGTAAAAATAGGTAGTCAGGAAAGATTTTAGGGAGCAGCGGTGATATTTCGGAATCATGAAATGCACTACTTACAATCTCCAGGGTTGCTGTTTTTTTTTTTTTGATATTCGATAACCTGTTTCAGTTTGGAAAAAATATTTTCACTTGGGGTTTATTACAGGCTTCCGCTCCGGCAAGCGACGTTGCTTCTGAAATTTGTAATGATAATCCGGAATTACGTTGATGAAATCCATTAAGAGGTATTTAATATTCAAACTTTCGGCAGCTTCATACGCCAGTTGTCGAAAAAAAAACGAGATTTTTTTCTAAAAGCTAGGAGTAGACGATGTAATGTTGCTGTAGGTACGTTAAAGGATTTACTTGCTTTGAAAAAGTCTATTTCATGATTGCGGATAGCTTGTAAACTCTCTCCGTATCCACCTAATTTTATGTTCCTCTATTAGTGGTTCTTTTATACGAGTAAACCATCTATTAGCAAAAACATTAATTTTAAACGCCTAAGAAACACACACGATCAAAACGACATACCAATTCAATTTGTCCGCCATTAATTAACCAAGAAAATGTGGTATGAACAGTTCAATTATTATTAAATTACTATTTATTAAATTCTTCTTTTTTTTGGGGTTGGCGCTGCTACTATGCAATTTGCCAGCACTATTTGGAACTGCCACAGATAATGGAGAATGTTCTCCTGGGGAAGTTTACTTTTCAGTTTTCTGTTTTTAATTAAGAGACATAAAAAGCTGCTGAGGAGATAGGGTCCGTTAGTAGGCAGGCTCAGAGCACACGAAAACTAAAGACAAGCAGTCAAGACGGTCACATTTCAAAAAAAAAAAGGACAAACAATCTCCAGCACAGTGGAACTTTGGACGGGCGTTCCTGGCCTAGGATGAACCATGGGACCAGGCTCGTCAGATCTGAGAAAAAATAACAAATTCAATTCAATTTAAAATTACCTAGTATTGTTACTAGTAGAGTTGTGTCAAGCGCGATTGATTCGGTCACTGATTCAATCACTTCATAGGATCGAACGACCGAATTCCGCTTGTTTGTAACGATTCGATCACCTTGTTCGCTCCCGCTGCCGCCCTGACCGATCTGAAGTAATCGAACAGGACCGACCGACCGTACCAAAACAAATCGAATTCGCCGGAATACGATTCATTAGAATGGTTTAAAATTTAAATGCATGACTGAGACAGGTCACGGAAAAGGAATGGGAGTAATGTTATAATTATTCTATAGTATTGAGTTGCGACATCGTTGTCGAATGGTAGACTTGCTTATGTGCTGAATTGAATATTGAATGAAATATCTATTTCCACACAGGTATTTAGTTTAAACAAATTAATGTATTACAGGTACAACTGAATACGTAGTACCTATTTTGATAAAATCATGATTCAATAAAAGGCAGAACACAGCTAAATATTATACTAACTAGAACAGAAAACATAACATATAGACACAACAATAATTCAAATTGAAATGAATCTGAATCGGTCGTTGGGACTGTTCGGATTCAGTGACTATTGCCGCTTATGTCGGTATCAAAAAGTATTGAAATGAACGATTGATTGAAATGATTCGGTCCTCGTAAAATGAACGATTGACACAACACTAGTTACTAGGGAGAGGCTGTCAGACCTTGATTCCTAACTTAAAGTTTTATCTTATTATCATCTAGAAAGCATATGACCATTCGTATGATCTCCGCACTCGGGGTGCTTAGAATATTTTCAAAACAAAGTGGTAAGTTAAGATCTAAACTACTTACTTTCGTTATAACCCCGCCGCACTCGCAGAAAGGGGAGTCCCTAACCCCTATCCGGGCCAAATGCTCCCCCACAGAGCAGTGTCCAGTTCTCATTCTAATTATTGTAGTTATATGGCGTCTGTCTATGCAAGCAAGTTCTGAAAACCATCTTCTATTTGGAAAATTAAGTTGTATTAACTTTCCATATCTCTTAACTTTTTCTTGTATTGAGTTTTCCCACCGTTCTCGAAAAATATTAGTAATATCTCTAAGAACTTTATTCTTCACGTCTTGTATGTCCAGTTTAATATTCAAGAGGATGTTTAGGTCTTTTCCTATTTTAACCAGTTTTTCACTACCTTTAATACCCGAGTGCCCCGGTATCTAGGCCATCATAATATCTGCTCCCATACTTTTAGCCTTTATCATCATCTCTCGAACCTGTAGAGTTATGTAGTACATTTTAGTATCGGTGTTTCCATTTGAAATTTTAGAAATCCCGCTTAGGGAATCTGAGAAAATAATAATTTTTGTAAAGGCCCTTTGTAGAGCAACTCTTAGTCCCTCTTTTATTGCTATCATCTCTGCTGTGGCAATACACATTTCTTTGTGAAGTTTTGCCGAAAATTTATAATTAATTTTAGTATATATACACCAAATCCAACACTCTCACCATGTTTTGAGTTAAAGAAGTCTATGTTAAAGCATGGAAATGTCGCACTCGAGTAAAGCCTGTTACGGTAAGGCAGATACATATTAAACGCCTGAACCCTCTATGGGGCACCCGATATTCTGTCAAGATCTCTGTCTAAAGCACCTCCGTACATACCACAGTAATTTCGGAATCTCTCTAGGAGTTCTGTTATGGGGTGGTCCGAAATGGCGAGTACTCCAGACAGAAAGGACACTGCCAGTTTTCTCGTCCTTGTATCCAGGTCCAGTTCCGATGCTTCAGCCAGCAAGACATTCGTTGGGGTTGACTTCATACATCCCAGCGCTCTTCTCAAACCTTCGAAATGGATCACGTTAAGCTTGTTAAGTGCAGACTTGTTGGGGTTCAATAAAACGGACCCATAATCTAGGTGGGTCCTAATCAGAGTATGGAGTAAGGTCATTAAGATTTGCGGGGCTGCACCCCAAGAAACTACTTACGCATTTCATTATATTAATTGCCTTTTTTGCTTTATCATGTGCATATTCCACTTGAAATTTTTTGTAGAACCACTCCTAGATATTTAACATGGTTCTTAAAAGCAATTTCCTTATCTATTTCGATATTTACCGGCGGGGCTCTTCTCCTACCTTTTGTAAACCAGACGGCTTCACATTTATTAGTACACAGGAAAAGGTTGTTGTTCTCTAGCCAGTTCTGTAAAGTTTTTAGAGCTCTATTAAGTTTGCTTACCAGTAACTCTATGTCTTTCCCTTCGCAGAGTAGCACCCAATCATCTGCGTAACCCACCATCTTGACTTTCCTTTGAAAGAATTTATATAAATCTAATATATAACTGTTAAAAAGGACTGTACTCAAGGGAGACCCCTGTGGAACCGTTAGGGAGACTTCATTATTCTTGGAGAGTAAAGATCTATTTTCCAGAATTTTAAACATGAGGTTGGAAAGCTGCACAGGAATATTAAGGTCGTTAAGTTTATTATATAGTTTATAGATATTAACTGTGTCATAAGCAAATTTTATATCTAGGAAAACTGCTTCTAACAATGAATTGCGGGCAAAGGCTAGATTGACATGTGTAGTAACCAGCGCGAGGTTATGATTTATACTTACTTACAGCTCGAAATGGAAAGGAGAGAAAGTATTTTTGCTTTCAAGTATATGTGTCATACGGTTTTTGATTATTATCTCTAAAACTTTAATATAACATGATGGGTAATAGGTCTATAATGGTCAATATTATTGGGTTTAAGTATCGGGATGATGTTATATTTTTTCCACTCGGGAGGGATGACATCCCCATCCAGAAGGTTGTTATATATTTTTAGTAAGGCTTTTTTTGCTTCGTTTGGTAGATGTTTAATCATCTTATACGAGACCCGGGGCTGAGGACTTCTTATATATTATACCGGTGTTGAGTTCTTCCAAGGTAAATGGTCTAATATGTTCCATAGGAATCTTCAGTGTGAAATTGGGTTCCATATTACAAATGGCCATTTTATTCAAAATTCCCTCGCTCAGGGTTTCATCAATATTATGAAGTTTGCTAGACTCTTTTTTCCCTTTCAATTTATTAATTTTTTTCCATACATACGATATATTCGATTTTCTGTTAAGAGATTCGCAAAATTCAATCAATTTTGACCTCTGTCTTTTAGCGAAAGCTATATTCCTTTTTATCTGAATATAATTGTCTAGAGTTGGATTCAGTTTAAAATTTTTAATACATTCTTTTCTTCTGTTTATTATTTCAGAGCAATCGTGGTCCCACCAAGAATCGGAAATTCTTCCTGGTGAAAATTTAACTCCCATGGGGATGGAGCGACCCTCCGATTTATTTATTATGTTGTTTTATGCAACAAATCCCAGACCTTGGCTATTAATAGATACATCAGCTAAAACAGTTTCATAATATTTGTTCCAGGCAGCCCTACCAAAGTTTCGATAGGTATGAGTAATCATTTTGTGTCTTAATTTACTATAGTTCCCATTCTTGAACTCCACGATAGTCGGAAAATGGTCACTGTTCCCGCAGTCGTTCAAAGCCTCCCAGTTTAACAAGTGAGCTATATTGTTATATACTATCGTTATGTCGACTACGCTACCCGGAGGTTGCGGTGGTTTTAAAAGAGTTGGTGAACCGTCATTTAATATTATATAAAAAGTAACATAATCTGCTATCAAGTTTTCTCCCCTGTTCGGAGAGGCTTCATCCTATAATGGATGATGGGCGTTAAGGTCACCCATAACAATTGAATTATCAGTGAGTCCTTCAAAAACTGTGGACAAAAACTGGTTTGTTATAAAGTTAGAATAAACATTAATTATATTTAAATCGCTTATTTTGATTATAACTGTGAGTTTTCGTCATTGAAAGTTGTTACCTGATTATAGATTAAGTTATTCTTAATACATGTTGCCACCCATCCGTAGCTGTCCTGTCTGTCTTGTCTTAGTATGTTGTATGATTTTAAATAAAAACTGGTTTCCATCTTTGTCCATGTTTCGTTCAAACATATTTTGTCTGGTTTGTGTTCTACAACTAGCATTCTATTGTTCTATTCTAACTAGCGATCTATTGGCTTTAACGCTTCTAATATTCCATTGAATAATTTTCGGGTTGTTGAATTGGAAGCTTGTTTTTCTTCTTTGGATGTCCGTGTTAGAGGGTACTTCGCTACCATTACTTTAAGGACTTGTTATGTCCAAGTCCATATAACTATTATTACTCAAGTGGTTTAAAACAATTTTTTTTATTGTATTTTGATTCTCTCTAGAGATATTTTTAAATTTTACTAAGATAGAATTTACAAAAGAAGCCTCATCTTTCGATCCATAGCTCTGATTCAAGGCACTATTAGTAGGCACTTCATTCGATTACGAATAGTCTTTTATAAACGAATTCCAATCATTTTTTTCAGGTCTTGCCTTTGGGAAATATAATTCTTCGTTATGTTCTATTTTGTCATAAGATTTTTGTACTATTCTATTTTTAACTTGTTAATATTTTGCTGCTTTATATATTCGGGACATGTCTTACTTGTGGTTTTGTGATTGCCCCTACAAAAAAGGCACTTAGTGGGACACGAATGCGAATCATCATTATCATCTTCGTCATGTTTCTTATCCCCACAGTTGAAGCAGTTCTCTTTTCCTTTGCAGTTTTTTGTATGTCCGTAGAGTAGACAGGAGTAACATTGTCTCACTGATGGGATGTAGACCAGCACCGGATGGGGTAGACCATACAAACTCACTGATCTCGGGAGAATTGTTCCTTTAAATGTGAATAAAATAGTTCTTGTTGGTATAAATTCTGCTTGGCCATTTTTTTGCGATTAAAACGGTTACCATAGAGTATTTATACATTTGCCCTACAAAATTGAGAAAACTTAGTTATATCTTCATCTACATCAACATTTCTAACAATACCCTTGCAGGACACAAGGTTTCCTGAACGTATAGGTTCCATCCTCTCCCCGCGAGCGCCACACTTTTTAAGAATTTGTTTGCCGCTTGAAAATTATTAAATTCCACAGAGATTCTGTTAAGACCATATGTTAATTTTACATACATCTTTTAGTTTAAGTTTAAATAATTCGCGAGCAATTTTTAGACTAGAGAATCTTCCCACATTACCTTCCCTTTGTGTGGATTCTACGTATACTACAAATGGTCCACAATCTTGTCGTCCATAAAAGAAACTTTGTTTTTGTACATGATTATTGGTATCATTCTGTTTATTATTATAGATTGTATTGTTTTTATTTTTTTGTATGTCATTATTAATGTGTTGAGAACTAATGCCTGTCACTTCGAATATCTTTTTTCGGTCCTCCCGGAGGAATCCATTTTGAGTTGTTGGCCAACGGCTACCGCGCCGTGCCGAGATCGTACACGTTGAAATTAAAACAATAATTGTTAATAAAGTCAGTACAACAAAACAAATCATTTTAGTCAGATCGAACTCACCTCTCTCTGGGTTCGGGTGGTTAGTCGGACAAAACAACCCTTCTCAGTCGATTCAGCACACATAAGCACAAAACGTGGCTACCGGAATCAAGGTCTGACAGCCTTTGAATCATTTATTAAATTATTATTTATAGATTGGTAACTTGGACTAGCCAATCTCTACTGCGGCTAGTGCAATGTTGCCGGTTACAGTTAGAACCTTGAATGCTGCCAGATTTTTCATAATAGAAAAAAAGGTATTATGCCCGCTTCTCTCTTACAATATATATCTGCTATTATTATACCTATTGCTGTTTGGATTGGAAGTTCATTTTTTAAGAGCTACGCTTTAAATATCGTAGTAAAATAGACAGCCGAAAGTCAAGAAAAATAAGAAAGTAAGAATTTTAATGAATTTAAAATTGCTACCAAATTTATTAATGACATTTTTCTCTTTAATAACCACTATAGTTGATTCAATTTGCAGGGAAAATCTGTTAAGATACTTTAGTGTCACCAAATTTCGTTTACTGTTTAGGCTTTTGCATATTGATCCTTTTGTTTATGTGAATACGTATATAAAAAAGTTTTAGAATATTCCGTTTTTTCTTTTGCCTTTTCTATTTCGCTATTATGGAAGCTGGATTATTAGCAGATTAAAGATTAAATAAACAAACAAATCTATTGTATTAAAATCCATGGTTAAACTGATAGCTGATATTTTATTTTTCACTTCACATAATTTACAATCTTTATTATATATAACAAAGCCTTTGCTTTATTAGCTGCATGAATTAATAACTTGTTAAACAGCGGGTCATTTCTTGCACACTCTCTGAGCTCCGAAGTATCTATTTAAGATTTGTAGTACAATATTGTTAAAAGGTTTTGATATTTATTGTATTTATGATCTTTAATATAAAATATTTAGTTTATTATTTGTTTGTTTATTTTATTTTCCTCTTCACCCATTTTTATCCTTATTATTTATTATTTTATTGTTTTTATTTATTATTATTAGTTTACTAAATGATTGTTTCTATCATGTTTGAAAATTTGGAAGCAAATGGCAAAGTTGAAACTAAACGAAATATTGGTAGCAACATGTTGAAGTCTATGGTGATTGTTTTGAATTGATAATTTATTCTTTGTTGTATATTTTTTTAATGACTTTTTTTGATATGTTAATCCCAAATAATAATAGGATGTTTTAATCGCATTATATTTTCTAAAAAAATAAGAATTTAGTATGATTTTTGCAGTATCTTTGAATATTGGGCCTGATGCAGCTAGTAAATGCTCATAACGCGTGCAAAAATTGCGTGAAGTATCTGTTTTTATTACTGTTAAACAATCCGTTAAACATTACTTTTTATTGAATTATTTTCAAATAAGTTAAGGGAAATGATTAATTGATTGAAATGCAAAACATTTAAATACAATTTGGGGTTGACCCATAAACAAATAAAAAAAGAGACCTTTCACTGCAAAATGTTATGGGATAGCTGAAGCGCGTAGCAGACATCATTGGGGGTTGTAAGATTGATTGTCAACAAATACAAATGAAAGTTTGCTTGGATCGTTTTGCATTAAAAATCCTTTTTTAGATTGTTCTGGTATTATTTCCCTAAGTAAGTTAAAAATTATATAAAAGTTATATAGTGTGCAACTAAAATTAGATATGTATATAATTAAGTAATTTACTTGTGGACATTAGAATCGAATAACAGTTTTAGAAAACTTTAAAAAATATGTTTTGATATTACTAATGTTTTTATAAAAATATGCTACACATTAACACACATTAATGTATGTAATGAAATGAATATAATATTTTTTTTTAAGAATTTCAAAATTAACGAGTTGATATTCTATTCATATATTCGTATTTTTTTGCATACGTATTAATTATAAAAAAAATGCTCTCAAAACTTGAAGTCTCTCTGCAAAAAACACTGAAATTGTAAGCGACCCTTATTGAAAAAATTAGATGGTCCCTAATCGCGTAAGAACAATGTCAAAATTTCAAATTTTAGTTAATTTGTAAGTTCAATTATTTTGGGCGCTTCGAAGCCATTATTTTACTTTGTTTTGAATATTTCACGTTTGGTCATACAAAACCAAAAAAAAAATCAAAAGCAACTAATCCAACGGAGATTCCTGGATTTGAATGGATACTTCTCATTTTTGCCTACGATTTTTGTTGTTAGGTTTACAATAACCGTTTACCATCATTGGGAGGACGCCCACAGTGGACAGAAAAGGACACATCGTCACGAGTTAAAATACCGCACACATTCGTTATACACTCTTACACTCGACCAACTATTTGTCAGTCGTGTAAAAAACTGCTGAAGGGACTGTTCAAACAAGGATTGCAATGCAAAGATTGTAATTACAATGTGCACAAAAAGTGTCTTGATAAAGTACCTAAAGATTGTACTGGAGAGGTGCAACGGGATTCAGCTGGTAAGCAAAACATTAATATTAGTAATTCTTATGGACAGTAAATTTCAATTTTCAAAATTCAATTCAAAAATTAAACTACTCAAGTAGAATTTTGAGTGAAACATACAACAGAAATAGTGAAGAAATTTTAAAATTTGGCTTTAGACTTGTAATTAAAAGTTACTTTTATTTTAGGTCATTTATAGTATTATGCGGTATGATAAATTTTACTGCGCCATTGCTTTGAAATTATTTATATTGGGATCTCCCAAAGTAGAAACAACTATACCACTTTAGTTTCTGAAAAATGCATTTTTTCAGTTAACCGAGGTCATTTTTGATTTATGAGTTAGGTATACAGTACCATAGAATACGAAATAAATTAATTTGTTGCCAAAAAACTATTAAGAAACAACTTTTTATTTTAACCTCAGCTCTAGATTTATAAACTAACTGACAATTTCGTTAATTTAATGAGAACAGTTATTAATTTATATTTTTTGATTTTAGTAAATTTTGAATATGCGGAATGCGTAGAAATCGAGAGTTCTTGTAGTGCAACCCTTGTTGAAGAGGAAAGCGAATCAGATAGAAGCACTTACCCTAGCGAAAATGGTGCTAACAAGTTCATTGAAGTTATTCCAGTTCATGATGATGACAACGATTATACATCTTCCACGTGAGACTTCTTTTGTCTGGTTTTTGTTTATTTATTTTCATTAACAGTAACTCAGTAACACTTCGTTTTATTTAAATAGGTGGTTTATTTGAATAGGTGGTAAAATATTAAAATTTTTATTCATTCGTCATACATACATTAAAAAATATTAATTCCTTTCATTCGTCATATATTTTCGCTTTAAACACCGGTGTTTAATATTTGCAGATGTAGTTCTTCCTCATCTCCAAGTGCCAACATTCCTCTACAACGAATAGTTCAATCTGTCAAACATACTAAGCGGAGAGGTTCGAAAGTTATAAAAGAAGGCTGGCTAGTTCACTTTACTAGTCGCGATAAAACGGTAATTGTTTTTTATTTTTTGGAATGGAAATATGCAACAAACTGAAAATATTGAATTCCTTCTCGAATTGTAATTGATAAAGAAAGCAGAAAGTTTGGGCCGTCAAAAATTTTTGCGCCGTGATCGCTGATGTACTAAGTATCGCAACAACTAATATGTTGCTAATATTTCTAGATCAGAAGGCATTTTTGGCGTTTAGATACCAAATCGATTGTTCTCTTTCAAACAGAGACGAGCACTAAATACTATAAAGAAATTCCATTATCAGAAATTTTGACAATTGATACAGCTAGAACAAAGCAAGGAGGTAAGTTAAAATGCGCAAATAATATCACTTTATAAATGTTTTATTTAATTTTCGTAGAAACAATGCATTGTTTTGAAATTCGTACAGCAAATGTTGACTATTTTGTTGGGCAAGATCCATTATATGACTTACAAGATGGTATTAGTGTAAATTTGCCGCCTCCTGATAGTGGGATTGGCGCGTATTTAGCCAAAAGTTGGGAAACTACAATTAGACAAGCTTTAATACCAGTTACAGCAAATACTGGAAGTGAGTAATTTTAGAGTTTTGAATCTTTGGTAATATTTGTCAGTTTTGCAGTTTACTATTTATATGTGCCCCAGGAGAAATTGGTTATATTTCACTTATTTCATAAGTCATGTCACCATATAGCTTTATATGATATATGACGTTTTGCTTCTTCTATAATTGTCACACTATAACCAGCTTTTTTGTTTCTAAACAATAATCTACATGCACTTTCTTTTCCTGAAAATTTCGGTTGTTGTACAATGATGAAATAAAACTTTGTGGATACCTAGAAATTGTCCTGTTTTCTTGGTTTTGCTCACAATGGAATAAAGACAAATTATAACTCAAAGTATAAATAGTAAATTGTGATTTTTTAAATATATTAATTATCTGGTCTGGATAAGAACTGTGACTATATTGTCATATCTACTTAAACTGTATTGGATATTCCGCCCAGTCTTATGCCAGACAACAGCGTGATTCGTACCTAGTACTTTTTGTGTTTTTATTGGCAGAACAAAAATATATTATTTTAGAATAGCAAAAAGTCATATAGTAACACAATTCTTTTCACTGAAAGTACATGATATAAATAGAAAACCTTTTGTGAATATTAAAATTATCACTAGACCATTGCGGTGTGTTTATGATGGCAGAATGTTGTGGACAACTCATTTATATGTGGTGATCGGATAATGTTATATATTTGGTTGTTAAAAAATGGTTTTAAACATTCTTCTAGAGACCGTTGAAGCGCCTGTAGTGAGTGAAGATCAAGTGACAGATATGAGTCAGCTGTATCAAATTTACCCAGATGAAGTATTGGGATCTGGCCAATTCGGTATAGTTTATGGAGGTGTTCATAAGCGTAGTACAAGGCCTGTTGCAATAAAGGTACATTTTTTAAGTTTATAATTTTAATCTTGCAGTTGTGTTCAAAAATTTTCTTTTCACACTCCAGAAAATGTAACTTTTAAGCAGCATTCATATACTTATAATAATATGCATAATTCATATACTTATTATTATACCTAAATGGTAAGGTTTTCGAAATAAAAACACTTTTCTAACAGATCTGATTATTTTGACATAAGTTATGATGTTTTTAGAAGTGCTTCTTAAAGAGGTGTTTGATCCGATTTTATGTAGATTCCCTGTTCTTTGAGGTTGTTTCTGTCTCTGAGAATTTCATGCAGGGATTGTACACCTAGGCCGTCGGATTTAATATCAGTTTGCTGTATATTGTTTTGGCTGGTAGCTTCTTGGACTCTAAAACTCAATGCTTGTTTTTCTCTCTCAGACATTTAGCTGAATCAAATTTAAAATATTGGATTTATTATTTTGTAAGCGAACACTTATATATAACTATTCATTATAATGTTTCTTAGCTTATAGATAAGTTGAGATTTCCGACAAAACAGTAATTTAAATTATTGGATTTATTATTTTGTAAGTGAACATTTATACATAACCATTCATTATAATGTTTCTTAGGTTATAGATAAGTTGAGATTTCCGACAAAACAGGAAGCGCAACTTAAAAATGAAGTAGCAATACTGCAGAATTTATCTCATCCTGGTGTAGTGAATTTAGAACGGATGTTTGAAACTCCTGAGCGCATTTTCGTTGTAATGGAGAAACTGCGCGGTGATATGTTGGAAATGATATTATCGCATGACAAAGGTCGATTAACTGAAAGAGTTACAAAGTTTTTGATTACTCAGGTGATATGATGAAAACTTAAATGTGTTGGAAGAGAGGATTTGAAACTGGATCAGAACTATGCACATTTCAAATTTTTGGTTCTAATTGTATTTGTAATTGTAATTGTTGTAAATGGCGATTTCTCGAATTCATGACGTTTAAAATGTGTCTTTTTTTTATATTTCCAACTGAATATTCGATAATTTGTTGAATCAGTTCCAAATCCTTTTCGTAATTATTACCATTCACCAGGGACAATTAAAACTATTTGACTTGTAGATCCTTATTGCCTTGAAGCATTTGCACAGTAAAAACATTGTGCATTGCGATTTGAAGCCAGAAAATGTTCTGTTAAACTCAGATTCAGAATTTCCTCAAGTGAAGTTGTGCGATTTTGGTTTTGCAAGAATTATTGGTGAAAAATCTTTTAGAAGATCTGTAGTCGGCACACCCGCTTATCTAGGTACAAATAAAAACTGCCATTAGTTTTTTAAAATAAGCTTTATATTTCAGCACCTGAAGTTTTAAGAAATAAAGGTTATAACAGATCTTTAGATATGTGGAGTGTTGGAGTAATTGTTTATGTAAGCCTTAGTGGAACTTTTCCATTTAATGAGGACGAGGACATAAATGATCAAATTCAGAATGCCGCTTTTATGTATCCTCCTAATCCATGGAAGGAAATTTCTTCAGATGGTATGCATTGTAACATTTTAGACAAGAAAAAAAATTTAGATAGATTTACAGAGTCGTATCATGTTAAACCAAATATGCAAAATATATTATTGGGTCGCATTATAATTATATCATGTATAATAATTAAATAATTATTTTTAGCAATTGATTTAATTAATAACCTACTCCAAGTTAAGCAAAGGAAAAGGTATACAGTGGATAAGTCGCTACAACATGCATGGCTGCAGGTATTATAATAGGACTTCTAAATTATTGTCAAAATAAATTTTCGCATTATTTAGGATTATGAAACTTGGTGTGACTTGAGAACATTGGAAAATCAAATTGGTGTCAGGTATTTGACTCATGAATCAGATGATGCTAGATGGGAAAAGTAAGTTTTTGAATTTTGATTACATTCAATTAGTTACTTATTTGTAATTTAATATTGCGTCGGGTTACTCTGTAAAAGATAATTTCACAACATTGCGTTTTACTGCAAAAATGCATAAAATCGTAACCAAGAGTGAAAATATTTTTTAATTTTAAAATAATTGTACAAAATTAAGTTATTGATGGTTGAATTTCATAGTGATGAATTCCTCTTTGCATTACTATTTAAAAATAATAATTGTAACAACATACAAGAAACTAACTCTTTGTTGGTACTTGCGATGGTTAAAATAGGATAAATAACATGTGCCTATATTTTTACTTATTAATATGCCACAAGGCTGAAACATTTTTGTTAGAATATTTAGTTATCATTATTAATTTTTTTTCTTTTATTTTACTGTACATTAAAAAAATATCCTCCCATATAAATATCACACGAGAAAACATTGTCTATTGTTGTTTTCTTTCTTTGGTTGGTACGCCCATATAGCTATTTGATAATATAGTGGCCAGTATGGTAAATATTTGATCTGCTTTGGTCAGCTATAATGATTTCGTTGAGATGGGCATGATCTGCACATGCCAATTTGTACATAGTTCCACTCACTTAATTTGTTTTTCCCTAAACCTTCAACGGGATCTGGCCATATTTTAAGAAAATGCTGCCGTTAAAATGCCGCATATAAAACTGAAAATTGTTGAACTGTCAGCGGCCAGGTTGATTGTTAAATGCTGCAAGGTCTTATTGTGGCTTAAAAAAATCCTGTATTAGCGACCTATGCAAGGCCCCCATATATCTAGTGGCGAAGTGGGTACTTCACTATCTGTCTTTGACACTTTTGAGACTTTTGAAATAAATTATGCGGTCCACGGGTAATTACCGTTCTAATTTAGTACCAACAACTCGTCTTCAGGGATGAGCTAATTTTAATAAAGTGATTAAAATCACGATTTAAATCAAACTCTTATTCTTTAAAATATTTTTTTGTTGAGACCAACACAAAAAGTACAACGTAAAAAATATCACAAATAAAAAGTAAAACACAACTTTTTATAAGACAAATAACACAATAATATACACTTTGTGCTTCTGCATTTTCGTTGTGTAGTTTGAACAGAAATTCTAATTTTCTTCGTTTTTCTATCCCCATTCTGTTCCTTATATCGGAGTGTACAAAACCAAAAGTGCTGAAAAGTACTACTGACGCTGCGGAAGCTGATGTCCATTTACGTTTTTTATTCTTTTTTAAATGAACAACTGCGGGCATTCAACTTTATTACTAATGGCAAAAGTCCATTATTAATTCTTTCGAAAGTAAGATCTTTTCTTCCAGTATTAACTCATATTTTTGCTTTTGAGGGTTCAACGTATAGGCTATAAAATGATATGACGTGAGTGGCTGCTTACATCGATCCTGAATTCTTTGTATTTTTTCACTGCTCTACAGCATCTGAGATAGTAGCGTTTCAAGAACAATTGATATTTTAAGCCCAATATTTGACACCTTTTGGTAAATGGTCGAATCATTTTAGTTTTTGTTTACTTCACAGATTATTAATAATGAGTGACTGAGTGACGTACATCTTTAAACAGTCAGCAACGCTATTCCATCGCACATGAATTGGAATGACTAAAGCGTTGCCTCCTTCTTGACTGAATTTCGCTCGAGCTAAATCGTTATCGCGAAAATACTTAACAATTTGGACTACATGTTCTTTGACGTCGGGTATTTGTAAGTCTGTACAGTAAATTCAAAATATGTGCAGAGCAGCCATAAGTTATAACTTTTGAGTACGTCTTTTTGCTGCATTATCTGTCACAAAAGATTTTACCTCTGTTGTGATTTACATGAAGAAATTAGAACACAAACTAGTTCAGTCAAATATTGTGAAGTATGAAGTTTTCCCGAAGTATCAATAGTTTCGTAAAGAAGCGCTCGTCCATCTTTAGTTGTTATTATTATATTATGTTATATAACTGGCTCATTGTGGACGTTTCATCACCCGTCAATGGACATATTCACATATCCTGAGGGAGACGAAAAACATTGTGCATTTTCCTCCTCATAGATATCATCTAAAAGGCTTGATGATAACGTTTTTCTTGATGGCGGCGTATAACCAGGTGCCTTTGCCTTTGCTAGTTATTTCTCAATCATTTCTTTTTCAACTGTTGATGTTTGCATTACGAAACTACTCAAGTTAGGCTAATTTTCAGTTTTTTTTATTTTTCTTGATTTGGACTTTGCGGAGATTTCCAAAGGCTTGACAAATCTGTCGTGAGTGTCAGGGAACTCGAGGCAGACGATGTAATAGCAAGATCTACTAAACCAAATACGCTCTCAATTTTCTTTTAAAAAATTAGTAAAGGGATTGGATTTATTGGATTAAATTTATTTATTTTTTTAATACATTGAAAATCGTGTACATTCTTTCCTAAGATAAAGAAATATACAATATGAATACGAAATACTTTTTTATGCATCATTCAAAATAAACATAATAATAACATTAACATTTTTTTTTTGTAAAAATGAAATAAGTAATAATAAAACAAAACATCATTGCTACTTATCTCAAACATCATGGTGTGCTTTAAGTCTTTGAACTATCCCTTGAATGTTTCTTGCAGATTTTACAAATCCAGGTTTATTTGAATCTATCGTTTTAATGTAAAACTGATATATGCCATTTTCTTTTCTTCCAGCCATGTAAATGTTTTCACCTATTGCTTTATTTTCCACTACTTCCACATTTTTGATAAACGATCAACTAAATACACGAGACGTATTCGATAACAATTTATAGATCGGGAAAAAAACAGGTCGCGACAGAATTTTAACTACTTAGTGGAGAATACTTTGGAGTTAATTGGTTTTAATGGTAATTATTGTTGTCAGTTGATTTATAAAGTAGCTCAAAAATTAGAAGCATTGGCATTTAAAAGGTACCACGAGCAATATGTAACTGACAAAGCTTGTATTAGGTCATGTCTGTTTTTCAGTAACATCTGACCTATTAGAAACGAAAGTTGAACCGCGTTTTTATCTGTTGACCGCTCAAATTTGTTTGTTACCTTCGAAGTGTCCGCTATTTGCTGATGATTTTTTTTTTGTTATCTGCATATTGATTCAGCAATGTATTTTCTAATGATACTAATGATACTAACTTGATTAGCGAAATGCTCGCCCAGAAGGTTGTGTAAAGTTGTTTTCATTTTTTGTGTCCCGTTTTCTTATTCTAAACTTTAACTAAAATTAGAATACTTAATCCTTTTAGGTATCGAGCAAAACAATGACGAGATAAGACATGGTTATATAATATGAAGAAGTGTCTAATAGGCATCAAATCTTGAATAGAAGCACGTTGTTTTTTGTTTTACAGATAAGAATTTGGCTGTGACTCATTTTCACAAACGAATTGACCTAAATTTAGTGAAAAGATTGTTTACAGTATATTTCAAAAGGTCATTTTGTTGTAGAAATATGTTTGTCTTTTCTATAGCCATTGTAGGTTACAATTTATATAATACAATTTTTGGAAATTTCACCTGCTGACAGAACAGTGTAACTCATTTTCAGTATTAATATTTTGATTGAGTTACTGAGAGCGAAATGATAAAAACTAAATAGTGCCCCTTTACACATCACATAGTCATATAAACTGTTGTAGAAGTAGTTAACTAAGGTATCGTTTGGAATAATATTTAAGTTTTATGGAGTGGAAATGCCACATTTAAAACAAACTGCGGTTTAGGGTGTCTCTTATATAATTGGTACAAACGAAGCCAAGACGGTTTAATTGTTTATAAGTAATTTATGCAGTCAAAATGTCATTAAGCGGCTTGGTCATTTTTTCAGTTTGCACAAAAGATTATTTGCAGAAACTATTATCTTGATTTTTTTTTTGGTCATCCGTTTGTTATCCAAATCCACCTTAAAATGTAGTTTTATTAAATGTAAATTCGTTTATTATTGACACATATACATATATTAATATCGGCTAACAGTAGAGATGCTAAACATTATATAGTTGATAAAGAGGGTAGAAAGTAAGCATCACTTATCAAAAGCCATTTTCTCGTAAAACGATTACCTAAGCGGCAAAGCTGTTGGAACAAAAAAAAGCAAGCAAACAAACAAACAAAACTAAATTAAAACACAGTTTCTAACAACTTTTAACAGAAGGAGCTTATAAAGGAAAAATCTTTGATACGCCAACAAAATTGTTATTAACTGTATAACACTGCAATTGGTAATGGCGAGGGACTTGCGCATTGTTATTTATTATGTATTGTATCTAATTGAAAGTTATTAATGCGAAATATGCGTGCTTACAGTATTTATTTATCTTTATAACTCGAATGTATTAATAATAGATTTTAAAATATGTTAAGCATTTAGATCTTTATTTAGTAATGTTTTATTTTTTGCATTTATTTATAGATATTTTATTTTTTATATATATTTTTAAAACGCGCAATGAAAGTAGTTAATGTATTAGGCTATTTTTTTTTGCAATACAAGCGCTATTTTGAAAACTGTTATTATTTTTGTCACAGAGGTGTTATTTAGGATTTTTCGCAACTTCTTTAGATTTTTGACTAGAGGAATCCACTGTCGGCTTAAAGCGACTTAAAAAAAATCAATGCAAGTTATAATTTAACCAGTACCATTTATACAGTACAACTGTGACTTTTTGACCTACCTTAAACTTAAATAAGAGAAAGTGAAAGATCGATGATTTTTGTAATATATTGAATTTTTCGTTGAAGATAACGCTTATAAAAAAATACTTGATGTAGGTGTGAGAAAGCGCCAAGCCAGAAAAAGCCAATTTTGCAATTGACAAACTAAGAAGTTTAAAAAGGTCCAATAATGTGAATGTATTTGTAGGTTTTTTCTAACTTGCGAAATAAACTCGTAACAAAAAAAGACAAGTTTAATTTTTATATGGATCCCCATTACCCAACTTTTGAACTTATCCTTATCGTTTATCGTTTCTGAGAAGTATGTTTGTAATCTTTAACAAATGAACGAAAAATTATTTCGTCAAAAATTTATGAAATCTGTTGAAGCTTAAACTGCTATTTTTTGGTATAAACAAGTTTGATTAATTTTTCATAGAGACTTCCACAGGCTACTGTAACATTATTTACAAATCTTCTATATTCCTCCTGTCTCGGTTGTTTCAGCTAAGTTCTGAAGAAGCCAACGGGATGACTGGCGAAACGGCAGCAAGTTTGATTTATAAACATCCAGAAGATTTGTTAAGATTAGAATATATCAAAACAAATACCAAACCTTTAAGGTGACGTAGAAGTTGCCACACGGAGAGAAAACGATAGACTGTAAACAAAGGATGACTGGTTATGAATGTGAGAATAATGTCGGTCTCTGTAGGGTTGTATGTTCGTTTATACGTTTTAATTGAGATTCTTGATAATGAAAAAGCGACAAATTAACAGTATTCGCGAACACGTGTGAATAGTTTAGCCGTCGTTACCAATCTCAGATTAATATGCGAAATCAAAATATTTGTTATTTTTTGTAGGCTGATATTTAGATAATCGTTTATGTGTGCGAGATATTCCTTAATTATTTAAACTAAAGACTGCATTTAATAATTATAAACACTTGCTACGTTGGGAAATGTAAGAATGGACCGAAAGGGACAATTTTCTCATTTCCAGAAGCAGAGACCTTGCGGAAAAAATGGATTCCAGCAATAAAAAGATAATAGTTTGTTCCAATAAAAAAACAACTGAAATAGTTTTTAATATGGGCAGGCAAGTTAAAAAATTTCTAATCTTATTCATTTTATGGTATCTGAGCTTCATTTTCAACCCCATGAAATTGAAAGAGACAGACAGTGTTGATTCAACATGAGAAGTACTAACAGCTCAGTTAAAAAAATTCCCTTGATCAAGACTTTATTTTGTATTTTACCTAGTTGTCTGAGTTATTTATTTAAGCTCCAATGTAGTTAGATTAAAATACCTACTTATGCACTCTGTATAAATTTCTATTCTACATATTATTACTACATTTTAAACATTAAAATAATATAAAGCAATGTGTTTTTTATCCTTTGTCACTGACATTTGATATTAACGCCATACAGCCATTTATATCGTCTTCCTAATGTGAGGACTCATATTTTAGCGTTTCACTGTCTTGTAGTATAGGAGGCGTAGTCGCAACGCGTTCATAACATTTACCAAAGAAATTAGTAGAAATATTTATTTTTCAACAGAACGTCGCGATTGGCATCGAGTCCTCATCTTTGTTATAAAAGTTTCTCGTTTTCAAAGAAAGGGTCACCTTTGTCAAAGGAAATTTCCATTTTAGTAGTCACATTCAATAATTTTTTAATTTGTATCCCAAATTTGTGGGAATCTTGTCAGAAACCAAATAATTAATCTATCACAGTTTTCAAATTTAAATATAACCACCAAAAAAAACTGGCTGTAATTGAAGTTCAACGGTCGACCAAAATCAACCACGCATCGCTGAACAAATCAATTGACAAAAAGCTTTCCTGGTAGACTATGCAACTATGAAATAAAGACGAAGACTTAACCTAATTTACTGTATTTTGCGAAGCGTTTACATTTTCTATTCTAAAATGTTTATGAACTTTATTATTTATTTATCCGAATAGAGCAATTCTATGTGGTAGATGTCAATCAATGGCTATCCAGGCATAATTTCTCTGTTGGATTTAGTGGCGGGAGAAAGTATGTACTGGAGGACATTATAACTGTCCTAACTGTACCTTTCAAGGCTCAGCTTATGACATATTATTACACTTCGAAAATGTACACAAAGGAAGCTTATTAACTTCCTCAGTATTTATTCTAGAATTGGAATGTGAGTCTCATCAAGTACGACTGCACCCAATAAATGATGACTTGTTTTATGTATTTAGGGCACCATCAAAGTATCCAAAAATATTTCAAAATTTTACTTTTTCTTCACTAGATAGGAAATTTAAACAAGGTACCAACATCAAAATTTTACTTTTTCTTCACTAGATAGGAAATTTAAACAAGGTACCAACAAAATTGCCTGCAGTTCAGCTATGGAACCAAATCCAATTGGTTTCAAATTATATATATCTGTTGAAAAATTTCCCAAGAAAATTGTTGTGTACATGTGAATTAGACGTAGAAAATATCATTAATGGTTTGATTTTGCCCAAAGAGCTTAAATAACAGACACAGAAAGACATTCTGAAGTAAAAGAACAAATTGATACTAATAATTATCCAGTTGTTGGTAAGTCTAAGGAGTCAATCCAAGAAAATGTCGAAACATCTACAACCTTAAACGAGGTCATTAAGTCACAAGCTTTCGAGCTAGTAAACACTAACTATAAGCGCACAAGTAAATACAAATATTTCAAACCCAATTAAATATATAGCTTATCAGGCTCTCATTAGAGAAACATATTTTATTGTATAATTCAAGTTACTTTATTGATTAAATTTTGAAAAAAATGTTATACAAGATTTAAGATTTAAACACCTGCATATACTGTAGTTGACAACTCCGTTTTAAGGGAATAACCAGATAAAATTTCCAAAAGATCCATTTAAAGACTAAAGTAATACAGATTTTTTTATCGCCAGTTTTATGAAACAATAATCGAACTATTGTATATCTTTTGATTTTATGCCCAACTAGTAATTTCCCACACTATTTTATTAGTCTCTTATAATCGACCATTTATTTTCCTTCCCTTATCTTCTCACGCTATAAAACAGGAGTTTAAGTAATGGAATGTAATGTAAATATATTTATAATGGTATATATAAAGTCCGTTAGTCTGCATATAGCAGCTCTTAAGGAGCAATTTAAAAAAAACTCTGTGACTACAAATGGAGAGTGTCTTTTATATTTTAATGCTGGTTCAAATTAGTTTAAGAGCGCAAAGTGAATTGTGTATTGTCGTTCTAAGCAAGAGTGAAATTGCACTTTCCGATCGGGCAAAGCCTATCGAAAAATTTACTTTTAATGATTTTTTTCGGGGGAGACGTAATTATTCATCTTGGAATTAATTTTAAAATAAAATTGCTTATATTGTTAATATTTTATATACATATAACATGTACATTATTAAATGGCTTTAAACGCCTCCGTTTCTTCCCTCAGTACTTGTTTCTTGATATTTCTTAACATGATTTAGAGTGTATATGCCTAAGCCTTATACCATCCTTTCGCTGCACCTGTTGATCTATTTCGACACACGCCCCTAGCTTTCACTATAACATCAGATTTAATCTTGAAGCCAAGAACCCTTCAGATAGAGTGGATGCGTGTGGGGTAAGCCCCAAAAATATAATGCCCGTGGCAAGTTGTAGTGAACTTTTTTTATTTAACCTATTATTATTTCCGCAGTAATATAAACAACATTTTACTTACGAGGGTGGTTAGGCAGGAGCGGGGTGAGTGTGTAATCAGAAGGTCTGAATATGTTTATAAACATATTGCATACTACACTTTTCCAATGACTTAAGTTTTTGGGCAAAAAGAACAGTTTCGCAATTTTCAAAAACTTTTATAAGTGAGGCACTTGGTAGTTAGGCAAATTTAAAGCATTGGCATTTATTTTCAACATATTTATATAGTTTTTAATATACAAGATCTAAATTGATAACATGTACATTATTAAATGGCTTTAAACGCCTCCGTTTCTTCCCTCAGTACTTATTTCTTGATATTTCTTAACATGATTTAGTGTATATGCCTAAGCCTTATACCATCCTTTCGCTGCACCTGTTGATCTATTTCGACACACGCCAAGCCAAGCCAAGAACCCTTCAGATAGAGTGAATGCGTGTGGGGTAAGCCCCAAAAAATATAATGCCCGTGGCAAGTTGTAGTGAACTTTTTTTATTTAACCTATTATTATTTCCGCAATAATATAAACAACGTTTTACTTACGAGGGAGGTTAGGCAGGAGCGGGGTGAGTGTGTAATCAGAAGGTCTGAATATGTTTATAAACATATTGCATACTACACTTTTCCAATGACTTAAGTTTTTGGGTACATTTTTGCAACACAGCACGAATATGTTCACTGAATAACGTGAAAGAACTATATAATCTTTGGTGAAGGAGATCAACATCGGATAAAGAATAGCTTATAAATGGATTAAGAAGACAGTGTAGTCAAATCTTATTTTTTTTCCTGCGTGTTCAATCAATATCATACTGTACTGTTTACGGAGGGCTAAACCATAGGAGATACTTCGATAACATGATGTGTGAATAATTTGGCCCAACAGAAAAACAATCAGTTATACTGTACTTTTATATATTTTGAATATTTGCCATACATATTGCTAAAACCTTTTCATATATATATATATATATATATATATATATATATATATATATATATATATATATATATATATATATATATATATATATATATATATATATATATATATATATATATATATATATATATATATATATATATATATATATATATATATATATATATATACATTTAATAAGAACGTTAAAAGTAGAGTTTACAGAGATATATTTCAATGCCCAGAAATCTTTGGTGTTCTTGTTTAAAAATATTATTTAGGGACTGAGGGTAAATAAAAAGGGCTATTCTTAGGGCATAAACTTTGAACAAGTAGAAGTTTAATAACTGGAACAAGAAGTAACAAGTTTAAAGGACATTTAGAATTTCTTTGTTTTTTCATTACTTATTACCATTGAAAGTTTTAAATATTCATAATTATATTCCTTTTAAGGGAAGTTAACAAAAATGAAAATACAAAAAACCTTGATTGGTAAATAATATTCCATTAAATCACTGAAATAGAAATTACATTCAATCACATTTACAAAAAACATTACAATATACACATTTTTGCAAAAAAATGTATTTGATTTTCAAACTTCAACATCAAAATTCAACATCATGTTAATAAGATTCTTATAAGAGTAGTAAAATTAGAAAAGTAAAGTAAAAGATATTTTCAACACTTAACTACATTTTTTAAGAAAAAATATTTAACATTTTATTTTAGAATAAAGTTATTTTTTTATTAAACAAAAAACGTGCATATTGAAGAACTCTTTGAAGTTTGAATTTTTGGGATTTCAGAGACAGCCTGGACGTTCTTAGACATCCAGTCGCAGATGAGAATGCACCAAATAATAAAACAAAAAACAGTTAAAACATTTTCGTTGGCATAAGTCTGTTCTGATAAATTTTCACTTCTGGATGGCAATGTACTAAAAAATTGACGGAATTTTAATAAACCTAATAATTTAGTTCAAGCAAAGAGCATCCTGGGATGTGATGGAAGCAGAAAAAATGCTGCAGTAGTTTCCTCTCTTAATGAATCATACTATCACAAATAATAGTGGGCGATTCAGATCATAACTTTTTAAACATTCAGTTACCAAATTTACTGACCTTCACGACAAAAATATTGCTAAAAATTGTATGCCCTCAAAATATAGTCGCAAAATGGTGAACTTAGTGACATTATTTGTAATGAAACCTTCAAGACATTTTACTCCAGATTACAGTAAAATTGTTTGATGAATTCAATTAATTTTATAAAGTTGTATGAACATCTATGTGTATATATTCCAAAAACATTTACTTTAAATGAAATATGTAGACACGAATATAACTAAGCCAATTTCTATAAATATCTAAAAAATAAAAAGTATAATTTAACTAAATATTTTAATAGATACAAATAAATAACATAACGTAACAATATCAATTTAAACTTGCGATACATAAGTTAATAACTGTAATAAAAAATTTTCTAATCACGAATGACAATTTTATCCACCAATTTAGAATTCCCACGTGAAAATAAAATATTTCCTTTCATTTTAGCGGTAAGACCATTAAGCGGTCAGTTTAAAAGTGAAAAATTAATGTGTTAGTAATTCTTATATCATAGGGTATCGGTACGTACTGCAGAATATTAAGCATAATTGCAACATTAATATAGCAGCATTAGCCGAATTTTAAAGCTATGGTATACAGGGAAGCCATTGATATTGAACATAAATATTGGAATAAATCTGAAACAGAATTATTTTGAAAATTATTTAAAAATCGTCTATAACCGATTTTTTTAGATCGATATTCTAAATGCGATTTAAGGACTCTAATCTCAATCGGGAATAAGTACAAACCAAAACATATCAGTTTTAAATTAACCAACCAAAAGGCCAAACAATATTCTAATATTTTAATAGCAAAATTTTATACAAAATATTAAACTTTACTTTCTTGTTGGAACATTCTATAACATTTTGCTTGCACTCAAGTTGATCCAGATATTCACAAATAGTTCAATAGTTGGGAATTTTATGTGACTTATACATTAAATCCAGGTATTTTTTACTTATTATTGTTGGCAATAAATGTCTAAAATATTCAATCTATTTCCAGTTCATAATTAATTCTATGCCAAACACATCTAATGGAATGAATTATAATATCTTTAAGTCAAAGAGAGAGACGTTGGTGAAACGCAATATTAATGTGTTTACAAGAAAACTTAAAATACCCCATTGCGATAAAAAAGTACAAAAACCCTAATAAATGATGAAAACCAGATAAGCTCACTTGAGCATAGGAATCAATTTCTTAGTTAATTATGTTTGCCTAAATTAAATTATAAAATGCAAGACTAATAATTAGAAGGAGAAATGTAGCTGAATTAATTGTTAACAAAAGTCATTTCAGTTCATACCTTCAACTTTAAAATCATCAAGCAATATTTAACATAAATTATACAGAAATATTTCTAAAAACTCAAAATCTTTTACAGACGGTAAACACAATACTGCTTTGATAACAAGTTGCAAATATGTTTGAAATTTTTAATAAAAATAAGATTGCCACTGAAGGAAAAATTTTGAAAAATATCCGATAAAAAATTAAAGGATGTTAAAATGGTGGACAAATATAGTGCAAAAAGAACAGTTTCGCAATTTTCAAAAACTTTTATAAGTGAGGCACTTGGTAGTTAGGCAAATTTAAAGCATTGGTATTTATTTTCAACATATTTATATAGTTTTTAATATACAAGATCTAAATTGCCAAAATAAATTTTCGCATTATTTAGGATTATGAAACTTGGTGTGACTTGAGAACATTGGAAAATCAAATTGGTGTCAGGTATTTGACTCATGAATCAGATGATGCTAGATGGGAAAAGTAAGTTTTTGAATTTTGATTACATTCAATTAGTTACTTATTTGTAATTTAATATTGCGTCGGGTTACTCTGTAAAAGATAATTTCACAACATTGCGTTTTACTGCAAAAATGCATAAAATCGTAACCAAGAGTGAAAATATTTTTTAATTTTAAAATAATTGTACAAAATTAAGTTATTGATGGTTGAATTTCATAGTGATGAATTCCTCTTTGCATTACTATTTAAAAATAATAATTGTAACAACATACAAGAAACTAACTCTTTGTTGGTACTTGCGATGGTTAAAATAGGATAAATAACATGTGCCTATATTTTTACTTATTAATATGCCACAAGGCTGAAACATTTTTGTTAGAATATTTAGTTATCATTATTAATTTTTTTTCTTTTATTTTACTGTACATTAAAAAAATATCCTCCCATATAAATATCACACGAGAAAACATTGTCTATTGTTGTTTTCTTTCTTTGGTTGGTACGCCCATATAGCTATTTGATAATATAGTGGCCAGTATGGTAAATATTTGATCTGCTTTGGTCAGCTATAATGATTTCGTTGAGATGGGCATGATCTGCACATGCCAATTTGTACATAGTTCCACTCACTTAATTTGTTTTTCCCTAAACCTTCAACGGGATCTGGCCATATTTTAAGAAAATACTGCCGTTAAAATGCCGCATATAAAACTGAAAATTGTTGAACTGTCCGGCCAGGTTGATTGTTAAATGCTGCAAGGTCTTATTGTGGCTTAAAAAAATCCTGTATTAGCGACCTATGCAAGGCCCCCATATATCTAGTGGCGAAGTGGGTACTTCACTATCTGTCTTTGACACTTTTGAGACTTTTGAAATAAATTATGCGGTCCACGGGTAATTACCGTTCTAATTTAGTACCAACAACTCGTCTTCAGGGATGAGCTAATTTTAATAAAGTGATTAAAATCACGATTTAAATCAAACTCTTATTCTTTAAAATATTTTTTTGTTGAGACCAACACAAAAAGTACAACGTAAAAAATATTATCACAAATAAAAAGTAAAACACAACTTTTTATAAGACAAATAACACAATAATATACACTTTGTGCTTCTGCATTTTCGTTGTGTAGTTTGAACAGAAAT